CAGGCTTTAAGTGCTGTCTGTCACGGGGCCTTATGTTTTATGACTCGCTGTAAATTTCCAAGGAACCGCTGTGGCCATGTACGGCAGACCTGATCAACCCCCTTTGTCTGCGTGTGGGCGGATTCACAGCCACAGTTTCGTTTACAAATCCGACCCGGGAGAGTAATCATTTTCACCTGTGCAGATGCAAATCCGTCTTGCTCATTGTGGTCGGCCCTGGTCGGATGTTTTACAGACGACTCTGCGCTGTGTTTGGTTGAAAATCCTTTAAGTCCTCCGCACCGCGTGACTCATTAAGGAGTGAATTTCAAATCGACTGACTTGGAGAATTCACATTGATCATAGCAGAGCTGGATTATAACTTGTTGTTGTGCAACTTAACTGGCTTAAATAGTTATTTTACAAAATAAATATTACATCTTGAGATCTGGTTTGTTTCAACATTTATTAACAGGATGTTTCCTTGTTTCACTTTTTTTTTTACATGTTGCCCTTTTGACCTTGTAACTCTTATCTCATAAAAAGTTGCCAAACTCAACGAGACTTTACTTTGTTCAGGGGAATTCTGATTAAAAATGCTTTGTATTCTGTTGTGTCCCGGGGCTCACTGTACCGTACAGACACGGCCCGTATTGCCACATGAACGTTACCTTTGAATGTTTCCTCAGGCGATGCTGAAAGCTGCTGAGTGGGTGTTTTTTACCTACCACTACTTGTTAGTCATACCTCACTCATCCTCCCATTCCTCCGCCCTCGCCGCTTTGAACTCCGACCTCATTATTGTGAGCCGAAGTCGAAGTTAAACGCCAGAATTTAGGAGTGAATACAAGTGGGAGTTTTGTTAAATAATAGTACAGATTGGTAGATAATTCTCCTAATGGGAGATGTAACTATTTTAAATTGAATATACACATTTTGTAACCTGTGTTGAACCAGTTATGTTGTTTGCTGTATTTACTTCTTTGCTGTATTTCTCAACAACTTTAATAAGTGATTTGCTTCAATTTGACCTTTATGAATCTGAATAAATGAATGATTCATATCAGACATAACCATTTACATAAAGTGATTACTAAATAACAGCTCCTCCACTCCAATCGTTGAGGCAAATGCTACCATCCGCATGATAACATGCTTGCAGTGATAAAGCTAATGCAGTGATGTCAAAATATTATGTTGTTTACCGTGTTAACTGTTATTTTGTTTTAGCAAATTTACATGCTTACATTTCCAATTAAAACTTGACACAAATGACAGAAAGTTAATTACTTGCAAAAGTATGTGAAGATGTGCCAGTCTACCCAGTAGGTGTGTGAATATTTTAGTTTGGATTAAAGTCAGATTATTTCACTGATTAGTGTTATCCCAAACTGCTAGATGAAAGGTTTATCTGCTTAATCTACTCAAATAAATCATAAAGGGAGTTTTTTTTTTTATTTATTTCAATTTGCCAATTGAATACAAAGCAAAGTGCTCCATCACAGTCCGAGTTCGTCCGTCTTTCAAACCACTCTTCTTTTAAAAAAGCAATCATTAAGTTGGCACACGCAGATGTTGAGCTTTTCTTCCCAGTCAATTTTGCGAGTGTTATCAACCGAGGCCTCCGTCAGACAAATTCTCCGCCCGGCTTGAGATGCTTCTCCGTCCCCGGCAGCCTCTCGATCAATCAGTCCGTTTTGTTGTGGCTCCCTGTGGCTCCACTCTGTCGACGCAGAGGACTGTCAGAGCGCTTCCTGCGCCTTTTCATTATCATTGACATCAGCCGAATGGCAGCGAAACAGAGGTATTAGGGCTGTATTTAATTGAATCTGAGAGGAGGGGGGGTGGGAAGGGGGTATCAGAAGAAGACGTGTTGCAACGCTGTTACGAGCTGAAGGCGCTCAACTGTCAGGATGTGCATCTCACCCGCTGTAGTCGATGTTACTTCCACAGCTCACGGGCAGCGCTCTGTCGCAAGACATGATGCATTCACACGCCTGGGATTACCCCTTACCTGTGTGTGTGTGCGTGCGTGTGTGTGTAAATGCTTGTGGGTCTGTGAAGAAGCAGGAAAGAGTCCTCTGGTCACTATTCTTTACGTCAAAGACCAAGATAAGCAGAAGTCCACGGACAAGGTTCTAGTAAAGAAAGCGATCAATGCCCACAGTGTGGTATCTTCCAGGATGCAGTAAAATCATTACCTTGTGCTGTCGGCTCCGCTTTATGCGGACTATAAATGTCTGCGTTTCCATCGTAGAAAATCAATCTGCACAGTTTGATGTTCTTTGTGTTATTCTAAAGCTGGTGACTCTTTCCTTATGCAACTCCGCCACGAGGAGAACAATCTTCTTCACAGAGAGAGAGAGAGATCACCGCCGCTTGACCGCGTGTGCTGGTCAGTGCGGGTTTACAAAAGCACGCAAATGCACCGTTTGACCCCAGTTAGCAGTAATATCTGCTCGTGTTGTTTCCAGCGGTCCTTCATCAGAACATCGATAGATATGAAACTCACTCGCTGTCTCACCACCATCTGTTTTGTTGTGAGTGCAGCACTTTCTTACGCAGCAGTATTTGACCTGATGAAATATGTAAACAGACAGGCAGGTTATGTAACTCAGTGTAGGGTGTCGGAGGGGTTAGTGATTGGACTAAAAACAGAACTCCACTGAGAGTGTGACCTCACCCAGACCCTCGCCAAGTTAGTTTGAACTGATGTCACATGCTGGGATAAATAAATCCCCTGAGAAACCTGCAGGAATTTGTAACCTTATGTTTGCCCTTTGTACGATTGCACGCGCGTGGTTAACGCGCTGTGTGGATGTCTGGCATGTAATCATCTTTTCTGAAAGGTTTTAGTTTAGTTTTCTTTTAACGCCTGTTCAACACGGCCATCGACGCCTCGCTCACGACCCTCAAGTGGCCCCTGGCCGCTAGGGGCCACCGGCCATAACACAGATAAGTGTGGGAACAGCCGGGTACAGCGCCGCTGCTCAGCCGCTGCTACGCGGGCCCACAGCTCGGCGAGACCAGGGGTTTCTTTTGGGGATCGTATCAAGTGTCTTTGTACGGCAACATCGGGGCCAGTTGCCTGCATGCGCTGTTTGTTAGTTTCAATTAAGTGTGTTTTTATGATGCCATTCCCCCCCCCCCATTGATGTCTAGACGGGGGTTCGACAATGCTGGGTTATTCACCCCATCGCACAATACAGCAGTTGTTGTTGCAGGAACACCTGGCAGAGATCTGCACTGAATGTACATTTCTGCATATGGATTTCCTTTACAGAGGCCCACGCGTTGCAAATGAGCTCAGGCTATTCATGTTGTGATTAGGGGCATAATGTGGCTGTTCCTTCATAAATATACGCAAGTAAATACGTAAATAATGGGGCTTTTGTCATTTCTCAGCATCAGTGAGTAATAGGCGGAATAAAGGAGGCAGAGGCAGCGGAAGAATGAGAAAAACATTGGCTGAAGAAACACACCCAGTGCTAAGTACTGAGTAAAGACTGCAGGGCTGAAAACATGTTTTTTTGTGTGTGAAAGGGATGACAAATGCACAACCAATGCCCTTGGAATTTTCCCTGCACTGTTTCTCCACAACGTCGCTGTTGTGAAAATAACAACATGAAGCGATAGGGTGCTGAGTCGCAATCATTTCAGCCTTTCTTAATGACTGCCTCTCGGTTTTATTCACCTCCAGTGATATTTTAACATTTCCACGATGGCAATTTGATCCGACAAAAATAATCACAGAGCCCTTTTGGCAGAGAACAACCGCGGATGTGATTTAATTGTCACTGCAGATGGAAAGAAAGAATGTCGATGCTGTGAAATACGTGACTGAACTTGGATTATTTGAAGTTTCTCTCTTTCTCTCTCCTTTGAGCTTATCTCTGTTTGTGTTGCTGCGTGGAGGCGAGGCACTCTGCCAAGAAGTTACATTACAGTTGCGGGTTGACATAAACGTGGGTGTACAAAGGACTTGGAAGGCTTAAATACTTTATTGTGTGTGTAATGTGAACTGAGCAATTATATCTGCCAGCCTTTCAAACAAAGAGCTCCTATCAGGCAGGTTCATGTGTTTTTAATTAACAGCGCTGTGCTTTAAGATAGGAGCGGGCTGACTGGAGAGAAACAAACCCGCCATGATTTAGCATGATGTAAATCTTCGTGATGCTGATGCTGATGGCAGAAGGCAGTCCTGATGACAAAAACAAGTTGGAATAAGTCACATCGTAGATGTTGTTGTGCGGAGTATCAAATGTTCTGCGTCAAATATTTCTTTCAGCAGAAACAGTTTTTCCCTTTGAGGCTTTACCGACATGGTCCGATTTACAGTATTCTGCTAAGAGTGCTGCAACGCCCTCATCGCAACCCCTAAAATACATCTGTCTGAATTTAAATGCAGTTTCTCTCTCTCAGGCTGTGAGGGAATTTGAGGATTGTGTTTACTAGCACATTGGAGCATTTTGGCAGCCGGCTAACCCGTTCACCACAATGTTGCACTAATCCAGTTTAAAATTAATTAGCTACAGGCTTGCAGACCTGTGAAATTCCTTTCCCCGATTGGAAATGTTCTCGTCCTCCTCCTTCTCAGCCAGTTCCCACAGTGGAAATGTGTCTAACAGTTTCATCCTTCTGCTCAAATTTTATTGCTGATTTTTGAAATAAAAACGAAAAGAATAGTAGAATAAATAGTGATTTATAGCCTGTAAATTGTTTCCAGTCTCACTGTCTGATCAGACTCATTCTCAGGACTATGTGGGAGGGACGTTTTCCCGAGTTGGCTTCGTTGAACCTCTCAGGACGGAACCAATTTGACCTTTGCCATCGTTATTGGGAGATGAAGATTTGCGAACTAATAATTCCGATCAACGCTCCCTCCACCTTTGACCCGAGTGCAGGTCAGACCAGCCGGAGCAAATGAAAACACCTGTGCGCTTGTTCGCGGGCTGCGCGGTGCCGCATCAGCGCTTCCACCCAAACGGTTCATTTCATTGTCACTGTTTCCTCTCCCTCAGCTCCTAATCTGAAGGGGCGACCTCGGAAGAAGAAGCTGTCCATCTCTCAGAGGAGGGACTCCCAGGGTCAGGCTCAGGGTCAGGGTTCATCGGGGTCGACCCAGGGGTCAGCAGCTGTGGCGGCACCGGACCCCTCCAGCCCAGACTGCAGAACTGCCACCAAGGTAAGATTAGAAAAGATACGGTTTGACAAAGGGGAAACGCACGTGTGGACATCACACGGCACAACAGGCGCGGGGTAAGAAAACAGATAAAGAACTGTGGATTAAATAAAAAATAGTTAATCTTGAAGAGGTGACGTACTAGCTTTGCTAAACCTGTAGCCTCTTAAAATATTTTTTATCAAGATTTTTGCTGTTTTGTTTTACAAAGTGGTATTTGTGTTTTGAAAAAATGAAAAAATGAAGGTTCATTAATGGTTAAAAAATATATAAAGGTCTCTGGCAACTAACATTTATTTTCAGTATTAAATAGTCTAGCAAGTATTTTCTGGACTAAACGTACATAAAATACAGTAGAAATGTAAAAAAGTCAAAGTTTCTCAAATATCTATCTGACTGGTTGTAACAATATTCAAAGTGAAGGAAACATCTATATAAACTGACGTTGGACATATAGAACAATTCTCCCTCAAAGCTGCAGTCAAACTGATGATGACGGGAAGATCTGCTCCTTGGAGAACCAATAAGGCTGCCTGTAAAATGTATCCGCGCTTCATCCTGAAGGCGTCTCGTCCAAACTGTCTGACATCATGTGCATAGCGCTCTGTTACGGGCTTCACTTGCGTCTAAAGTTACACACTCTCTCTTTGCAGGTCAAGCCTAACTGTAAAATCGTCCCCAACGGAAAAATCTCCTCGGCCAAACACAAGGCGCACGGCCTCAGCAGGAAATCCTCCGCTGAGGAAAAGGAGGGAGGGAAGGAGAAGGAAAGGGAGAAGGAGGAGAGGAACGAGAGGGAGGAAAACAAAGAGGAGGAGACATCCGAGGAGAGCCGAGCGGAGGAGCAGGCCTTCTTAGTGGAGCTCTACAAGTACATGAAAGACAGAGACACGCCCATAGAGAGGATCCCCTTCCTCGGCTTCAAACAGAGTGAGTAGCACCACTTGTTCCTTCAATGGTGGTGTGTAAACCAACTGGGCACTCCGAGGCCTGGTAGTAAAGTCAGCCTGGATGCATATATGGGTTATTTTGGAGATTTAGATTGCACACCTGGGCTGATATCAGAGTAAAAGACACGTGTAGGAACCAGAAGAGGCAGAAATAAATGTTGTCAGAGTGAATATGCACAGAGTAAATTGTAAGTCATACAGTCGTACAATAGTTACACAAGCAGGGAGAAAAACGCCGTGTGGGTTTTCCTCCAGATCTCCGTCCACATTAACTATAGTACCTCCCTGTTGTGAACAGGAGAACGCAAGAGCTGCTCGCTCAGTCAACTCAAGGACAGACGTTGTTCTAAATATCCATATTAGACTGCAGAGGGAATAAAAGTAAAGATGGCTGCCAACTACTGCAGGCATTACGTCCAAAATCTCTAAATCACACCGCGGGTAAACTGTAAAAGCTGATTGAATATGCAGTAATGATAAACCAAAGGAATAAACCTCTGTGTTGAGAAAAAAAGAAATCACATTCCGTTGTGAGTCAAAGACTCTGGAGGCTTCCTGTCAGAGCCTCTTTTGTCTTGCTTTCATACAAGGAGAGAATATCTTCTCACAGTTGTCAAAGGGGTTTCTGTGAAGACCAAGAACGTCCTCTAACAATCTTAAAAGAACATCACATGTATGCTAAACACGTCGGCCCGAGATGAAAGATTTTCCAATATAGGTCTGGATGCTTAGCTTGCACTCGGCACAGGGGGGAGAAACGTGCACGTGAACATCACAACATCACAAAGGTCTCCGGCTTTTTTTGCGTTTTGTGTTTGTCCATTTCGACGCGAGTCACGCGGTCACGCGGGCTCGCACCATCAAACTGTTTTTTCGGATGCCCTCCCTCGGTCTTCATTCCCCGAAAGACGCCTAGAATGTAGCACGACGACAACAGCGAATTAACGAGACGCAGAAGGGGGAGAGAGACGTCCATTGAATTTAACAGAGGCGCTTTATGGCCCAGTCAAACCCATCGCTCCAAACACGAAGGTGAGCGGTGGGCGCCTCGAATCTGCTTAACCCCAACCGCCGTTGCTTTGACAATCCCGTCGTCCCGACTTGCCGACGTGTTGTCGCTTAAATGGGTCACTGTGGTTGAAGGAGACGGAGGGAAGGAGCGAGGGGAGACGTGGCGAGAGACGGGGTGCCGGGTGGGAGACGGCATCGCCGGGTTTGAGTCGGAAAGGCCCGCGCGCCAACTGTTTTACATACAGTGCACGCTTTGGATCTCAAACCCGGACACATCATAAGCAGGGACCTCATTAGATGGTGAAATCATGCTGTTTAAACTTTGTCCTTGGCAGCGAGCACACGTCAGCGTATGTAAAGAGGAGGGGAAAAAAGGGAAAAAAACACATCATAATTAATACAACAAACCCTTGGATGTAATCAGTCGCTCGTCTCATATTCCTCCTTTTAAACTCGCTACAAATGCATTAAAAGATCAAAGAACTCGCTTTCCTGTAAGGGGAATTAAAATGGTGTTATTTTAGTTGCGTTTGAGTAATAATCTTTTTATGAAGTTCTCCAGAGTTTAACAAAGCAACAGATGGTTGAATGATTTACCAGAATTACCCACATGCTTTGTTGGCTGCGCCATTTGATTCGCTTCCAAAAAAACCTGAATCCAAACATGGACTATTTATGCCTCTTCGTCTGCTAGCTCTGGAGTTTCACCTGATGGCTTTTTTGAAACACTGCAATCTTTCTTTACATCGATTGGCTCACAACGTATTTTTTTTTAACACAATTCCCACCTGTTCACCCGCCTCGCGCTCATGCTGAATTTATATTTCCCTCCAGGATTTGTGTGCATGAAACATCTTTGAGCAAAGACTCCATACCTTTAATAATAATTGAATAATAATATGTAAAAAAAAAAGGAAAATGAGCTAATACCTATTATGCACGTTTAGTTGAGTATTTAACAAATATAGTCTTCAATGTCAGTTATTAGTTTAAACAACGTAATCATGCCAATCAGTTATAAAATCGGCTTAAATAATACATTGATTATAAACATTGTAGCAGATATTTTTCACTATATCCCTACGCTTGTGTTAACATGCCTCAAGATGGCTGCATTCAGCAGTCGTTGGCAAAGATTTCTTTGAAATGACAAAGAGGAATATGTACCTCTGAATCACTTCAGTGCACCCATTCAGACTGAAATCCCACTTCCAACTGAATCACAGGGAACGACAGGACATAGTTGGCTTTTACATGTGAGCGGCAGTTCATTTCGAGAGGAAAACAGTTTTGTCCTACAGTTTATTCATGTAAGCTGCTGTCCCTTTTTTTCATCGCTTGGTTAATATTGACTTTGCTCTACAGCTGCCGCCATTGAAGTCGTGCGGTGCAGCTGACAGAAAGAGAGAGAGAGAGCGAGAGAGAGAGAGAGTGGATTCAGGAAGAATGGAACGGGAGTAGTTGTGGTTACATTGTATTTTCTGAATGTCCTTGATCTGCAAGATTGTGCGACAAGTCCAGATACGTGTGCGCTTCAGCGCTCGGCCATCAGCATGTGATTGTGAACATCAGTTCCAATTTGTCTCCCTCTTTTAGCCGTGTTGTCTAATTGCCATGCCGTCGGTGTGTCATCGAGGCTGCATTGTGTTCCTGTTTTGTCATCCTTATCTCGGTGATAATTGCTGCTGCCAAATAGAGGGGAATTAAGAAAAGAAATTGCTAATGACAAGACATCCAAGAAAAAGCATGTTCTCTGGTTTCCTTTATCTGTTCTGTTCCCTCTGTGTCCCGAGTGCGATTGTGGTAATTACTGTCGGTGCATAACAAGCTAGTTAAATAGACCATCTCTCTGTTTCTACAGTCGGAAAGCACAATACGCCGGAGTGCTCAGTTCAAACAGAAAAACCTACCCAGCTCCCTTTGTTATTCCACCCGTGCATTGACAACGGTAGCAGAGAGGAGGGAAGGGAAAAAAAAAAATCAATGCTGTCAAATGCGGAGATAGGAAAATGTCATTTTGACAAATGCAAGGCTTTGTGTACGCACAGATTGAATTTTGATGGATTTCTCCCCAGGCGAGGGCCTCCTTTTCTTATTTATATGCCTTGATATAAAAATGTTAAACAATGATGTTACAGAGAGCAAATACAAATGTCATTGGCACAAAAAAAAAGGCTCCGATGAACTTGTGGTTCTTTGTTTGCAGGGAAACATTTTCTTTCACAAGACAGACAGCCATGTGAAGCCTTTCTGAAAACTTACATGGCTATTTTTAGTCAAATGTTACACAAGCCTTGTATTTTGATATGGCCTGTCACGGAGTATTTGCATGGGGAAATCAATGCAAATGAATTTGCATTAGTTCAAACAGAAGTTTGAGCATATTGCCAAGCGTTTGATGCTGGTAATGGTTCTCATTCATACCTGCAGGCGTCTGAGGGTTAACAAATCTCTTGGTCGGGATGAAGCATATTCTCTATTTTGTCACATAGCGGCGTAGTGCTCAATATTCATTGGCATCCTTTCAGCTGAAGAGCAGTGACTGTGGGAAAATGGGAGAATGATATTATGTGTTATCCTTCAGCCTTTGTCGATCTTTCTGTCCCGCTATCTATATATCGGTCTGTCCTGTTAAAGTACAACACTTTGATATTTGTGTATGATATATAGTATGTAACTCTATTTAGCTGCGTTTGGAAAGGAGATATTGTCCTTATTACTGACCATGAATTTCGCTCTACATAATATTATGTTGGTATGGTGATCTAAATACTGTCTCCGGTGTGATGACTGTGTGTGACGTCATGTCTTTCAGCTCCCTTTCTGACTGCTGTGTCTTCTGTCTCCCACAGTCAACCTTTGGACCATGTTTCAAGCTGCTCAGAAACTAGGAGGATATGAGTTAGTAAGTATTCACATGTGTGGGGACATTTTCCCTCCCTGTCGTTGACCCCCCTTTTTTTTTCCTTCCCCGCTTTTTTTTGTCGCTCTCTCCCCGCCTGTGGGTTTTATTTCCCCCCCCCCCCCCCCCCCCCCCACCCCCACACACACACACTCCCTTCCCCTCTCTCACTTACTCCCTACGTATCACTCATGTCTCCTCCTTGCCTTTCTCTTTGCTGCCCTCCTTTTGCCCCTCGTGGTCACTTGCTATTTTCCCAAGAAAGAAAGTCTCGCACTGTGCCGCATTTAGCTAAAAATAATGCCGTTGTTTCAAACCCCCTCCCGCCCCCCCGGAGTGGAAAACACATGTTCCTCCGCTTTGCCCTGGTCAGAAGGAAATTGGTCAAATCGCTCATCTCTTCCCATGTTGGGGATGAAGTGAAATGCACATACGAGTATGTATGAGGCGCAGGCTTTTAACTCGGCCGCCCCACCTGCCGTTTATTCTTTCATTCATGGGCGACGTGTTTCCAAAGTGAAGTCAATGTTTGATCTCGAGTTGGCAAGTGTGTTGCTCGTGCCTTTTTCTTCATTAGCTCTCTGGTTTAATGTCATCGAAACAGACAGCCAGACCAGACTATAAACAGGATCCAGCTCATATAATTGTGGCTCGTATCCTTTTAAACCCTCGTATCTGCAGCTGATTATCTCACGTTTTTTATGTCCGGGCTTCGTTGGCTCTGTGGCAGCTCGGAGTTTTGTGTTTTGTGTTGTAGCTCGTCATCTATATTACGGGATAAGAGGTTATAACAGGAACAACTGACTGCATGATGTTAACTGAGCTTATTATGTTAGAGAATTGAGTGTTGAGGATTCAATAACTGGAATATCATGACTCAGTAACTCCCCCAGACCTCCAAATGATCTCAACCACTAGTGTTCTTCTCTTTGTTTTCACTTTCCTTTTTCCGATTCTTTCTTTTCCTCGATCTGCATGCATCTCTTTGTCTCTCATTCTTCTTTTTTTTTTGCTCTTTGTCTTAACGCCTTTTCCCTCTCAACCATCCCTCCAGATCACGGTCCGCAGGCAGTGGAAGCATGTATACGATGAATTGGGCGGGAACCCAAGCAGCACAAGTGCCGCCACGTGTACACGGAGACACTACGAGAGGTGAGTTATCGCGTTCGTCAGTTTTTATATGACACATTATGCATGCACACATGGAACAGTTTGCAGAGCCTGAAATGAGTAAACTCTCCCACAGCTGCATCAGATATAATTTCACAATGCTTTATTCATAACATCAGGGCACTGCAGAAGAATTGGTCTCATTCAGTGGAAGTCAATGCACTTACACATTTGTGAAGAATAGTCTCTCACTGTTGGGGCATGCAGTTCTAATAGGATTAAGAAATGCTTTCCTCATGGGCCTGAATCAATTCCTGATGAGATGCGATTCAGTTCTTTTTCTAAGGATTAATTGATTAGTTGTGTGGCACTGTGGAACCAATTATGCAGTAAACTCCACCCATGGTGCTGTACAAGCAGGCTAAAGAGGATTTAAAAGCTCAAAATGACTGCAAAGTTTTGAATTATTAATTGACCTACATGGATGCACGTATAAAAAGTAACTAGCCTCTCCACCAAACATGCATTGCTGGCAAACGGAGCTGCAAGATCAAATGAAAACACCAATTTAATGTATTCCACTAATCATTCAGTCAGATACTGCAGCAGTTTGAATTTTCCACATTATAATCACTCAGATGGTATTACCAAACCAAAGCAAGCGTATGAATAGGATCCTGAGGGAGCTGTGAGGGTATTATTCAGGGCTGCCTGCACACACTCGCACTCCCGCGCACACACAAACATGCACGCACGCCCACTTTCTCAAGGTTAAACAAATGGCAAACACAATCTTCCCAGCAAGAGATAACCAGTCGCTCATGAGGCAGGTCGTTCCTCCGGGCCGGCGACCCTCTCCACATCCTTCTGGCTGCTGCAGACTCATGCATCAGCACAGCTCCGGCACACACACACACACACACACACACACACCTGTCAGTAACGCAGCAATGTGCCAGCCGTACCATATGAGGGAGTCGGGCAGTTTGATATTGTGTCAAGATTGCACGCTGTAAGCGAATTTGAAAGCCCTGGCAGTGGCGAGCGGAGAGGTTTTTCCAGGAAATTTGTGAAAGCATATGTGTGAGAGGGTGTTGTTCGGTGTGTGGGATTTGTACACAGGTTGACACTGTGCCTCTAAATGTTTGGACTGAGGGTGAATCCAGTGTTTACACAGCATTCTTAGTTCCTCCCCACTGCCTCCAGCAGGTATATGTAATATTTATACCCATAATAGCTGTGACGTTTAAGTGACGGAGATGATGCTGGTCAAATTTTTGTGGGGACGCCGGTACGATGCGCCTCTGCCAACGAACGACTTTTGAAGCCAGATGTGGAGAGCCATGCTGTTCACCCGTTTTTTAAGGGCGCAAACGGGGGAAGCCGGGGCGGCTGCAGGACGAAGCCGGAGCGGGAGGCGCTGAGGTGTGACTGCTGCTGCGCCGGCCTTTCCTTCTCCAGCCACCGAGAGAAAATAACGCTGAATCAATACAAAGCAATAATATCCACACACTGCGGTGAATATCAGGCTGACAGGGGGAGAAGGTGTGAGAGGGAGGGGTGGAGGAGATGGGGCATGTGTGTGAGAGAGAGAGAGAGAGAGAGAGAGAGAGAGATCAGCTGAACCTGAGCAAGTTTCCATTCAGGGGAATCATTTTAGCTGAGCCTTGGTGTTCGCGCTGCTTGGAGGGCAATTAGCTTCATTGTATTAACTCAGCAAACACGGCCATTCTCTCTGCATGATGAATGAGGCTGTTTGTGGGCTCGCTGAAGTGTGCGTTTGTTCCCCAGAGGCGTCTTTGTTTCCACCTTTAATCATTAGTCAATGTGCTACAGAAATATAATTCACAGGGACGAATGTACGGTGCGTAAACTGGAACAACACGCGTGTTTTTCTTCTGCTCTCCGAAGGATCGCTTCTGATGTGTCTCCAAAGTACAGTAGAGCAGGAAATGTGAAGTATGACGCGAGTGGGAAGAAAGGGAACTATACCTCAGGACACAATTGCCTTAGATTAAGTGGCTGTCTTGGCATTATTTGGGTTAAAGACTGTGGATATCCACAAGCATTCTGCTCTCATTTTAAATTATACACATTATCCCTTTACAGCTCTAATGGTAAAATCAAATGAAATGGTTTCCTAGGAGATGTTATTGTAAAAGACGGAGCCAGGGGCATAATCACTATATTTATGCTGTCCAGGAGCAGTTGGTAATGGAGTTACACGGCTGAAATTGAACAGAAGATAACCTCAGCTAATTGTAATTTTCAAAGTTACTCTTCTTTTTTTTGTCGCTGTGCTCCGTTCATTAGTGTGCGGGGAAAAATCAATGCAAAAATGTCCAAGCCAAGGTCTGCCGCTGCGACTACGGGAAAGCTTTAATGATATTTATTTAAACCGTTTCCCGAGATTAGCTGTCAGGGACCAGCGCTCTGAATTAAAAATGAGGTCATGAAAAAGATGGCATCAATAACCTTGAAATAGACTGCCTTTTGCTTCTGTGCTGTGCCATTTTCTCTCTGTTTTTCTCCCTCACTCCCCGCTTTGCACTTCATGCTGTTTCTTTCATTATACAGGTCAGCGCCTTTTAACAGCTCCTACATATTTAATCTTCCTGGTTTCCTACGTGATCTCTGGTTACAGAAACATCGCATTTCACTATCTCTGTTCATTTCTGCCTGTTACACATTTTTAATACCTCACCATGCCTTGGCACTCTAATGTAATTGCACAACAGGGTTGGTATTGGGGGATATTGGAGGGGGGGGGGGGTATCCATGGCAACAGAGAAGCAATTTAGAATAATTTGCTATTTAAAAACTCTTTTTGGGAGAAGGCAGAGAGCGCACATGAGGAGTTTTTGGATTCGATCATTTCATCTCCCAAGTGATAGATGTGTGCCAGATGTACTGTACATGCAGTCTAAGGCCTACGGAATATTCTGCCGCTCAAATACAGATGTGTTCTCTTTTAAGACCGACGCACGCCTGTTCCAATTTTACCCGACTAGTTGTTTTATTGATTCAGCCTTCATTCATTCCTCCTGGTATCGACGTTCCTCTGCATTCACTGCAGCTGCTCTCCAGCTACGAAAATACATACGTTGTTCATAATTACAAGGAAACCTTGAGCGGGTCTTCACACTGGGAATTACAATAGAGTTAAGATATTGGTTAGAGAAAGAGGAGAGGAGGTGCTCAGTATCGTGCGCTCGTCAGCATCTGACTGCATTGTCCTTGCTGTATTGCAGATACATAAAATGTGGCGCATTAGGCTTTAGCTTTGCCTCTCTAACACTGTAGCGCAAACACAGATCTGATTTACTCCGGTGTCTTGTTCTAAAGCAGTGGGATTACAATAAGAGGTCGCGGGGAGGGAGTATCACCTTCACGTCCTCCCTTTATTCCCCAGAGAAACCCGGGGGAGAGAAAAGAGAGACAGAAGCATTGACTGATTCGAATGAACGGGCCAAAAATGATTCAATATTAGGAAACACAGTGCAGAGAACAGACAGAGAAGTTGCAATGTGAGAACATGGTTGCATATTGTCTGTCAGCATTCCTTAACGCTATAAACAATGTCTCAACATGTTGTCCGCATCAAAAGCCCGGCCAAATTCCTCGCATATGCAGGACTCTCCGACTGAACGTGGATGTGAGATTCAGCGGGATTGCAGCCAAAGAGCTGCGTGTTCTTTACACTAAAATAGCAGGCGGCTATTTTAACCACTGAGAGCTAGATGGTTTCCAGAAGACAAAACGCTTCATTGGGCATTCAGTGATAAAAAAACAACAACAACCTCTTCTTTTTTTTATTCCCGTAGCGATCTAACAAATCACAATACTGGGTGATTTCTTTATGTATTCAATGAAAAGGTCCAAGGTTTCTCTCCCTAGTGGCAACGAGAAATCACAAATTACGCCACTGACGTGTGACAGGCGATCGACTGTATGAGAATCTATTCAAGTCTACTGAGATTAATAACTAGTTCAGCGTAGCAAATTAAATTAATGACAGTCTTGCAGAGATTTCCGTTCACTTTAGGGCAGCGAGAAGGGAACATATGCTGTGTATTTTGGGAAATGAACACTTGAGTGTGTCTTTTTATGCAGAGTAGCACACATTTGTTTTAAACAGTTTAGAACTCTTTGCTCACACCTGCTATGGCGAGCATTTACCACGAGCTGCAGGAGCAGCTAATGAGAGCGAACCCCGGGGGAACAGTAGAGGTCATTTTAAATCTGGTATTTTCAGACTTGACAAAGGACTTAAGTTTTTCATACATTCCTGCGCTGCCCTCCTGTTTTAACTGCATGAATGGGGGTCACCTCAAGTGGTTTGGCTTCGAGACAAAAGAGGGGCTTTGAGGCATGAATCCAAAGCAGAAGGACCGGCTACAATGTCTGTTTATCCCTCTGCAGGCGTCTTGTCTTTCTCTCTCTCTCTCCACCACAGTTATTGCTTTCTCACTGCTGCCATGATGTTTAATCATCGCGTTTAGATATACAGATTTGATTTTATCCTTTTTATTTTATTCTATTTTCAAATGTTTCTGCTGCCTCCCAGGGCATGTCCACCAGCTCTTTAAATAGTGTGTTTTCCTTTTTTTTCCTTTTTGTTTTTTTACGCGTGGAGCAGCTCTTGTGATCTTAACACAACAGCAGTTAAAATTAATTTCAGCACGGATGGGAGGGAAACTGTTGAAATGGAACAGCCCGCAGGCGTTTTCCCCTCTTTATTTGGTGACTTAGGCATTTCTTGGATTCTGCTTGTTCCTGTAACACAAAACTCAGATGAGAGCAGCACATTGCTGGTAAAGTCACCTTGTTTTTGCCAAGTTGTGTTTTTTGGGGGGGGAGGTGCTTTGTGTGCAATCCATTATTTCAAAGGCACAGACATGCTTAGCTGACAGTTGTGGTTTGAAGTCGTGCTTTAGAGTGGAATACAGTACATTATATCATTATATATATATATGTATGCATATATGTGTATATAAATATATATATATATATATATATGTATGCATATATGTATATATATATATATATATATATATATATATATATATATGCTTATATGCATCTAATCGTATGTGAAGTTTATTAGATATTTCTTTAATGTATATATATTTATATATGCATATACTGCATACATATATAAAACTTAATTAGATCTTCAATCTGTGACTACTCAATGTTTAATCTCTTCGCTGCATATTTTACTTGCTTGTTATCAACATGTAAAATGGCTGCTTAAACAAAAGCCGAGTGATGAATTGGCTTGAGAGGAAGTTAAGTATTTATTGACCTCATAAAAATGTTGCCCCTCCTGCTTTAATGAAATTCCTCCCTGGATTCTGTGAGTGAAGCACACAGCCCACTGGTGGCTAAAACTACGAACTACACCTGGATGCCTTTCAACTAATGCGGCGGCTGCCAAGCTCAAGCCTTTCCCTTCCTTGGAGGAAATTGCTACTTATATGAGGGGTATTGTATTTTGAGTGCAATATAACATTATCATGACTAAGTTATATATACACTTCACAAAATGACTCCGTTTCACACTGAGAGCTTTATTATGATGTTGCACTTCCTTGTTTAACATTACGGTGAAAAGTGCCCCTGTAGCTTAAACCCTATTTGCTTATTCAGCCACATAAGTAAATTTACATAAACCTGTAAAAGATGTATGTGTTGGAATTGAAAGTCTTACTGAAAGAAATAATTAGGCTGTAGTTTTGGTGAATCATCCTACAATTATCAAGCAAAACAGAGCAAATTATTCTGATGTAGGGGACTTCCTGGGACTGATTTTCAGTTTCTTGGCTTTTCCATTTGGAACTATTTAGGGCTGCCGTAATTTCCCGGGCTCAGCTCTTACATTATCTGGGTCCGTGACACCCCACCCCCACCCCATATTGACATTCCATAAAGTTGACCCGGGCCAAGGCGGCCGTCTCTTTCCCACAGATCATCGTGATAGTCAACAGCGCACCCTGATATACTGTACATGTGAACATATATGTAAATATTTGCCACTCTTATAGCCTTTTGATCGCAAGAACAGCTGCACATTTTGCACACGATGAACACTAATTCACCAGCCTGGAGAAATTGAATACACAGCTTTGAAACATTTAATCTGCCTACCTTCTCTGAGAAACACTGGCTAATTATAGACAGCCTGAGAACCCCTTTGGTATTTGTAATGAATTACCAGCGCTGTATAAAGATCTCATGTTTTGTCTCTCCAGGATCTTTCGTTCCTTCATTCAGAATCATTTTTGCTCCACATTAACATGTCATTATTCCCTCTTTCACTCCCCTTGTTTCTCTTTTCTTTTGCTCTCTTTCCCTCCCTTCTTTTCTTTCATAACCCCTTTGCTCTCCGTCTTTCCAATAAGTCACATTTAATAGTACATTTCCTTTCTTGGCCTGGGGCCTGGTGCCAGACCAGCTGTATGAAATGTAGTTTCACCGCTCTCCCTGCCAGCACTTTTGTTCAGAGGAAGAATAACAAAAAATCCCACTGAGCCTCTTGAACTCTCTGAGGCTTTTTTTTTCTTCTTCCTTTTGAAGAGGAGGCGAACCGGCTCTTGATTCATTGTTTGTTTTACCGCCATGTCCCTTAAAAGGAATAGTGCAACCGTCTCTTGTCGTTACACGAGAATACCTTATTTTTCTCATGACTGAGAAAGTCACGTTTCTGTCTTTCATGGCTTATTGTAAAAATCCTGACTGAGGGGCTGCAGAGATTTTCAGAGGAGCTTATTGAAGTCTTGTAGTTTTTCCGTTGTCTTGGTTTCCTCTTCCACAACGTTTGTTATTTCTGGTCTAGTGCCAAGTTCCATTCTCTTTTTCTGAGCAATAAAAGTCTAAGAGTTTCCCTCGCCGGTTTCTTCATGTCATTATTTTACACATGGGTATTGTTAGGCTATCCAGATCTTAATGTTCCCGATAGTTATAACTGCAGGAAATTAACTTTATAAGTGTTCAAGAGAAACAACAGAGGTCAAAAAAACTTAGCATGTACTTAATCAAGTTCGATTAAAGCAGCTATTCTGCATTTAATCATGACACAGTGAGCATACTTTGGCCATTTGAAATATTTTATCACTGTAGCTACTTAAAGGTCTTTTGCGATGAATCCATTGTATATATATAATTTTAAATGATGTGATATGTAAGATTTCTTTTAAAGTTTTAAATTGGAATTCATCCAGGCATTTTCCCTCCCAACACATTCACTTTACACACCCGCAAACACAACACACACATACTCTCTCTGTCAAGGATTAACTAATATCAAATGTGATGTGTCCCAGCAGGAGAGAAGTGGTGACTCATTCTCTCTCTCACACACACACACACACTCACACTCACACACACACACACACACACACACACAAACACACAATCTGGCACCCATCTGAACCTGGATTTCCCCCAACTAGATTAATTACAGCAGGATTGTTAATGCTTGCCATGTATTAAAACAAGGAGGTTTTAAAGCAAGGTATTTGATACTCTGCGTGCCCGTGGCAAAGCTGCACCTCGTTCTGGTTTTATATATCAACAAAACATAATACTTGTGTTGTTTATTTTAGAACGTATTCTTCTAAAATGCCTCACCTTTCCCACGTTACGGTGTTTTTACAGTCTTGTGTATTTTGTTCAATGACGCCTTTCTGTTGATGAAAAACCGGATTAGTATTTGTGCCTTTTGAAGCCGGACGTGATCACACCACAAACTCATCTGCATTTCTTTGCCCCGCATTCTCCCCCTTAGGCTCCTCCTCCCCTATGAGCGGCACGTTAAGGGCGAGCATGACAAGCCCCTCCCCTTGGTCAAAGCCAAGAAGCAGGAGGGCGGCCCCGAGAAGGCTTCGGGAGCCAAAGCCAAAGGAGTGGGGGCCAAGAAATTCAAAGGCTGCAACAACCCCAAGCTGGGGAGTAAAAAGGACAGAGGGGAGGCAGCAAAGGAGCAAGAACAATCACAGGTCAGTCACAGACTTCTCATCAGGATTTCACCTCGCTCTGAATTCCGTTTACCTTTAAACTCCCTGTGCTTTCTCATCCATGCCTCACCTTCTGTCCGGAATTCATGTCCTCTTTCGAATTGTAACAGCCGTAATTGTTTCTGCATGCAGGAGTCCAGTGAGAAAGAGGAGAGCGGTGAGCCGCCCGCGACCATAAAACAGGAGGGACCTCTGAGAGAAGAACCCATTGTAATAGAGGAGGAAGAGTTACACGTTACCCTAAAGAAGGAGGAGTCGTTCGCAGCGGAGCCGCCATCTTCGCTCTGCCTCAAAGAGCCGGACTGCAGAGCCCCAAATGCGGCCCGTTCCCTCCACGCGGGGCCACACGGCCCCCGGCCTGAGTGGAGGCAAATCAGCGAGGCCCTCCAAGGGAAACTCTCCTGTGAACAGCAAACCGAAGCGCATTTCATTCCTAAAATCCCTTACCTGCCTCACCGTTGGGATCAGAACAGACCTCCTGGACACGTCGCTCTGCCCGAGCCCTCCTCCAGGGTCAAAGACTCCATAGAGAGTCATGGTGGGAGGGTGGGGAAAGTGTTGCCCATGTGCAAGCAGACGGACACACAGTGCGTGGACTTGAGCACGGATTCCTTTCCAGAGAAAGAAGACTACGTGGCCATTAAGAAGGAGTCCACCCAGAACCCCACGCAGACGGCCGCCTACTGCAAATCCAGCCAGGGGGTCATGTCTCCTTTAGCCAAAAAGAAGCTCCTCTCCCAGGTGTGTGAGTCCAACCCTTTCTCCTTCACGTCGCCTTCCCTTCAGCCGCCACACGCCACGGCGACTTCCTCTCTCCCGGTCATATCAGCACCCGAAAGGGAGAACCGAAAGGGTGACGAGGAGGTGGCAGGACAGAGGCACGGCGGCGCGTCAGACATTACCCCGGAGGTGGCGCCCATATTCAGGCCATCGGTCATCCAGCACGCGCAGAGCAGCAAGCCTCACCAACAAGCCGCCGGCGGCCCCTCGGAGAGGAGCGTCGCCGCGGAGCTCTCCGAAACGTACGGCTGCCGGATCAGCCGTCACCTCCAGCCTCAAGTCAACCCGCCGTGGCAGCCTTACCTCCCGCAGGCCCATGCCCAGGACGGCATGGAGAGCGCCGGGGAGACGCTGCTCCAGGGCCCAGGTTCTCAGGCGCGGAGCTACACAGGCGACTGCTACTCCTCGCCTCACCTCCACAGTCTGTACAGGCAAACCGAGAGCTGCCTGAGCCAGGAGAGGATGGTCGGCTTCCCCAACGGAGATCGCCGGGAGCGCTACGTCAGAGACCACGAGGGCGGCTTCGTCTGTGGCGGCCTGCAGCAGGAGGGCTTGGCCTACCGATCTCACTACGGTGACAGGACTCAAACACGCGTAGAGAGGAGGGAGGTGGACGACGAGCCCAGAGACTTTACAATGTCCAAACCTCTCTCCCAGAGGGGGTCCTCCTTCTCGAAGCCCTCTTTCTGCAGTCTCCCTTATCCCATCATGCACCAGGGTTTGGACTCCCACCCTAAGGCGTGCAGAGTTCCTCCCATGACTATCTCTCCCCCCAAACAGAACCCAGCAGAGTCATCGCAGCCGTTCCCCAGCCCGAAAGCACCAAGCGACTCGTCCCACGCGAGCCCCGCTCGACCCGGTAAGCGGAGCCTCCTGGGACCCGATGGCGAGGACGCCCCGGAGAGGAAGGTGCGCGTGGTGACGCCGGTCCACCCCGCCGGCTCGATCCGACGCGGCGACCCGGAGGAGCTCAAACCGGCTGAGCCGGCCCACGGCGTTCACCTCAACAACCGGCTGCCCGAGGGCCACCCGGCCGCCTACCCTCCACACCTCTACACCGCCATGTACCCGCCCGGCAGCCTGGTCTCCCCGGGAGACGGGCTGCAGCAGCACCCCGGCCTGCAGTACCTGAAGAGCCAGTCGGCGGTGTCTCCGCTCATGCCGCCGCTGGCCTTCCACTCCATGATGCTTCACCGGCAGCTGCTGGCCGCCAGCCCCAGCCCGCACCACTTCTACAGGCACCCGGGCGGGACGGCGCTATACGGGGACCTGCTGCACCTTTACCCTCTCTCCACCCTCCCGCCACCTCAGCTGTCCTCGGTACACCCCAGCACCAGACTGTGAGAGGGTGATCCACGTCACCCTCCTCCTTCTTCCTCCTCCACAAACTTGTTCGGCTCGTCTCTTCTGTCTCTCTCGCTCGGGGATCGAAAATAAACACTGATTATAAAACTTATCGCGGACTGATGAACGCATCGTTCAGACTGAAAAAATTCCATTCTCTTTTTTTATTGGTTTGTTTGCATTTGTTTATATACGTTGCACTGTTCTCTGTTTGTATCACCACTTACTGTATCTTTTTGTCGCGCTCGTTGTATCCTCATTTGCACAATGCTGGTGTGAATGTGCTCACAAATCAGTTTGAGTCAGGTTGTGTGAAAAGCGCAGGGCGACTGAGAAAAAGCCATTTGTTTACCGCATCTGAGGGCTAAACTGCTTAAGAACACTAACAACTAACATGACAGCGTACATTCAATTCTTTGTACAACCAGAGGTGCGTTCGCCTCGCAAACAATGTTTAAGAGCTGTTTAGTGCATTATCACACTTTTGGCAGCGTTTACACGTCCCTGAAAGCTGATTCCGGCTTGCTGCAGTAAACCCACCTGGACTCCTCGGCACAGACTTCAACAATGCGGCGCTGAACAGAGTCGTGTCACAACATTCAGAAGTGCTGTGTTTAACATATGTACTGGAGAGTCGGTTCAGGTTTTTGTTCGTTATGTATGTCAGTCCAGATCAGACAACACAAGCACTTGTCATGTTCAATCTGATGGCAATTCCCGAATGTTTTCTTCTTTTTTTTTTTTTTGCCAGCAAACGAGCAGCCGTTGTCATTTTTACTCTCAGAATTGAAAGCCTGTTTGATCGTAAAGTCCGTTGTGATGAGTCGACTGTAGCAGCTTGTGTTTGTCGGACCAGCATAATGAAGCAGCCGTCTGCTGCGGAATGCTCACCACAAGAAATCAGCATTTCATCCTTTCGTTCTTGACTTGAAAAGCTCTTATTTAGTGAAAAGACTCACTGTATAATTTGATAGGAATGTTGTCACTTAGGATATTATTGCTTTGCAAGTATCTGTGCCTTTCGCAGTCTCTGATTAGAGTTAGCACTACAGTTGTTAAGGTTTATCTTCTGTAGCAGGGTAGAAATATCGATATTACAGTCACTCTTTGCTGAAATGCAGCGCACACACTCATACAATCATATGGAACACTTGGCTTTCAGACACCAGACTTGATACGAAATGTAGTTATTTCTTAAATAGAAGCAGTTGTGCTTTAACCTTATGGTTAGTGTTTGTGCTTAATGACTATTTTCCTTAACTGTGTCAGACAGTCAATTATAGAAAAACTGAAAATATTTGCTGCTATTGACACAGGTCTGGTGTCTGTCATCCGCAGGGCATGTGTGCTTTAGGTGTTTTTCAGAAGTGATGAAAAGATACCAGACTCCATAAAATATGCCGGCCATGTTCCATGGCCCGAGGTGAAACAACAGCTGCTTTGGCTTTTACAACCACTATAATTGCAATCCGGGAAAGCCGAAATACACAGTCGAACACGTCTGGTTTTTCAAAAGAAGAAGCTGTAAGCGTCTATGTGTAAAGTTTAACTGAATACTTAGATAACGACGTTCATTTCTGATAAATGACTGTACATTGCTGTGTGTAGGTGAAAGTGGCATTAGTGCGGACTCCTGTACAGAACATTCATACGGGATCACCTCATGACAACGCTTATCTCTCTTGTCTTATTTTCTGTGTAAATAGCACTGTAGATAGCACCGCGTGGTTATCATCATATAAACTGTTATAATCTGTAAATAGTACAAAAACAGTATAAAAGTCCGTTATACAATCTAGCTGTGTCCTTGTTTGCGCTGTTTCAAGGTCACGGTAATCATGTTAGATTTAAACAAACACTACAATTTAAGGATTAGGATACTATTTTTTATTTCCTGTCATTTCACTTTTTTTTCACATTGTTTCCATTTATGTGCATCCAGAAAGTGTTTTTGATACAGTAGCCATCTGTTTACCAATCACCCAGCTGGCGAGCAAGACAAAAAAATAAAGACATTTTTTATGATATGACCTCCTGTATATTTAATTAAAATATTTTACTATCTATTCATGTTTCCTCAGTTGTGTTCTTTAACTGAACGGGAAGGTAAAAATCAACGGCTGAATAAACTGATATTTAATGCCAGTGTACTAACGTCAATGTGATGTTCTATTTCTTCCCTCGAGTAAATGCAGTGTGAATAGGGTTTTATTATTGTAATACCATTATCTGGCTATGAGATTCCATCCGCCTTAATCTTCACAACAGGCTACCTCTGGGCTCAAAGCCAGAGGAACCTCTCCAGTATTTGCTGCAGTAGAGAAATGTGCCAGTGCGTGCATCTCTATGGGATGTGTGTTGAGCTGTAATAAAAGCGATGCTTTGACTTTTATTGCCACCCCCTGGTAAACCTTTACCAAGAAAAATATTCAGTAATACTTCCAAGCTCAGCAAAAAAAACGTAAACCTCACCAGGGTAGAATGTCGACCGTTTTATTGCAGATCAGCAATAAAAGAACAATAAAAAAAAATTCCCAGATAAAAGGTGAAGAGTGAGGATTACATTGCACTTTTTAAGAAACCTAAATCATTTCTCTTTTTTTTTTTATTTTTTTTTTTACATCGCACTATACAGAGAATAAGCAAATCTAAATAACATGCTAAAGTCAAATTGAGATGAGTGGCAGTTGTATACTATTAAAGGAAATTACAGAACTTTTAAATCAAAAACAAGATGAAAAACAAAATTATTAACTAACAAGTCATATAAAAAGACAAACATAAAAAAAATTGTAAATCTGGCTCAGAACGTTCCGTCCTTTTTTAGTAATCAAACAAGTGTACATTTAAATCACATGCTTTCCATCAAGCATAATGTCCTCAGGGGCATCATGTGCTGCTTTCACTCCGGATACACAGTTCTCATTAAATACTACGACAATGTTACCCTTCACCATAACTGTCAGAAAATTGGCCAGCAATCCAATGGCCTTATTCTCTACTATGCTCACTAACTGGAAATGGTCGAGATTATGATGAAAGATACAGGAAGTATAAAACATGTATTTACCGTGGGGATTTTAGCGGTTATCATACCGCCCACGGTCCACCTCTTGTTTTTCCAGGTATCTAAAGTACTACATCAAAGTGACGAATGTGTTAGTAATACACAGAGCATATAAAACATTTCTAATATTGAGCAGCGTCCCCTATTGTGCAATCCATTCTCGGGTTCTTTCAAAGGTTAAACTAAATCTCCCCCTGCTGATAAAACTGAATTTTATGGGGTGAGATAAAGAAAGAAAAAAGAAAAGGGTTGCAGTTTTCCCCCCCACTGCTTCATCTGATCAGCCGATTTCATCAAAAGTAGCTAAACCTAATGTTTTGTACACCGAGAGTAATTATGAAGGCCATTCTTCGACATGTGACTGTTAAGTGGTTGAAATGTTTTAGTGGCTGGCAGTATTGGATATGTTCAAAACACAAGGGCATTCATTATTTTAGCCACTCCAAGGACTCATTCATTCGATTATGTTCATGACATTTACAGCCTTCACTGTTAAATTATGCTGGACATGCTATGTAGCCACTGAAAACCAAGGTCACTCCATTATAAAGACCCCTGAGAAATGGTGAAGTCACATTAGTGCTTGCAATTGCTCCTAAAATCCTGTTCCCTTAAAATCAGCTATAGTGGTCATAAAGTTGTCACAGTGAGTGGAATAAGTCAATAGTTCCAAAAGGAATGACTCGTTCGGTCGGCCAATGGATCAATTCCAATTTGAGTGCTTTAGCAAAGGCCCTTTCTTCCGTCCATGTTCCAGAGCTGAAAAATAAGCCTTTCTATTTTAGTGGGATTGATGAGGGCAGTGCTCAGGCTAACGTACGGCGTTTCATTTTATCTACGGGTTGGCTGCAGCTGAAAGACTTCTTAAGCGGAGAATGGAGATACAATATTGATATTGTGATAGGTGGTGTCGACGGGGGTTAGTGGTCGCCAGGACTGACATTTTAAGGGACCAGGTCACACAGCCCATCCTTAAGGTTAAGAAATAGGTCGACATTTGGGAAAGTACGATGATGAAGACAATATCACTCTTATCCATCACTGCGGGATGAGGTCGGAGCCAACAGATGGTTAGCTTAGCATAACAAATCGAGAGCAAGGGGGAAACCAGCTAGCCTGAATCTGTTTAAAAGGTTAAAACAAAACTTAATCTGCCTAGCTCACTAATCTATACATTATATGTTGTTTATTTATCATTATGAAACCAAAGCATAAAATAAGTAGTTGTGGACTTACACGGCATAATGTAGTAGACGAGTTCTTGGCTAGGCGTCATATCGTTAGCATAAGACTAACCATCAGATCCACCCCCCCAAACAAGTGTTGCATACAACCTGATGTAAAATGATGTATGTAAAATGTATAATTTTGCACTATTCGGGTTACAAATACATTCGCAACCTAAACTAACTAACTAAGCAGAGTTATCTTTGGAGGGAGCTAGGCTAGACGTTTTCCAGTCTTTATGCTAAGCTAAGCTAAACGCTTCGGGCCACAGTTTCATATTTAGTGTACAGATGAGAGGGACATATCGCAATATGAAGCCTTTCTCCAAAATGTCAACAGGTATTGGTATGAGTGGGTAGGTATTGGTATTAGTAGGGTTACTTATTGTTGAGGGTCGAGGTCACAAGGCTTTAAAGGTTCATCCTCTCTCTGAAGGACTTCCTCAGTTTGCTCCTCGCTGCAGGAACAGGTGCAGGGCCGTGACTCGGTCTGACGAAAGCATGTTCACCTTCGGTGCTGTGGTTCTGGAACTCGGGCTGCTGGAGGGGAGGCTGACCTTGTGGTTGCACATCGAGGACGCCCAATGGGGCGTTTTTCCGGCTGAGGGCTCCAGCCCCACCAGCGTTGCCCCGCTGGAGCTGCTGGATGATGGCGGAGAATTTGGCATCCAGAGACGGTCTGCCAGTTTTGGACCTTGTGGCCGGGCGTGAAGTGCAAATGCCGGAGTTCTCCTTCTCCTTGTATGAGGGAGGAGGCGGATGATGGAGAGAGGTGGGGGACGGAGGTCTTGCGGGGCGGCTGGGAGGAGCATGAGGCTCTCTGTCGGAGGGCGGGGGTGGCGCACGGCGCTTCTTGTTGCTGATGGATGTAGAGCTGGTGTTGGGGCTTGAACAAGGGGTGGAAGTTTTGCTCTGGGGCAGAAAACCCTTCTGCACTACTACTGAATGGGACCCTTCAAACAGGGAGGACCAATTAGGCGCTTCCTTCTCCTCTTCGTGACCAATCAGAAAGCGGCCATCCGTTTCCTCTATCTTGCTGTGGATGATGTCTGTGATGCTCTCAAACTTGCCGGGTGAATTTATACCTGCACGCAAAAAAAGAAAAGAAAAGATCAGTTAAATTAATTTTTTCCTCGAATTAAATTGGATTAGTGGTTTTATTCAAATGCTGGAAAATTTACACCATGTAAATCTATTAAATCAAATTAAAAAACGGTTACTGCAGGGTTAATACAATAAATGTATTACAATGAGGTGTCCCATTTGTTTTGAGCGTCACGTAAACAGTCTATAAATAGATGTGATATAAAAATCCTGAAGTCAGCGAATGATCAACCTCGTCTCAGCCACTTCACCCACTCGCTCCGATTACTCTACTCACTGAGGTCATTGTAAACAGAGTCCGCCTGCTTGGTGAGGAAGAGTGATGGTTTCCGTGGTGAAGCGACCTCAATCTTCATTAGCCCGTTGCAGCATTGCAGCCACTGGCCTGGTTGTAAACAAGGAGAGGCACGAAAGAGACAGATAAAAGGTCACACTATCTTTTATCGCTACGTTTACCTAAACACATGTGCGGCGACTTTTCTTGCCCACACAGACTGGCGAGCATTCACTCCACTGCGTGGCCTTTTTAGGAAATAGAACGGCTCCGTAAACGCGGGCGGTGTGTAACCAAAGCTTTTTCTGAGCACCCACTTCTGCCGTATGTTTGCACTGAAACACACTCACTTTGATCGTAGAGGTGCTGGCGGAGGGCGTCCAACCAGTCCTCCAGCTCCTGGCTGCTCTCTGTGGTGAAGACGACGGTCTCAGCGCCCTCTGGTGAAGGGTTGATGATGGACAGACTCCTGGATTTCTGGCCGGCTGACTTTTTCTCCATCACGCGGATGCGGGTGTCCTGCAGAAACAACCAAGCCGAAGGTGAGGCTGCCCGTCCAGATATGCACCAAACGGTACGTCACCAGTTTTGCAAAAAAAACCTAATCTTCTCCGCAGTAAAATGCCAAAAGATGCGATCAGGACCGCAGTGAGTAATGTGGCATTTCATACGTTCTCATTATATATTTTCATTCTGTAAATGTTAAGAGATTATTCATCGAATAAATACATTCACACAGTAAAGTCCCCGTGACTTTTTTGAGTTACTGTGTGATTTATAAAAGTCGAAAGGTGATTCCGTCTTACCCTGTTGACGGGTACTTGGAGAGTGGGCTCCACTTTAGCATCTATCTCTTCCGGGGTGAAGTAACAGGACAAAAGGCCAGAACTCAGCGCACAGTAGAGGCTGCAGCAGCGGTACATCCCCTCGACATTGAGCTGAAGACGACCATAAGAAGAGCAAAGCGTTAACCCGGGAACCAGCTATCGAGCGAATGCCGATGAAAGCGGCAGTAAACGCACCTTCTGGCTCAGGTAGCCGGTCGTCATGGTCTGCGTCATGCAGGCAGGCTGGGCCACCAGCCGGCAGCAGAGGTTGCCATAGAGTGGAAGCCAGGAGGACCACTCAGCTGTGTGGATGAAATACGGAGGCAATAAAAACCTTGATGAAGTACTAGGATTTATGAAACGATAGAGGAACCGTTTTGATCGAGTGAAAAAGGTTAAAAAAAAACAACACGTGGTTAAAATCCTTTTCGTTTCACACGTTAGCTTTAACAATAAACCCCTAATATGCACAGCGGATCTAAACACCACACGGTGCAAAGTCATACCAAAGGTCTACTCCTGGAATTGAAAGAAATAAAAAAAAGGCCTCAGCACTCACATTATTATCCATCTAATTGCTCACGTAAGGCAAGGCGAACTTTAGTCAGGAGGTTATTTTGTTTGATTTTAGACTTCTATTTTTACGGTGTGAAAATACTGTAATCATTAAAAAAAACTACAGATTCAAACCAGGGATTTAAAAGCACAATCCCTTTACTTCCCCCAGATATTACATGTCTGCAGGTTCCTACCGTCTTGGAGGACGACGAGGGAGTGAGACTGAAAGCTGCCTTCAGCCTCGGGCAGACACAGAGACGTGTGGGCCAGCAGGTTGTACTTGGCTCCCCTGGTACACGTACACGTACACACACGCACACGCACACACACACGCACACACACACACACACACACACACACACACACACACACACACACACACACACAGGTTAGCGTTCATTAAAGCAGCCCGCATTGCCCGAATTTTATTCCGAGAGTCCGAGAGTCTGTAAAGAGTTTTACGGGGCCCTCACAATACATACATGGGTATGGGGTTGTACTGCAAGAAGGTGTCCGGGTCGGGATTGTCCACCGGGGGGCACAGCTTCTTCCCCGCCGTCTTTCCAAAGGAGCAGCGGAGCTTCTTGGCCAGTTTCTTTGGCGTGTTCACCAACGTGAGCTCTTCCTCCAGCGCGCAGCTCCACAACTCCACCCTGAGCTCAAACTGGGGAAGCGCTTCTTTGCTGCAAGAGGACAGACGCGTTTCAAACCAGCGCATAAAACGATGCAAAGTTAACGCGCCACGCGAGAGAACGATTAAAGGCAAACTAAACCGACTCGATGCGTCCAGCGTTGGGAGACGGTAAGCTGAAGTACGCGTTCTGATTTGCAATACTCACAAGACGGCGACTCCTTCAAAGCAGATATCAGTGACCGATCTGTCCACCACGGACATTTCTGTGGCGAACACCTCCGAGCCCATCTGCATCAGACAGAAAAGCGCCACGCGACGGGAGCCTGAGAAGCACACGGGAGGGATGTGAACACACGGCGCGTTCGACACAACGCGAGGCCGAACGGAGACACACTTACTGCCTCTGTTGTTAAAGTAGGCGGAATCCCTCCACATCAGAGGGATGCGCAGCCCTAAGAACCAGGGGAGGGGAGAGTGGATTTGACAAAGAAGCACACTTACAAGTTAACTTGTAAAACGCTCTGTATCCATTTGGTGGCAATACGTTATATCGTAGAAACTATTCAAATCTAATCTATTGAGATTGATTGTGCGTTTTTGAAGGCGCTCTCCAGTGTCGACTTATTCTGGAATGAGATTAATCTTACCAGACATTGCAATTGTCCCTTTACAGGGCACTCGATCATCTCGATCTGAAGATCTGAAATAATAATAATAAATAAAGATCTTAACACAACCAAACGCAAGTGTGCAACTGTAAAATATAAAAAAAATAGCAGACACGCAGAAAGCCCCCAAACTCCTCACCTCATGGCCGCTGCAATCCCACCCTGCTCCTCCTGCTGCTTCTTCTTCTTCTGCAGCTGCGTGAGGTAACCCTTGATCCTGGCGTTGCAGGTCAGCAGGTTCTTGGAGGCGTTGAGAACCTGTTCTCTCTTACTGCAGGCCAGCAGCAGCTTGTACGCACCCTCGCGCATTCGCATCTCAAAGTCGAGCTTTTCCTGTATGTTGGTGTTCTTCTCTCACAGAACAGACAAATAGGGGGGGGGTTAATATGACTAATCAATGATCCATGTCCAAACACACAAGTAACCAGCAGCTTGATGCTTTTTGAATTAGTTCAATCCAACAATGCACCACAATACAACCAGAGACCAAAATGCAGTTAAAGTGAAGTTTCCCTTTGGCGAAAAAAAGCAAACTTCCATCTTCATCACTGAAGAGCAACTTTTGTGTCGGAGCGTGAGGGGAAATGATGGGTTCAGTGAAAATAATTTATCTAATTACATGCATTTCATTTAAGATACCACCTTTTCAAGACACGCTAGGCTTGACGGGGTATAAGCAGTCAAGAGAAGTCCAGCCGTTCACGCACGGTTGTTTTAGGAACGCAAACACCATCATTCTCCATTTTACGAACTAAAATATGCACCTTCAGCTTCTTGAAACCTGTCACATGCACAAACAAATTACATCATCATTTACGTTCCGCAGACTGTGCCTCAGAAGACTTGTTAGCCTGCAATGATATTAGTTGGAGATTTACTCCTGCACACGTTTCGCAGCATTCAACAATGCAGAACACACAGCTCTGGTTTCAGGGACCCAGGTGACTCTAAACGGGAACAACTCCCGTGCTGGATAACTGAAAGCCAGCGTGCGTGTGCGCGTGGTTGAGAAAAAGGCGTCGGCGAATTCACGACGTAACTTAAAAGCTATTCGATCGCAGACCATCGAGTGTTATTGAAGCGGTGTAAACTGTTTTTAAAAAAAAGGACAGCTGATTATCACGTCGGTCTCTCAAACGTCAACGGAAACGTCATTATGACGTCAGGCCACAGACCACCACTCTGAAACGTTGACCGGTAAGATCGTAACCCGTTACCTCCGTTTGCAGGAACAAAGTACTCTCCCGTATTTTCTTCCGTTTAATCTCCATTGCCACCGCGGAACCGGCCGACAACAACGAGCCGGAGCTCCCGTTTCGCTTTGAGGTTTGAACGTCGCGCTGATCGTCCATGTTGTCCGTCCATTCGCTGGCATTCCTGGTCCAACTGAACACGCCTCCTCCAACGGACAGAGAGGGGGGGCTCGATTTGTGACACCTCGTGTGCCGCGATGACGATTATTGTCATGTACTCAAAACCCAAGCGAGAAAATCTGTCCAGAAAAGCATTTTGTATATATATATACAAAGTATACACCTAGATTAGATTTGGAAATATAATTTAAAGTTTAAACTAAAATACCATTAACTGCCAATACAGACACCATCGATATTAAAACAGACTCAAAGGCAAATGTTGGTTATCGGGATTAGCAACGGACTGTGTTGAGGTCGCCTTCAACAGTTAAGATTACAAATTAAAAAGCCACACGGTCAGCGGTTCAAAAAACAAACAAAACGCTCCGCCCTGCTAGTCGGTACCTCAAGATTGTTAAATCGAGTGCTCTCACTAGAGCGCGTCATCGTGCCAGACGTTCTACATTTTGAATTTTTATGGCAATTATTATCTAATGCTTTCTTATGTTATTCTGTTGGGTATGCGATTAAAATTTCTGAAAAAATAAATGGATTTGTTGGTGACAAATGAGAAGTTTAATTATAATTGTTTGCAGATGTATGCAAATGTAACAAAACCTTTTAGTGAACTCGGAGTGTATTAATTATTCCGCCTCTTTAAAAGTGTGTACGGGCTTTGAGCTTTCCTGGCAAATCTGTTTTTACCATCGTTTAAAATGTGATGCACGTTTGATATATTAAATGAGTTCAATAAATGTATTACTATGCTTCTTGCAACATCCTCTTTCAATCGAATCGATCCTGCAGTTGTTTGGTTACGGGAGAACATCCTTATTCATTTTAGCCGCGCATCGTGCAGCAGAAACACTTTATTTATTTTATTCGTTTATCGTAGCGTCGCCAGCTGCGCAGCCCAGATCCGGATGAAGTCACAAAACACCCCGAAACGTGACCAGTGAGTCCAGGAAACCCGCCCGCACGGCCGGTTCTGTCTGACTGCTTCTGGTCGCGTTGGAAGCATCCATGGTCGGAAGTGTAGACGCAGGCGCTGCTCAGGATGAACTGTCAAGTTACACAGCGAAGTAAACTTGCACCCCGGAAATGATGATGTCAGCTTTACAAATTAAAAGGTCAATTTTCTTTTAGAGGAATGCAAATTCGATCAAATGTGTGTCTAATCCTCTGGTCCAGTCTGTGCAATGTGATGTCAGCTATTTTGCCATTCGTTGGATATTTTCTTTGCCATAAGTTGCACACGTGGGTTTTCACACATCACTATGTTAAATGAAAAAACAAACAGATGCAAAAGTTGAGCTTCAATTTCAGGCAAAATCAGGCAAAAGCTTTAGCCTTTCTATTTTTGGATTCATGATGACTGCATAATTTCTTATTAGATACAACAACAGGGATATTTTGGGCAACAACAATGTACTATTACAAGAGCTGAGCTAGACTTCCACAAGGATTGAGGGCAACAATACATTTAGTTTTTTGCATTTTTCTTTTTATTAAAAATGTAACACACATTAATTTGAAAATATTAAGTCCACATACCAAAGCATTTTCCCACTATTTCGAAAACAATAATTAAGACACACACCTTTATTATGATGAATATGTAAAAATAAGTGATACTATGTTAGAATTGACCTATTATAAGTATCTTCAATGCGGCCATTAGGACAATGTTTTGTCAACATTCTTTTATAAATTGTTTAATTGTTGATGTTTTACATAGCAATCTATTTTTTCATTTTCATAGTTGTAGTTACAAGGATGTAAAATCTCCTTAGCGAATCTTCGTAATTGATTTTCATGGTTTCAACAGTGTATAGTGAAATGGTCAACATGGTTATCAGCTTCATTGGCCAAGTATGTTTTCACATTCAAGAAATTTGGTTGTTTGAAAGGTGTGAACAAAGCTAAACGATTGTATGTAAAAAATACATAGAGAACGAATATGTATTTATAAGTAGGTGAAAACACATGTATGTGTACTCTATACATAAATAAACGTGATTAGCATCATATTGTATTTTCCAATCTGTTACATCACAGTTTTTCTAAGTAGTAAATCCCTCCCTACAGATTTAAGGATGCTGAACTACATCTTTAATCCGTGCACCACATGATGAATTGTCCATATGCTCGACACGTCCCACATTCACGAATCGGGGTCACTCCGATTCTTTTACTCTGAAAGTCTATCCCCGGAAGTCGCGTGCAACACTCCCGCCGACTTGACGCGTCTGCTCGGCATCATGTCCGCTGGCGCTATCGCCGAGCAACGGAGGGAGAGAAGGCCGACGCGCGGAGCCAAAGCGAACCGCAGCAGCGACAGGGCAGGGCTCCTCTAAGCCACCTTCAACCGAGACACGCACCAGAGGGGAAAACGGGTGAGCGAGGCGGACATTCCGCTTTCTTTTTTAACACCTAGCGTAGTTGTAGAATATATACAGCTAGGAGCAGGTTAGCTCGCGGGTCGACCGTTAGAAGTTTGCAGCAGAAGAAAAAAAAAAAAAGGGAAAGACTCGGGGTTTTTTTCTGCTTTTGTGCCGCCCGCCCGTGGATGTCAATGACGGGTATTTCTTTTTGTTGATGCAAAATTCTCCCCCTCAGTCGGACAGGCCAAATATAGAGCATCCACACACATTTGTTCAATTTGAATTCATAAAAAAAGCAATAAGGAGGCTCAGGAGGGGGGGGGGGGGGGGTGGGGGGGCTGGTGCGACTCCCCGCCGGCCGCCGTGGACCGTCCGGCCGCTGATGGACGCGCTCAGCCTCTGTGCTGCCTCTGGGAACCAGCCGCCACCCTGCGTGCTTTGCCCTGTTATTACCGGTATTCGTCACAGCCCGGGCGGCCCGCCGTGTTTTTTAGACGCCGTGGCCACGCGCAGGCCGGCGAGGCGGGACGCGCTTTGTGTCCATCTCACGCTCCCGGCCGCGGTCTCCTCTCGCGGTGTTTACACCGTCCGAACGCTGTTATTCACACCCGTACGCAGGCCGACTTCCATACGTATTGTAGCTTCAGAGTGTTTTCCCCGAAATCGGACCCTCCTCCTCCTCCTCCTCCTCCTCCTCTTCTTGTGTGTGGAGGCTTTGTTTTCGTGGGGCAGATGTAGCTGGCCTACTTGCATCCGCTCTCTTTGTGTTTGGCTGTTGCTGTCACCATCACACAGCCGGTGAAACGTGGGCCAAGGATGCGCTACAAATGCGTTACGGTGTCCTTACTGCGAACGTCTCACGCATCCGGTAACAGAGTCAGTGGTGGGTTCAGTTAATGTGCTAGAAGCTGAAGGGCAAGTTCCAAAGTTGCACTGTTCAAAACATTTGAAAAGCGGCAGCTTTATTTTATTATAATGATTATTTTTATTAATTGTATTTCATGGTGTTGGGTAAGCAGTGCAGACTTAGGGCTTAAAACACACTTCCACTATTCTCCCACTCGAGCGATGTGTCCTCCGGAGGCTGTGGAGCTGAAGGCTGCACACTGCAGAGTCTCCTCAGTCTCCTCCTCCTGGCTGCAAGAATTCCATTTTTTTTAGTATGTGCCAGACTGTGCAGATGATACCATCCAGCCCGGCGTTGCTCCTTTCCTTCCCTTTCCTTTCCTTTCCTCCTTTCCTGTCCTTTCCTTGCCTTTCCTCATTTCCTTCCCTGCATTTCCCCGCATGTGTGGTTGCCGGCAGGCGGGCCGTCTCCACAGGAAGATGCGTTTTTTAAAAATCTGTGTCAGTGTCACAGGACGGACGCATAGAAATGGTGCAACCGGACTTTTCTTCTGTGGAAAAACTTCTGTGGAAATGTCCTGCAATCACCATGGGTCAATTCTGATGGTGATAATAAGTTGACTTTTAACAATGAGCAGAATAATAAGTTAATTAATTTAATCCTCCCTTCATCCTCCCTGAATGACTTTAAATGTGTTTCCCGCTCAGTATTCTGATTCTGCCCCAGTAAGCGTTGTGTAGTATTTGTAAGCGTCTCCTTCAGTAATATGAGCCCATTTTCTGTCCACAGTTGGTTCTGAAGACTCGTCCGTCCTCCCCGTGGCCATTGTGTGTTGTAGGAAGTTTAGGAAGTGAGTTCACTTTACCTCAGCGGTGAGGGAGTTTTATTTGTCACTGAAAACAATCCAGTCTGGAACTACAATATTTGAATGTATTCTGTTCTCTTCAACTTTTAAAGTATTTTTATACGAGGAAGACTTTGACTAAAAATAGCAGTGCACTTTAAAAGCGTTATGAGAGTCGGATGGCTTCGCCTGCCGAAGCAGACACTCGTGTGCCGAGTCAGAGAAACGAGGGAGGCGAATGGAAAAGTCTGTGAAGAAAACAAGACAAATGGCCGAAGCGATTCATACGCGTAGGAGATCGGCCTCTCCCGTGTTATGGACCAGCGAGGGCGGATCAGGCGTTTTTCTCCGCTTATAACTCCTCAAAATGAATAATAAAACAGAGTGACCTTCACATCTGTTTTGGGGTGGGACACACTCCCTTCTGTTTCCCCTGCAGATATTGATCCCGTATCTTGAGTTTCCGTCTCCTCCCTGTTATGCCAACGGTGATTTGCAGCTGAGGCTATCGCTGTGGGCAGCTTAAATGCTCAACCTGGCAGGGTTTGGTCAAATACTAATGTTCCTGTTGGTCAGTCATTATCTGAGCAGCAGGGGCCACGCAGCAGTAAACCCGACACACTGTGCCCGGGCTTCTTCTTTGGGCCCAATGCAGTTATTTATTCACATGACAATAACGTAGCAGAGAGTAAGATGATTAACCCAGTGGGGATAACTTTGGGGTTTTATTGAGAATATTTAATATAACTATTCAACACATCTGAGTTGAAGGTGTGTTCTAATAAAGGGCTTTGGAATCTGTTTTCTATGGATTTGTCAGACAATTATCTTTTCCGTGAACTGTGAAAAAAAAAGACATGAATATGGCCGCCATGATTCCGTTATGGCCAAGGTGATGTATTCATTCAGATTGTGTTTTTTGGTCTGACCAACGTTCCAAAACTCCCAAAATGTTTTAATTGTCTACCATATACAGCAAAGAAAAGTACTAAACTTCTTAAACACGTCGCAGGAGCTCACAATGTTAGAGAATGTTAGCTGTGGACCCACGCGTTAATCAACTCTGCTCTATTAAAATATGAATTGCTCCAACATTTTGAAATTGAAAATGTGGTTTGCTTATTAGTTTACGGCACAGAGAGCTGCCTCCAGATGCTTTTCATCATATTTGATGAAGAATGTTGGGAACACACGCTTCGGAGAAAGAATTTGATGCACCAAAAATGACTCTGCTGCAGGCCAAGTGCTTCATTAAGTCTCATGGATTATTAATAACATTTCCTATTCTCTCTTTATCAGTACACCCTCGTAAGACTCCACCAGAACAATAACTTTACTCTCTCAGATAATGCTGGAAGGCTTGTTTTTAATACATGCCACCTGGTTATTTCCACCTGGGGGACAACAAATTGTCTAAATGTAGGTCTGTAAGCCGCGTGGACCACGAGGGTCAGCAGGCATGTGGCCGGTCCGTGTCTTATGGCCAGCGGCGTGCACGCCGATAACAATAAAGCTAAATGTGTGTTTGTTTGTTCCTCTCTCCAACTGCCCATGTGACGCGCACGGCTGCCTTTCTGCACCATATGGTCTTTTCTGCTGCATGGGACATTTACCCCCCCCCCCTCCCCCCCACACACACACACACACACACACAGGATGAATTGATAAGCCACGGTGACGCACAGAAAGCCACACATGCCCACTAAGTGCTATTCTGACACCGTAATGATGAATTATCTCCCTGCGTGGTGCTGAGGTTAATGCTCATGTGTTTTATTTATCTGGCTGCTTGAATTAAGAACTAATCAAAATGTTCAATAGCATGAACCCTTTTTTTTTCTTCGTTGCATTTTTCAATTACATTTTGTACATATAATCTTACTCCAAATGCAGGATTCCGATTTGCAGACGCGTAGTGGGGAAAGGATGACGCCATAAGGGGAAATGATGGCATTCATCACTTTGTGTGTGATACACACGAGCTGATCACCTGCTACGTGGTTCTACTACGTCTACACGTCCAGTTGTACACGAGCATTTCTTATTGTAATGTGGGGTCGCCTTGTGGTTGTTTTGCTCGCGGCTGTCTATTGTTCGTCTGTGAGGGGAGGTAAAGTAGGCCAACTCCATCCTACCGCCAAAGTGAATTAAAGACTTAAACACTGATATCGCTGCAGCGGGCTCCTTTGTCGCCTCTCGTTTTGGGCCCCAGAACGTTTCATACATGCTACACACACAGGTTTGGTAAATCCAGCCATCGTACAAAAAGCCCGGTGTGTCTTCCTGTTGGAGGTTTAGAGAGGAACAGACCTCTTAGATGTCTGTAAATGTGTCTTTTGTCTGTCTGTCCGTTGGTCCGCTGGTTGCCTGGTTTGTTCTTCATACCCTTGGGGCTCTGGAGGCTTCCTTTCTCCCAGAACACCTCGAGGGTTGCGAAACCAGTCTCCCTTATCTATCGCTTATTGATTTAATGACCTTTTATATCAGCGTTTTCAAGGGAATACGCTGCTGCTTTCCCATTTGTCTTGACCTTCCTTGTGCTTTCCTTCTATTGCTTTTACTGGCACCTTTTGAGGTGCCGTCCTGCACCACGTACCCTTTTTTTCTCTTTGTTTCCATTGTTGCAAAGCTGCAATATTGATTATATTATTCATGTCATTTTAGGTGATGCATGAGGTGTTAACCCACACGAGTCGTCAATCTGGCAACATGTTTAGTTTCAAGCTGTCACTTTGCAGTGAATAAGCATCGCAATATTTCCCTCCAATTTTGTTCTCATTAGAGGTTAGTTAGATAAAATGTAACTCAGCGATCACTTCTCGAGCCCTTGTAACTACAGCGAGCTATTTATATCAGAACAGCAGCTTCTATATCAGCTTCTGCTGCTGTTGTAAACATTCAAAGCATCGCCTCCTGTCTGTCAAAACGCACCGTTTTGATTTAAAAGTAAGTAGCAAAATATTAATAATAGTAGTGAAATATGACCTATAAGAATACATTTCTTTTGTCACTCGGAGCGTGGCCTGGCATGGCTTTGACTTCACCCGTTGGTTTTATTATCCACATGCTGGTATGTTTGAGTGCGGCTACACTGAGATGAAGCTGTTTTTCAACGTGGGCCGACAACCACACCCTTACGCTTGTCTCCCATCATGACACCACATGGAAATGTGGACTGGTGAGCCCGTCTCTCTCTCTCTCTGCCTTCCCGACTGTATGTAAATGTGTGTGTGTGTGTGTGTGTGTGCGCGCAGAGCAGCTGTCAGCGCGTGATGCCCTCTGAGTCGGCGTTCAGGTCCGGTAGTTTAGGCAGATGAGCAGTGGCGTTGCATCATCCCGGGATACACTCTGCAGCCGGAGGCTTTGTGGAGAGCAGCAGCCGTGTGTCGCAGCAAATAAACACAGTGAGGGATGAGAGAAAGCGGCGTGCAGCGCTCATCTACTCCACTTCCTGTTCCCTTTCAGACATCGCCTGTGATTGGCTGGTCCAGAGTGGAGGGAAAAGATATGAATTGTTGGAATGGCAGATGTTTTCCGATAAAACGTTGTGCTAGAGAACAGAAAGATGTAGTAGCATTTAACAGCTAATTGACCAGATTATCCAGCAGTGCGTTTGTAATCACCACACTTATTTCTAATGGCTGAATGGTTTGTCATATAACGATTATCAATAGCAGTGCTCATTCTAATTTGCTTCAAACCCTCCACCATTGTCAGTGTTTTTTTCTCCAGCTGTGAATCAGCCGCCTCGCGGTAGTCGATGTATTGTCATCAAATCAACATCAGACGCATGATGCATACAATGATTACACGGATGGCCGTTGCGGAAAGGAGTTTGTTTTTTTGCCACCAAAACAAGAAACAAGCAACTCTTCCTGCTTTACCTTTTAAATGTGAGATTTAAGAACATTTTTTAATTTACAGATGAGAAATAAAGATGGGAATTGGAATTTTACAGAACCCATGACGTTGCGTCCAAATTTCCTCTTTCTGACCAAAGCGGTACAGAATTTACTGTTAAAAACAAAGAAAAAGAAAGGGAGAATACTTGACATTGAGCTGGAAAATTGTGCATAGATGATTATTTTTCTGTTAAATTATTACGTTTTTTTCTTTTTCTCTATAATCCACACTCAATGCGTATGCTGGTGATTTATTTTTTTTATCATACCCCACAATTTAAATTCCGTCCACCTCATAAGTATTTTTATATGTTAGCTGAGCTCACCACTTAACATCAGAACCGCAAGGAGCACGTGTACAGCAGAGCATCTGCTTCGTCAGACCCACCGCTGCATTCCTCCAGCCGTGCCGCGTCTTTCGCGTGTGACAGCGGGAAGGTTTTTTTTAACGGCACCACACGGGCCGGTTTGTTCTGGTAACGGCGCATTCCCGTGGTTATCGGGATGCTTTGGTTGCCGTGGGGACAAGAGACCACACATAATTATACTGTAACGACGATGCTGCTGTTGTTTATCGTTGGCTTTCTCCCATGATGTGTTCCTAGTGTGGCGCTCCAGTGTCATATCTAAAACACAATACCTGTGCTTCGTTTTGACACAGCAATTGTCAATGAGCTTGAGACAGTTATGAAGATGTGTCCAAAACACACTTCATCTATGACAGCATGCTGCAGCACATTGCTTGTACCCGGGTACTTAGCAGCCGTCTAGAATGTCCTCATTACGTTTTTCACATATCACATAAAATGATTGGACATTCATAGCTGTTACTGTGATGAAATCGGATCCCTTTTACATCAGTGACAGCAGTTGCTTTACAGTCACATCCCCAAAGAGCTTCGTGCTGTCAGAGGTGTGTAGTTGATTTAAAGTTTTACCCAAAGGATTATTGAGTTGGTATAGCAAGTACTTATGAGGTCAACTGAGCAAAAGCTTAGCTCAATAATCTTTAATTCCCTCTCTGTGATTGGCTTTTCTTGGCACGTTTTACACACCGCAGAGATCCTGTTATTTTAGTGCCGCTTTAATTTGCCATGGAAAGCTTTTTATGTTATGTTTGATATGGTAAGAAATAATTATGGACCGCATTGAAATTGCCCAAACCTCTGTATTCGACTGCTTTAAAAACGGATTCTCCACTTCATTCAAAGAGGCTTCACTGAAAAATTAAATTAAGAAAAGGTGCTTTTGGCTGTTTACAGCCAGTGACTCATCAAAACAACTCTAATTCCATAGCAAGTCCATGAATTATTTGTGCTTAATCTGTTTTTCGTTCAAGCGTGAGCAGTATGAAAGTCGCCGTGGCTGCGCGGCTTTGACCTCCTTTCCAGCTCATCTGTAAGAGAGCGGAGGGAGGAGGCGGTAAACAGTAAATGTCCTGTTGGGGAGGCCAGCCAACATTCCTACATCACTTCCTCCTCCAACATCTGGCAATGATCAGGGCCGACCAAGAGACAGGGGGAGAGAGCGGACGCGTCTCACTGGTTGACTCACTGTTCATTTCCAGGAGTAGACAGTGAAGCGTCACATTGCAATACCGCCTACTCAGCAAAATAAAGCAAGATGTAGTGTTTTCTTCACACGTCTACACTGTCTATAATACCTCTGTATCACATATTATTTAATACATTTATGTGTCCTGTTGCAAAAAAATGCCTTCGACGTCTTTGCCTGCTTTTGTGAGTAAAAATAAAAAAAGAAGAAAAAAAGGGCTAATAGATGTTTTTTCCTTTCTTCTCCTTCCCCAGGATGGCTTAGTCGTGTTGTGTTGCCAGCAGTTGATTGGCAGTGAGCTACCCGGACCACAGGTGTGTAATAAAACTCACTACTTTATGTTTATTGTTTAAAACAACTTACCTCCATGTATATTGCATTGGTTTGCCATATTTCTGCCATATTGGCAAATAAAAAAGAAAAGCTCTTCTACAAATACTATTATTTAATTAACTTTAGCCTATTGAAAGTTTGACTCGACAAATGGAACAGCACTGGGAGGAGTACAATGAGCACATAAATAATCTTTAGATACTTGATACTTGCTCACATGTTTTTTTCCCCACTTATCTCCGTTTGTTTTTAAGCAGCACTGTGTGTAACTGAATATAATGGGCTCCACTAAACAAGTGTTCCTGCTGTTCTTGAACATTTTTATTCATTGAACTGTTTCAGTAGATGTGCGTTTGTTTGGAGGATGCACGCAGAGCCATTTGCATTCTGATACCGAAGATGAATTAACAGAACTGTTTATCGAACTGCAGATCCGCTGACTTACTGCTGCGAGGCGGCAGCAGGGCTGCAGAGATGAGTGTGACCTCGTGGTTCCTGGTGAGCAGTGGGGGCACTCGCCACCGACTCCCCCGGGAAATGATCTTTGTCGGCCGGGATGACTGTGAGCTCATGCTACAGGTGGGGGAGCACTTTATTTCTCCACTCACAGCAGCTTAAATGAACCACAATGGGATATTTTTCACTCTCTCTTAATGTGGAAATTGGTTTCTTTATTCTTCATTCCAACTGCAGTTTAGGTCTGGGTAAATTACTCGGTTCGAAGATAATATGATAATAACAAGATAACACACAAAGCCTGACAGTCATGTGAGGGGCCTCTCAGTGGTATAAATAACCCGCTGACCTCACAGCACAAGCTGACTGTTTACTCTGAGCCCTCAATGCTCACGCCGTTGCTATTGCAGTAGCATGTTTATCTGTTGTCATATTGTGTGTGTGTTGGTGTGTTTGTGGTGGTGTCGAGGCAGCTGCGCGTACATCCAGGGAGACCATGTGTGTGTTTGCTCATGAGTACCTCTGGTCACTGCACTATTAATAGAAAGTGGGGCAGATTCCTCCGAAGTTGGAGCTTATCTGAGGGTGTTGTAGTGTGTAGAGGATGCATCCATGGCAGCAGGCTCTGTTATGACACTATGTTTGACAGAGGTTTTACTGGTGCCAGTGCATGGACTCCCACTGATGGTCAGTCATTTTAACTGTGTTGGTGGAAGTTAGCATCTGTTTCATGAAATCCCATTAGCAGTTTTTTTAATATTACCACATTCCATCCTATGTATTTTTATCACGTTATCAAGTTTTGGAGCTCAAGCTAATCACGTGTAAAACCCTCATTGTGGTCTCTTTTAAAATTGTAGCGCTGCATACTTCCCAAGGCCAATATATATAAAACAGGGTACATCATCATCTTATTTTTTTTGTCATTATAGGGTTTATTTTTACTGTTGAATAATATGAAACATTTTTTATTCCATTTTCTTTTTTTTTGAGTTTTTTAAATCTTTCCTGAGATTTTAGCAAAACATCTTTATAACCTTTCGGTGATGAATAGCCTTTCAATTGAGAAATAGTACTTTATTTATATTACCATTTAGTAGCAGCACTGTGTCTTCAGTTGACCTTTCAGTGGGCTGATTGCTGAGTTTGTAGTAGTTTCCCTGCTGACCTAAATCCTCTCACAGTCCAGCTCTGTGATGAGGGAACTTTATGGGAGAAGTAATACTGAAGCAAGTAGAGATTTAAGGGATCTTTCTTCCTCTCATACGTCTCTGTCTACTGCTCTTGCCTACGTCTGTATATGTGACTGTTTTTCTACCCTTGTGATGTCTCTGGAATGATAAAAAGATAAGGCAAATCTTCCATCCATTCCATCCATGTGACTGCTTCAGCGAGCCCGATCACACGGCTAAACGTTAAAGGGCGACTTGTCCTCAGTAGAAAAAACGAACACTCACAGAATATCAAATATGAAATGTATGACCGAGTTGTCACTCTGTCACTACAGCTCATGATCAGGTCCAGCTTCTTACTTTATTGAAAAGGGGAAGTTGTGCAAGAAATACATGAACACAGTTTCCATGATTTCAGCCTGAGTCATTAAATGGTCAGTGAGGCTATTAACACCATTTCTGTCTTTCAGAACGATTCCCTCTGACTCTAAGCTTAACAAACGGCAGTGTGTGTTTGTGTACGTTGTTGTGTGTGTGTGTGTGTGTGTGTGTGTGTTTCTTCTTTCCTTGATGAATCAGATTCGACTCACGTCTTTATCCCTCCCTCTTCCGTTTTTGTCTCCTCTCTCACTCAATGCACAAAATGAGCCCAACTGAGCTTCTCCACATCTGTATTGTCTTTTGCTTTGGCACATGTTCAGTTGGTCAGCAGTGTATCTGTGTGTAACAGCGTGAGTCCGTCCTGTGGCGCCAGGTACAACAAGCAGCTCAGTCACTTTCTATCCTGTTTGATGGAGACTAATCTCACTCGGGTAATCTGTTGGAGGCTCGGCCCTATGAGGTTCCTTTCCTTTTGCATTACTTCCCATGACTTTTTTTGCTTTAGCGCGATGGAGTTTTGCAGCACACACCACCAACTTTTGAATCATAAATGAAAGCAAACAGTTTCGGAACAAGGTGTCATTTGTTTTTCGCATTTTATGGTGTGCCTTATCTGAAGGGTGCGCTAACAGACATTTGGAGACTGCAGCACATTTTCTCACCAGTCAATGTCAATGCATTTTTATATGCTTTGAACGTCTCTGATATTTATACACAGGGGGGATATTTGTGATTCCATTTGTTAAAAATTCCCCATACAGAAGGTCGCACGGTTGGTGTCGGCCAAAAGTTATCCTCAAAACAATGAAGATAATCATTACCTTCACCTGCAGTCCTGCATCGCTCAACTGTTCTCCTTGTGTGTGTGTGTGTGTGTGTGTGTGTGTGTGTGTGTGTGTGTGTGTGTGTGTGTACAGCCGTAGTGACATTGAGGGTCGCTGTCATAGATGTTGCCTCTGGATGCTCATACCTCCACAAAGCTGTAGCGTAGCACAGTCTGCTCCGGTCACACACAGCCATCTAGTGAGCTTTGTAAGAAACGGATGTTATTCTGCAGCTCGCGGTCCAGCTTCCACTCTCTGCAGTCCGGCCTCAGCACAGGTGCCTTTACCTGAAGACGTTTCAGAGGAGGAGTTACCACCGGATTAATGCTCTGTCTTTTGTGCGTGTTTTTATTCGTAGTCCCGCAGCGTGGACAAGCAGCACGCGGTCATCAACTACGAGGCCGGCGCAGACGAACACAAGGTCAAGGACCTGGGCAGCCTCAACGGGGTGAGTTCACAAACAGAAATATGCAACATGGAAAGCGGTTGGGACAAAGGTGAAAGGAGCAGAGAGAACTAAGATAGAGAAGGAGTTCAACCGGCTGGAGGAGGAGTGAAGGGAGAAGGGCCGCAAAGATAGATATGAAGAGATACAGAGGAAAACAATGAAAGACGTTGGGGGTCCTGAAGGGTTAGAGGTTAACTGGTTTTATTTAGTGGTCAATAGGACCTTCGATTTTACCGCTGCTAATCAATCTCAGTGTCACAAGAGATTTGTATCAGGACTGAGGGCAGTCGGGATCAAATTCTAATTATGCAAATTACAATCTGTGATCCAAGTGTAAACAAAGGACAAGGCCAACTCCACTTTGAGATGAATATCACTGACTGTTTTCTCCTGATTTTGGAAAATGTGGTTTCTGACAACAATTGTAAAGAAACAAAAAAAGAAAAAGAATTCTGTACCATAAACCTTAGAAAAACATATGAACTTTGTTAAGACACAGCTAACGTTTCACTTTAACATTATATTTCCGTAAAAGCTGCTTACAGTTGCCATATGCAGTTAGTCATGTGTTGTGATTAGCACTCGGCCAGAGCCTCACATCCTCTCCAGCTATCAGACAGGAAGTCAGAGTCACTTCCTGCTGTGTTGTTAGTCGTCCAGCTTCTTTGGTTGAGGAGGAATTTTTCTTCTGCTGAGTCAGTGGATGTAAACAGATTTGCCACAATACTGATTGAAAAGCTGTGTTTGATCAGTTTTACCCATGAACGTCTTACTGGAGGTGTCTCATTTCTGCTTCGTAAAGCTGACGTGAGCTCATCTTACTAAAGAGCAGGACGGTATGTTTTATTACAACAGCAGTGCCTGTATAATATAATTTAATTTGCAGTTCAGTGGAACCTGATTACTCACTGCTGCACAGCAGAAGGAGGAGGTGAAAGGGGGAGTCAGAGTGGCAGAAAGGAGGAGGTAAAGGGAGAGACATGCATTGTCAGGCTTGGGGCTTAACTTCTAGCTGTGCAGACTGATTAGCTGATTTAACTGTGGACTTAATGCATATTATTACTCATAGTAATACTAAATATTATGGCAATTCTTGTTTTTTGTCCTGCCTTTCTTTCCTTCTGCAGACCTTTGTGAACGATGTGCGCATTCAGGAGCAGATGTACATCACTCTGAAGTTGGAGGACAAGCTGAGGTTTGGATATGATATCCTTTCACTTTTTCGATCTGTTAGCCTCTTCAGCCCCTCTCACAATTCCACAGAGATATTAAGCAGCAAAGCCTACCAAATTTCAACACCTTGATGTTATTATATATATTATTACCAAGATGCCAACTTACTCTACTGTTTGATGATGCATTACTGGGTTTAAAATGTTACTATGTTCTATTGTGGCCAATGTTCCCTTAACATGTCAGTTTCACATACCAACCTGTTCACGGTGGTGAGGGGGGAGCTCACTGTGCCTGAAGAGGCTCTAAAGGTAATGACACAAACACATACAGTAAAATATACGTATTTACCGCAACACATAGTTAAATAATACTGCTAAACCGCTAAATACCTTTCTGCTCTTCACCTTCTGATAGCATGAAAAGTTCACCAGCGGCCTTCAGCTCAGCAAGAAGCCATCCACTGTTGAAACCACGACCACAGCAGCCCCAAGCAAGTCCCCCGCTAGGTCCCCAACAAAGGCACTGAAGTCCCCAAGCGGCAGCAACCCAAGACCAGGAGAGAGTAGACCAGCAGACGGGCTCCCTTCTTCCTCCAAAGAGCAACCGGCCAAACCTGTGGACACTCACAAAGCTGAGGAGAGGCTAGCAGGTGAGAGACAACTTACATTCCCTCCATAAAAGATATATTAACTGCTATCACATGGCCACTCGTTTCTCATTTGACTTTATACCTACCGTATATTTATAGATGGATATTGTTAATATACAAACATACTTTACTTTTTCATATTTTGCTGAACCAAAATTAGGTTTTGGGCCACAAAGGATAACCGAGCACAATCACTCCACTAAAACTGTATAATGGCTTTATTCTTACAAAGAATCTAAACAATATACCAAAACTCTAACTCTAACTACTGAATTGTCACGATTTTAATTAAATGTATTGTGACTTACTGCATCCTTTTACTGTTGTTTCATGGTCCACGGTTGTGCAACGCACAGCAATTTAAGTTGCATGGGTTATGCCTTTTTTTTTAGAAAGAGGCACTTTAGCACTTTTCAGACAGATTAATTGAAAGGAAGTGTAGTGAGGTTTTACCACAGGCCAGTAGGGGGTGGACAGAGTCAGCAGGGAAAGGGCTTTAACCACCACCCCAGCACGCATCCAGTCTGCTTCAACATGAAGGCGCTTTCGGAGGGCGGCCCTAACAATTGACATCACTGGCCAGGCTGGAGTCCTGGCAGGGGTCCTGGCAGGGATCCTGGTTAAGCCCCAGATGTTGAAACAAGGCCACATGGGCTTTGTGTTATTGCACAGATTAAGTAGTAACACGGTCAGAGGGCTTGCATGATGTCAACCAGTATGCAAGCACTTCTTTTATTAAAGTGAAGTAAGTTCACCAGCTTGCATGTACATTAGCACATTTTTAAAAGAATAAGACAACACGCACTAACGTTTTGCATGTCTCTCCATCTGCTGCTCATGTCTTTAATGACACCCTCTGTGGTTCTATGGATTTAATCTTTTAGTGTTGGTACCGTAATACCACGTCCCACCCAGAAATTACACCTCATAGTGGGCATACATTCAGTAGCTTTAATGTAGAAGGCCCCTTCTTATTGAACGCAATTAGGCGCACAGCATCCATAATTATATGCACTTGCTGTGCTTGAACCTACATAACTTAGGATTTGGGATGTTAAAGTAAAGGAAAGGGGTAAAACAGGAAGAAGTTAACACATGTGGAGACTTCCCGTGGTAAGTAACCACAGGATGCCTGTCCCGTTTCAGCTTTTAGTTCTAATTGTGACCGAGAGCCTAACGGAAAGTCCCACATTCATTTGAACGGCATGTGTTTGACAAAGAGAAAGAACATGATAGAGGAAGAGTGCACGTGTCTTTCCTGCTGGCTGAAGTTCTGAAAATGGGTCAGTGGTGCAAGACTCAACCGGAGAGGAATTAATGCTTCAACACGCATATACACAAAGAGCAGCTGGGATCTCTTCATGTCGTCCTGAGACAATAAACAGCTTATTTTGACATTACCACAGTATGTAACGTACATGATAAACATGTTCAACATGAAGCATTAGGGAAAGCTACTTTAAAATGTGCAGCGGCTCGGCTACAATGTGTCTGCATTTGTCTCAGGAGACGTTGCAGCGCTGCCCCGTGGGACCCCCCTGTACGGCCAACCGTCTTGGTGGGGGGATGGGGACGCGGACGATGAGAACTCCTTCAAACAGGAAATCAAGTCATCCAACAAAAAACATGACGGCTCCGTTTCAGGTAGGAATCATTCCAATTTTGAGCTTCTGACTTCTCGATGTCACTATAACTCAAACGGCAGTGCAGAGGACGATGCATACAGGGGTTTAAAATGTATATACTTATTCATCATATTGCCAAAAGGAAGAAAGCTGGTTCATTGTTATGTGATGCCACTTTTTTTTACCATGGATTTTTGTTCCTATAGTTCCTATACAAATATACGCAATATACTGAACAATTGTGTGTGTTTAATCTTACACAATATTTAGGGCTGCACAATACCGTAGGTATTAGTAGGTGCAGTTTGTCTGATAGCCAACATGCTGTAAACTCGCCCTCGTCATTGTGCATCTGATTGGTCAGTGAGGTTTATCAGCCTGGTGCTCCCACACAGCTCTGCATGGTTGAAGGATGAAAGTGTGAGAATATTTAATGCAGACAATATGGGAATGCCGGAGAGGAACTTCTGCCTAGAGTCATGAGGAAGAAGTGGTTTTAAGTTCTAGTTTTGAATTTATTGTGAACATCGAGATGATTAAGTTCAATGTTCAGTAAAAGAATGTTGGAAATTATTTCCCTCATTCATATAGTTTCTTCTAAAAGCAGCAGAAAAGCAAAAAGAAGTACACTGCTTTCAAGCACTGTTATTATTGCAAAAAAGTTATTGCATTTTCCTGTACCGAAGAAGTCCCAGCCCACAGATGAAATGCAATGCTAAATTGAGCAGTGCAGTGAAGATTATTTTTATCTCCACATTGCAACAGTAGCTTGATCTTAGCGCCCTCTGGCTCCGTTTCTCTGTCCTGTGTTGTTGTACTGGTCAGACATACTGTGTGTTTGTGTTTGTAACAACGCAAATCCAAGTGCACACAAAGGCGTTTTTCAGAGCCTGAAAGTCTGTTTATCCACATGCGTCTATCGTGCCCGTTGGACCGGGGGGATCCCGGGAGCTGCTGCTGCTGGATCCTCTGAGTAACGGGATTAGAGTCTACACCAATAGTGAAACAGCTCAGCGACACGGAATCAGTCCGTGTCAGGCTGGTTTAGTGTGGACCAGTGTTGTCGGAGGGAGTGGGGGGAGGTTAATCATACACAAACATTGGAGCAGACTGAAGCGTCCTCACGTCTCCTGGATGGATAGTCTGGGAGTGTCTTCATCACCCTGCAACGGAATCCTTCTTTTGATTCATCAGTTGAATCATTTCTGTGCTTTTAGTGTGGAAAGGGTCAATTAAAACCCTAAACGCTTTCCAAAACATTAGGCCAATGGGACTGGCTCCTTCAGTCATGGAAGTGGGTGAGTGGAAGGCACTTTGACCTCTTGGAACATTGACTTTTTCGACTGAATGCTGAATAGATGTTTTGACGTTGGGTTTGTTGTGTGAGGCGGACAGGATGCTCCCCGGGGGGTGTTGCACAGTGCATTCATGTAGGTTACAAGGATCTCAGCATCAAAAGAAGATCTTATCAGCGGACGTGTCTTAGAGTGTGAGCGCCACCTCTAAACGTGCTCTAATGAACTGCTTACATCAGACATACAGTAGCGGCAAAGGGGAAGTGAAAGAGAGTTTTTTGGGAAAGAGTGTTTTTGTGTTGTTGCATGCATGTGAATGTCAGTTGAGTTTAGTGTGTGTGTGTGTCCTTTTCTCCTTCGCATTGAATAGGCTGTGTTTGCTTGTCAGAGCCCCCCTGCCCCCTTCCTTGTGTATTGTCACTCAGGCCGTTTGGGTTACGCCATTGCACCAGCTCCCCCATTCGTCCCAACACACAAGCACACACAGGGACGCACAAGCACACACAAGCACACAGCGTTCAGACAGACCACTCTCTCTCAATGTGAACTGCGGCGATCATTAGCTAACCACTCACAAGTAAGTATTGCTCTCAATTCCATTTACCTCGGCCTACGAAGCCGGTAAAAGACTTTCAAATCCAATCAACTTTTTTTTCTGTGACCTGTTTTGTAAAACGATATTTTATAGCTCTATCTATTAGTTGTCTTTAGCGATGAACAGTGATCTCAATGGAAGCCATAATATTATTCACACAAATTGGCACGTATTACATTGGTGAGATAGAGGATGTTTAGTCAGCTCTTCATTATTTCAAGAACTGAGCAAATTAAGTAACTTACTGTTGTTTGACAGGTTTTACATTCTCAGATAAATCATTCCACCTATTTTATCTAAATATCCACATTTTTGCACTCCGTTTAAATCCATGTTGTAAATCTTGTTGCAGAGCAGCTTATGCTGGTAACTGCAGGATTTGTTGTCTGCTTAGTTGATAACACTGTAGTGGGAAATAAGCTCTATAATTCTCAGAGTCACATTTTTGGAATATTCCATTTATGAGAAATTCACTTCATATTTTTTTGAAGTAATTAGATTTTGTCAGTTTAAGTATCCTGTTTCTTTTTGTACAATTGCCATATGTTCCTACATTTGCTGCCCAACATGTAGCAGATGGCCCCTGTAATTTCTAAACCTATCATTTATCGTATTCAGATCCCAGGGAGGCTGTGGTTGTTCATACCAACAGATGAGAAAATAAGGGCTCCGCATTGTGAACGCCCTGAAGAGCCGAACCAGCACTTCTCGCCCTGAGTGACCAGTGTGTGTTTGCTTGTCTGTCAAATGAGCGACAGACAGACATATGTGCATGTCTTTGTAGTATTTGTTGGTTATGCATCCACCCCCAGAAGGAGACAGTAATTCTGATATACGGCGAGACACACTTTCTAAAAGGAGGACAGTGATTACATTCTGGGTTGAGCCTTTTGCCTTTTGATGTGTTAAGTGATTAAACTGCTAAATGTGACAGACTTACAACTGCATCCACCCCCGTTCTTTATAAAAAAAAATGAATTTGAAAACATTTTGAAAAGTCTGTCTAAGATGAACGGATGGGAAGGGTTCCCATGACCACTCATTAGTTCCAAACTATACCTCATCCACCACCTCTTTGTCATTGAAATTCTAATGTTCTGTTAACCTGTGAGATCTACATGTGTTTTTCCACTTCAGACAGCAAAGAGGCTCGTCGGGGGGAGAAAGCTAAGGAGGACGGCCTTCATGCGTCCCCCTCCCACGACTCCAGCTACTTCGAGATGCCCACCAAGGAGGGTCACGCGGCCATTAACGGCATACACGAGATTCCCACCAAGGACACAGAGGGCACCGGCTCTCTCAACACTGCAGGTGAAGTATACCTTTTATATATTCGGATTTATAGTAAATACAATTTGTCTCGTTTTGAGTTCGAACATCCATTGAATATCCATGTATTGTGTATTTACATAATTAGATTATACAAATAACTCATAGTTCTAAATTCATAACATTACATTTTTTTATCTACTTTCTGACAATAAATCTGCCTCGTCTGCTCCACAGCTCAAGGTCACGCCTCCTTCACCATTGAGTTCGACAGCACTTCTCCGGGGAAAGTCACCATCAAAGACCACGTGTCAAAGTTCACGCCCGACCAACACCGGCCGCGCTCCAAGAAGAGTGGAGCGGGAAGCGGCGGAGCGGGGGGGAGGGACTTGAGCACGCTGCAAGCTGCAATGATGGCGTCGGAGAGCAAGGTCGCTGATTGGCTGGCCCACAATGACCCCACGCTGGTGCGCACCGAGTCGACGGAGGACGACAGCAAGAGCATCAAGAGCGACGTGCCGGTCCACCTCAAAAGGCTAAAAGGTGGAGGTTGTTCTCTGTTAACACTTGTGTGTGTGGATTGTGTATTAAGGTTTTGTTGTTCCCTTTTCCAATCCTCTACTTCTTCCTTGATCATTACACCTTCCCTCCTTATTCTCTTAAAAGGCTGTTTTCTGTTTCAACTTTTAGGTTACTTCCTAAAACCACTTCTGTAAACGTGGCTTTCAGTTCAATTCTGTTTTCATTGTCAGTGTTTTTCTCTGTTTACCTTGGCTTGTTGCGATGTTTTCCTTTTGGTAAAGTTGATCAGATTGCTTTAATTGTATTTCTTCACTGCAGTTCTTTGTTCTCTCAGCCTGCAACTAACCAGCTGCTGAGTGGGTTCCTCCTGCCAGGGGTTTTGGGCGAGTGGGCTGGACTAGGCAAAGCATTGTATTAGTACATTGTGGTTCATGAGTTAATTAAATGGTGGTCAATTTATGACATTGTTGACATGTGTGGAGGAGGGACCAGCGGACAGGAGCTGATGAAAATGGAAATCTATGAAGCCGGAGCGGAAGGCAGGAAAGCCAATTCATTAGAAGGAGTTATTGGTACATGCATGTCGACTGCCCCCCCCCTGATGGATGACTGTGTTGCTGACTGACTGTCAGACTTGGGGACTTCTAGGCACCGCAGTGTTTCCAACCGAAGCTGCGGCTGATCGTTACTCGATGAGAGTAGTATTTCAGTACCTGAAAAGATTGGACAAAAGTTGGACAAAGCCATGAAATGGGTTGTGATTTTGACCTGAGTAAATGGGAGGGAAAAGGCAAAAATGGCATAGAACAGAGAAAAGAAGGTGTACAATGGATGGGTGGAGTGAGAAACAGAGGAGGGAGGGAGAGGACAAGGTAACAATGGAGAGAGGGCAGGATGACAGCTGGTTGGAAAGCTGTCTATTGATGTCGCCTGTGGCCATGGTGCCAAGACAGGCGGGAGGGCGAAGAACACCCTGAATGGGATCAGTATTTGCTGCAGTAACAGCAAAGGTGATTGGACAGAGAAAGGAAGGAAAGGGAGGGAGCAATGGAGGGGAGGGGTGATGGGGGGGCTTGTTGCCGGGACCGCAGTGAGAGGGGGAAAGGAGGCGGCAAACGGAGGAGAGGGCAGTTTTCAGGTAGTTGTTATAGTAACAGTGATGCAGATGATGGCAGAGGAAGAGACGTCGCAGACAAACATTCACAAATAGCACCAAAAGAAAAAAAATGCCGGCGGAGATCTCTTTGTTTCCTCGTGAGTTTTGCGGTGGTTGATTTCTCAGGTGTGAAGGCTGCGGAAGCCTGAGAAACGCGTTTGAGGGCAGACGGAGGGCGCCTCTGAAGCATGTGCTGCTGTGTGTGTGTGTGTGTGTGTGTGTGTGTGTGTGTGTGTGTGTGTGTGTGTGTGTGTGTGGGACCTGCTCGGCGCTGATCCGCAGACGAGCAGTGTGGCGTGTGTGATGTTGCTTAGGGCGTGTTGTTGAGGTGCTGAGCAGAGAGAGAGAGGCACGTGATTTAGCGAGGAATTCGGGAAGAGGATACTGAGCCACAGATTTTGATTTGTAAGCATCGAGGTGAGTGTTTCTGTTCTTGCTGTACAGAGCAGTGTAGGATAAGTACTCTATATTTTTGCTATTCATATTTGAACATGAACTGTGTTATTGTAGCCTCAGAAAATGTGATTTGGATCAACGCTATAAATGTGTGTTAAATAGGTGATAGCAATTTTGATGTGTGATAAGTATTTAATGAGCATTGATATTTCATAGTAAAAGCTTCACAGATGCACAACTCTTCAATATTGCCCGAGCATATAAGTACGTTCTTACACAGCACAGCTTTGCTGGCTGTGCAGGCATGTTGAGTAAGTGCATCCTTGTGTTGGGTGCTGGGTTGTGTGTGTTTGTGTGCGCTCCCGTATGAGTCATGGCGTGGCGAGCGGAGCAGAGCGCTGGACTCTCACAGATAACTCTGTTCTGCTGCTGCCCTGCAAACGACTTCTTTGTCCGGGGGGACACAGCGTGAAAAACCTGCCTTCCTCAGCCTGAGTGGTGGTCTGACCTGCAGCGACTCTTGGCTGCTTTACTCCCTCGTTCCATTTCTCCTTTTAATGAAATATATGCAAACAGTGATAAAAGACAGGAAAGATGACGTAGCTGAGTGGTGGAATGTGGAAAATGAGCTGCAATGTCTGAAATTTGCCCACGGCCACAGAGCTATTGGGATACCCCGATAGTACTGTACTTCAATGAAACAGCAATTTAATATTTTACTTGATACATTTGTCAACAAAAAAAAAAAAATCAGAAGAGCCTGAAATGTCTTTCTGAAAATCTTGAGTTAGAATGTGACAACGTTATTGTGTACCACAACACCTTAATATTTATATAATACAGCCCTATGAAAAGACGACAAACAGTGAATTATGTCCCAGAAACACTGTATTGTCTGACTGCACCCCCCCTTCCTTTACACAGGCCTTCTGTTGTAAATACAAGTGTTGAATCGAGACTGTGACATCTCCTCCAGAGCTACAAAAGACATTGTACAACTGCCTCAGTGGTAGAGGGGTTGTCCTTCAATCTGAAGTTTGATACATACAACCTACATACCAAGCATGGTCGCAGTGTATGAATGGTTGAGAGTCCATTTATTTCTAATTGCCCCTCCAATATAGTACAACAACCCCGGCCTCCTTCTAGTAAGAATCCCCCTCTCTGATTGGCCTTTTCTTTCCTCCCACTTAATTCAGTTCCTTCTACTTTCCCATCCTACCTCCTTCCCAGTTGAGCCTCCCCCTTTTCTTTCCCACTTCCCCTCCTCCTCCAGCGCTTTCTCCCAGCTTCCTCCTCCCCGTGTTCTCCTCCTCCTCCCCTCCCCCTTACCGCCCTCCCGCTGGCAGTAGGCAGGGCCAGTAAGCGTGTGGGTGGCTTGTCTGGATTAGGGTGACCCACTACCTTCCTTCGCACAGCAGGGAGAGGACACGCGGACTCAACCCAGACTGAGCACTTTTTAGAAATAGCAGTCATGTGGTAGGTAAAGCAGGCCTGTGAACGTGGGATCTGTTTTGAATGATTCGATTCAGGCCACGGCTGAAAGTTCATTAGGACCTCAATGTTTAACTGACATTCGTTTAATGTGGCGTCGGTATCCACAGTGGAATTACTCTTAGACTTGATTCTGTGCTGTAATCTATATGGGACTTTTTTCTTCTTCTTCTTCTTCTTCTTCTTCTTCTTCGTGGTTGCTTCATTTGAGTGGACGTCTGTACTCACGCACATTGTCGCTTCCCCTTGCACTCTACTGCTGTATTGTATCTCTATGAACAGCTGTTGTGTGTTGCTGTACACGTGGTATGAAATGAAATGGAAGTAGTTAATGTAACATCCTGCAGGTTACCATAACATCTAACTAGGTTACACGTTGTAGATACATCATTATTTAGATTTGACATATTCATTCAGTGTCACGTGGAATGCTGTCAACTCAACAGTGTTCCCTCTTTTTGTGTCCTGACAGGCAGCAAACATGAGGACGGCACCCAGAGCGACTCAGAGAACGGACTAGGCCTGCGTTTCGCCAACCGCCGCCACGCCCTGGAGGAGCGCCTGAAAGCGGCGCACGGCCTGGTGGGAGCAGGAGGGGGCAACTTGGCGGCCAGCGCGTCCAGGACAGGCGGCAGCCGCACGTCCTTCATGATCGAGTTCTACGACGAGGAAAACCACCGCAAGCGCCGCTCGTATTCGTTCTCCCAGGCTGCATCACTGCAGGGGCTTGGAGCCGGTGGGGAGGGACTATTTCCTCAGCCCCCCTCTCACCCGAAGGTGTTCAGCATTTCCACCTCTGCAACTACAGCCTCGGACTCAGGTAATAGCACAGTTTCATCACGTCCGCTTGTTTGAAAGTAAAAAAATAAAGTAAACGTGTTTGGGGTTAATCTCCAGAAGTGGCAGTAAGTTGTTTAATTAGTGGCTCAGCTGTGAACTTTAGATCCTCTGTTGATTATTTCTTTCGTGTTCCACATTCGGTTACCGGCAGGTAGAGTCCCGGCTCCGATACCGGCGACCGTGACCGCGGGAGCGCCGACGGCGGCCCGCGTGCTTCTCAAGCAGAGGTCCGAGGACCAGAGTATCGGTCGCAGCTCGGCCAGCACCGGGCTGGCGACGGGCAGCCCCACCAGCCCCAGCGAGGACATCTCGGTCGTGGGGAGGGCGGCGGGAACTGCCGGAGGGGAGACAGCGGATGACCACAGCGATAAGGGGACCTACACTATCGAGCTGGAGAACCGGAACGCGGAGGAAGAGGAGGCCAGGCGCATGATAGACAAGGTAGTGTTAACCGCGAAAACACACTTATCTCAAAGAAGAGTAACTGTTATTTTGGTAAATATTAAGAAAAGGTTTATTCAAAGATCCCTCTCATCACCCCGGAAAACATAAACATCCTCCTTGGAGCTTTATTTTGCTATTTGTGGTCGTAAAAGAAGGAAGTGGAATGGCAAGAGCACCAATTAAACTATTTCTGCAGCATCGCTGTAGAGAAGAATTTGACCGAGCACAAACAGACTGCAGCAAGGTTAATAATCTCTTTATTAGTGCTTCGTTGGTATTTTTGGGGCTAGAAAATCCTTTGAGAATGGTTTATGTCGTAACCGCTACTAGCAAAGCTATCATCTCTCTGGTCGCCTCGCTTGACCTGCACTCCGTCCTCTCCGTCCCATTGGTAGTCCTGATGCTTCTGCAATAGCCCGCGGAGACTTGCCTCAACAAGCGCCGCCCTGTTTAGCTAAACGACGCCCAGGGGAGGCTGAGAAACCGCCACATGCTCCTCGCTGCAGCCCCTGTTCTGTTTCACCACTTCACGGCCATGTTTGAAGGGGGCAAAGCAGCACGCTCGGTGACAGATTGTTTCATCTTAGTTTCAGGGTGAAAAACTAAAACTAGTGGACAAGCCAACACTTCTTTTGACCATCAGGGATTAAAATCGTTCTTAAAAAAGAGCCACGGCAGCTCAGCTGTTTCAGACACATGTTCAGTGGTCTTTTTGTTGTTGCCAATTGTTTATTACATGGACAGGATTAAAACGGTTCTAAATAACATCTAAAAGCAGCACGTCCCTTTAAGTGTTATATACAGGTGTTATCGCAGTGACTATAATGAGTGGGTTGTATTTCCAGTCTTTGTTAGTCTTACAGCATCACATTCAAAACTGCAAGAGTGCTATGCTAATTTGTGTAATTAACTGACAACCTAATAGGCACACTCCTCGCAGTCTGTCCGCTCTCGTTTCCCTCTCTCCCTTTTGTAAATGTGTGTGTGTCATTTCTGTTGCCATGGTGCCCTCAAACATCTTTCACCAGCTCTTGTCCCCTCTTGCTTTTTCCAATACTTGTAGGTGTTTGGTGTGCAGCAGAACCAGGACTCCTCTAGTCTTTCAGACCTGAAAGGAGAAGGGAAAGGAAAGGAGACCACAGAGACGGGGAAAGAGGTAGAAAACATACTTCATGTGTTTTCACATATACAAGATTGTCCGTTACTACAGTATTAATGTAGGCCTCTCAGGCCTGTGTAGTTTAACAGAGTCATGGCTGAGACAAAGAACCGTGGCTGAGTGTCATAATGTCATTTCTAATCCCTCCCATAGCTTGACCGCTTTACTCCACTAGCCTTTTCATGGGAGTAGTCTGGTCTTCCCAGAGACTGACCTAGATGATACTGAGATATGGCGAGACACGCTCGGCCCTTCAGGCAATTCAAGAGAGCAAAGAGTGTTTGAGCATTTTGTATCTAAGTCATTTACATGTGTCACACATTTTACAATAAGTGACAGACATTCTTGATGATAAGGTGGTAGTGGGCACTCTTTATTTTATGCCACTACCAATTGCTCTTTTTTTAAACTGCTTTCTTACTCTCTTGTCACCCCACCCCCCCTCTCTTGTCCCTTAGGCTCTTCCTGGAGACTCGAGTTGGGTCTCTCAGTGGGCCAGTCTCGCTGCCAATCACACCAGGACCGACCCAGAGGGCTCAGGAGCAGAAACAGCCGCCTTCCTCCACAAAGAGAGAGGTACATGTTCACTTGACTCTCAAAGGTTGAATAGCTGTATGAATGAGTGGAACAAATTAATAATATGGAGGAAATTATGTGTTTTTTTGTTATAGTAAACAGTTTTCCCTACAGGCATGTATATCACAAAGCAGCACGTGAAGTCACTTTAATTAGCTTATAATTAATGTAGAAAAAGCTTTAATCTGCGTTGAGTGACTTTGTCCTTTGTCCTGCAGGAACTGAGGCCTTTGAGTCCCTCAGCAGAGACGAATCCTCTTCCAGTCTAACCGACCGTAAGCGCAGGACCCTCCCCCAGCTCCCTGTGGATGACCCCCGGGCTAAGTCCAGCACCAAAGCTCTTGGGCTGAGGTCAGAGATCGGGGAGAAACAGGACACTGAACTCCAAGAAAAAGAGAACAAGGGAGACGGGGAGTCCCCGACTCCCATGAGAGACGGTGTGATGGCCAGCAAACGGAAACAAAGCTCCACCTCTTTCCCGTCCAAGGCTCCTCTTCGGTCCTCTGGCACCCCCGAGCGCAGGAAGAGGTCAGAGGAGAGGAATGGAGGAGAGTCGGGAGGAGAGAAGTCGGAGAAGCCTCTAGTGCGCCAGGGCAGCTTCACAATCGAGAAGCCCAGCGCTAGTGTCCCAGCGGAGCTCATCCCACGCATCAACCGAGGGAGCAGCGGGCGGGAGCGCAGCGACTCGGTGGGCAGCATGGATACGGCCACGCTGCTGAAGGACACCGAAGCCGTCATGGCATTCCTGGAGGCCAAACTAAGAGACGAAAACCAACTAGAGCAGAAAGGTAGCAAAAAGGGCGTCCCGCCTCGTACCGACTCCATCTCCCCTGAGTCCGATGTCGACACGGCCAGCACAGCTAGTCATGTGACCGGGGTGGCAGAGAGGAAAGCGCCAGGTGGCGGGGAGCATAAACGGCGTTCCTTCAGCAGCATGCATCGGGAAAAGAGCAACATGAGCACCGCTTCCAAGACTAGCGCCGCCAACGCCAGCGCCCGTGATCGCTTGGACAGGAAGGCTAAAACAAGAGGTGTCGAGGTGGCGAGCCGGACGGACACGCGGCGCCCTGTTCAGCCGTCCTCCGCCTCCTCCAGAGCGCGCCGGCCTTCTCAGGATCTCACCGACGACGACCAGAATTCTTCCTTCCCCATCTCCGACATCCTCTCCTCGGACCAGGAGACCTACTCTGGACCTCTGGGGCGCTCGGCACACGGACGCGGCTCAGACGATTTTCTGCATTCCAAAGCCGACAGCAGGTCGGCGAAAACGTCTGCCGGCGGGTCCTCGAAAACCAGGAGCACTCTCCAGGCAGCGACCAGCGCCTCCCTGAGCAAGCAGGCCGGACTGCCTCAGCCGCGGCCCACGAGGGCCTCCCTCCTCCGCCGCGCCCGGCTGGGCGACACCTCTGACACCGACCTGGCCGACGCAGACCGCGCGTCCGTGGCGTCCGAGGTCTCCACCACCAGCTCCACCTCTAAGCCGCCATCCGGTCGGAAAGGGCTGTCGCGACTGGACCTGCTGGCTCAGCCGCGTAGGACTCGCCTGGGCTCCATCTCGGCCCGCAGTGACTCCGAGTGCACCATGACACGCAGCTCCACCTCCTCCCCCCGCCTGTCGGCTGAGACCGCTCTGCGCCTGGGCCTGCGCTCGTCGACACCGACCGAGAACAGGCTGACGCCCCGGATGAGGGCCAACAGCGTGTCGAAGCTGAACGAGGCCAAGAGTAAGAGCGCGGCCTCTGGGTACTGCTCTCCTACAGGTGAGCACATCCGCTGGATAACCCGTTTCTGGTTTTATCTCATGAATTGTTGGAAAGGGGTTACTGGGAAATGTAGAGGAGGTTTTTGTAATAGTGATAGATAAAGATAATGTGCTGTAAGAATCAGGTCCACACAGTCTGCACCGTTGCATCCCTCATTATGTGTCTGTCAGCATTTTCACTGTGTTGTGACACATTTGTGCGTTGGTTGTCATCGTCCAGAAAGCCCTCAGCCAGAACCTGAGGGCGGTGATGAAGAGGAGGAGCTAATGGGTACTGTAGACCTGTAGACAGTGTGTGTGTGTGTGTGTGTGTGTGTGTGTGTGTGTGTGTGTGTGTGTGTGTGTGTGTGGATCTGGTGTCAGGCCTGGGTCACAGCAACAGAAGCAACTCAATTCTGCTAATTGATTTTAAGTCCTATGTTAAGGAACATAAACACTTGGATATTTTACAGATTTTAGATCAGCAATGTGTTTGGAATAGTTTGCCAGATTTAAAAGTCTTTTTTTTAAAGTAATTTCCGTGGGTAAAGTTGTAAAGTGCGGTGACCCAGGTCTAGCATACGTTGCCGCATTAACTCTCCGTCTCCACGTTCATCATGTGCTCTGATGAAGACCCATGTTCTCCTCTTGGACCTTAAACCCATGTGTGAAGGGTTTTGGGGTTGAGCTCCACCTTGTGGGCATTTGTATTCATGACATTTTGTCCCATTTTACCTCGAGACAAACAGAGCATGGCGTTGTCTCATCATGGTGCAGCTACATTAATGCAGCTGGTCCGTGACCTTTACCATTTTGCGCTATGAAGGTTTCACAGGACTTGCTTTTGTTGGCTGCTTGGAGCTTGTAGATGAACTCACGTAGAGTTTATCATTGCTGCAATGTGGTTTTATCAGCACTAAAATAGCACACCTGATTAACATCAATTTAACAAGTGAGATACAAAAAGAGAATCCAGAGCTTCGCTTCAACAATCTTTATGATTCATAGCCCCACATTTTTTATTTTCACCTGGACTAGATTGCAGAAAATCTTTGTAAAATATGGTATATCCACATTTTTATTTAGGTATAAAGATCCTTACTGTTCTATGATTAACTACTTGCACAGTATTTGAATTGTGCACATCGAAGCAGGATTATCTTGACCTCAGTCTCTCGTCCTCTAAAGCACGTCTATTAACTTCATGAATAACAAATGTTTTAATAAAGTGACTTAGTTCTGACGGAACATATTGTCCCTCCGTGTGCCTTCAGTATCCAGCAGCAGCAGATGGAGACGTCTGCCGCCGGAGTACGGCTCCACCTCAGAGGAAGAGTTTGGCTCCAACCGCAATTCTTCGAAGCACGCAGGCCGCACCCACATGCGTCCTCATCACCTCGCCCCACACCGCGGCTCCAGACCGGGCACCGCCGCGAGCCCGGCCTCCACCGCGGTGACCGGTCCGGGTGGAGGGGTGATCAAACACCGCATGAAGGAGCAAGAGGAGTACATCAAGGACTGGACAGCACACAGCGAGGAGATAGCCAGGTATTGATCTGCACAGATTTGCTTAATATTGGCTAAAGAAATGATACATTCTTGCATCAAAGTAACGTTTTAATGTCGTTGTCGTACAATGTTGAATAAGAGCTGCTGTCAATGCCTTGACTTGTGTTTCTAAAGACCTCCTCCATCTGTCTGATGGTTAACAGGTTATTCCCCTGTGTGCGCAGGATCAGCCAGGACCTGGCTAAGGACTTAGCCATCTTGGCCCGTGAGATCCACGATGTGGCTGGCGAGATCGACTCGGTCAGCTCATCGGGCACGGCGCCAAGCACCACCGTCAGCACCGCCGCCACCACCCCGGGATCGGCCATCGACACCCGGGAAGAGGTAGGCCCTGCACGTCCCACGCAGCCGGACATACAGGAGAGCATGAGAAAGGTGCCCGCTTTTTCTTCTTCTGTCATTGCCTTACTGCGTGTGCTTCCATCGCGCCGCTGCCATCCCTCCTGTGTTGCTTGGATTAAAAATGGCCTCTTTTTTGCTTGACAACTTTTCATCTGCTTTGAGAGTTTTTTTTTAATACTCTTCCATCTGGTCCACTTTCATTCCTGTATTATTTTTGCCATGAAAGGATTTACTTTTTTTAATAGTGGACATTTAAAAGCTTTCATGCGGCTTATCAGTCTTTCACACAGTTCATAATTCCTTCATTTCTCCAAAAGCTTAACTCTGTCGAACAATGCGTGTATAACTTTGTGAGGAGGTTTTTGATTTTAATTCCTTTGTCCCTTCTACCTTTCGGTCTGTCTTTGCGCAGTTGGTGGATCGCGTGTTTGACGAAAGCCTGAACTTCCGAAAGATCCCGCCTGTGATTTCAACCAATAAGGCGCCAGAGATCAACGGCAAGCCAGTGGAGCTCCGCCCCCGGGCCCCCGACAGCCAAGAGCCCCGGGCTCTAAGGAGACGCACCTGGAACCGGGAGGAGGTGAGCATGACCTCAAAAATGTACCAACATAGAGGTTTCCACCAGGCAAAGCAAATACGTTGTTAAAAACCTGCCGTCTGTCTCTGTTTTCAGGCGGTGTTGGACAGCTTGGTGCTCAATTCAGTTTCTCAGCTGTCCACCAAGATCAGGAACTCCATCGATAAAACTGCAGGAAAAATCAGGTAGTTGTACTATCTATTCACAATGTATTGATGCCTCTGAGTTGCTTCGTATAAACAAACTGTGACATGTGTCCTGTTATTTCTATTCAGGATTTTGTTCAAAGATAAGGACAGAAACTGGGACGAAATTGAGAGTAAACTGCGATCGGAGAACGACACATCACTCCCGAAATCCTCCAACAAGGTGCAGAAACCGATCTGCCTGAGTAAAGATTTAGTGAAGAAAAGTGCAGAGTGTTATTGGGAGCTAATACTCTTTTTTTTTTTTGTTTTTTGTTCCCCTCCGCAGGAGATCTCCTCTATTCTGGTCGAACTGAAGCGAGTTGAAAAGCAGCTGCAAGGTAAACAAATGTGAAACACAGCAGAGAAAGAAGAGAGAATCTCTGAACACATATCCGTAGTATTTCCATATTCATGACTATATGTGCAAAATAGATCTTACGTTATTACTTGTCATGAGTTAACACTCAAAAACATAATGAAACAAGATAGGAAAATAGGTTTTCAAGGCCTTTAATACAAACAATATATGATCTAAATCCCAGGATTACTTTAGCTTTGATTGCATGTATACATCTTCTCTGTCCCAGTGATCAACGTAATGGTGGACCCAGACGGGACTCTGGACGCCCTGGCCTGCCTCGGCCTGACCAGCCCCACCAGTCCTACCAAGCCCCAAACCGCCAAAACAACCCTCCCTCCCGCCTCCTGCCCCGCGTCTGCTCTCTCAGCCAAAGAATCCCTGCCGGCCATCCCCCCCGGAGCCGTAGGGTCAGCGGCCACGGTGACGGCCTCTACCGGCGGCGCGGGGGAGACGGCGCGGGACTCCGGCGTGAGTCTGGGGTCGGCGGGAGTCGGAGGACTGTCCTTCAAGCGCATATGGCCGAGTGGAGAGGAGGCCATCGCACAGAAGTGAACAGTGCTAAGTGAATAAAGTGCAGGCCGGATTGCAGTGCAGCTGGCTGGGGATCAGTGGTTGGCAACAATGAAGCATCTGCCGACTGCACCAGTCTAGGATTGTGGGTGTAATATAAATACAACATAGCTGAGGTGCTACCAGATCTGGCCGGTAATGAACTCCTTCAACTCACCCACACCCTCAACTTACAAAATTGTGACGATGTATATTCACTCGATGGAGTTCACCCGTGAATGGTCAGGATGGAGTCGCGTCATGATATTTTGAATATACTTTCTGGCGGACAGAAGGCGTCCTGGGTGCTCTCTCAGTGGACGGACCTCTGTGGTTGTACAGTCTCCGCTCTCCTCCTCTTGCCTTCTCCATGTGTCTGGACCCTACCTACACTGAGGACATGCCTTAAAACACATCCTTGATAGTCCCCCTCAGATAATACACAGAACATCTCTTCAGACTTTAATTCAGTACTTTCAGACAGAATGTGTTACTTGTAATACAACAACCGTGGCTTTTATTTTATTTACACTACGATGAAACACTGCAGTGATTTATCGGCTATTGTTCCAGGAGTATTTCAGCAGCCTTAAGGAACCACTGACAAACCACACAGTCACACAGACATGATTAATGCCTGAAGCTGTTCACTAAGCAGGAAGATGTTCTTTTTTTTTTTAACTCTAACCGTCCATTGACGCTTCTCTGAAACTGACCCTGTGGAAAAGGATTTGTAGTGCCTCCCCATCTCATTATGTTTTACTCTCTGCCTCCCTCCCTTTCTCTCCCCAGTAGTTTGGATAAAAAGTGCTTCACTCCAGTAGCATGTCCAGGACGGAGCGCTGAGCTTCTTCTCCTGCGAGTTGGTGTCTGTGTTGATCTTACTAATACTGAATAGTAGTTTTAAACAATAGTAACGGCCTTGGGGAAACCAATGATCATGTTGAGACATAATATTCACTTACCAAAGTTAACGCATTTGTTGATATTGCCATCTTTAAACAGTTGAGCCATTTTGAAATTCATCTGTTGTGCAAAAGCCTGGGAATCTTTATTTAAAATATGGCGGTTCATCGTACATATCTCGCCCTCTTCAGTCCACCCGTCTTCTTCAAATGTCCAGACTAAAGCTTTTTCCTTATAATGAAAGTTTAATCTGCCGTATCTTTTTTGCGATCCGTGTGACGTATCCATGTACTGCACTGCATCCACTCAAGTGTCCCATGAGTTCTAATTGGCTTTTTAAAACTTTGTACAGTCACGGCTGATCTGACATGTTTTGAAAAATGTTGAGCAAAGAAAATATTTCTTTGAACTAAATATTTTTTAATATTTAGATACTGGTATTTTGGATATTGTAGACTTTTACTTGTTAATGCATCGACTACATTTCATTCCTTTTTACCAGCCCAAGTAAAAACAAAAACTGAACATGCAAAAGCCGCTGGAATTGGTTTTCATTCAATTCTTGTCTAAAAGAACGGCGGCAACCTACGGGGAGGCTTTTCGTGGGTCAAAATGCATCTGTGAGGAAGGTCGTGAGTAGACATGGACACGTCTTATAATAAGTGGCTTCGTATTATCGGTGTTTGTAGGTGCTTTGCTCTATTTCCACCGAGGCGACACGTTTGAGCGCACTGATGCTGTAGTAATGCAGAGGACGCACTGGTAACCTTTCCCCCATTCGCTGCTGTTCTAGTTACTTTACGGGGGACCAACCACTTCCTGAGCCTCTCTTCAGATGATAGTCTGTGTTAGAGTAAGACAACTTAAAAGCAGTGTGTTAGTACTTAGATATTAGTGAGTTTAGGTGCCAGAATACGTGTTCATTTCCAGTTCCTCTCAATACGCTTCTGTACAATGTTTTTCAATGCCTCAAAGTGCCCGTTTTTTTCTATAGAAGGGCATCAATTGAAAGAAAAGAAAAAGACATAGCTGTCTAAAAAGATTTCTCTTATTTTGCACATCAGATTGTGGTGTTTTTCATTCAGAAGTAGTGAAGAAGCAGTGGAAGGCTGCATTCTGTGTCAAAGGATTTGACCGAGAACATCACAAGTGATGCCTTTCCCCTCTGGAACTATTCTGTCTGTACAAACGGAACCTCTTATCATCCTTTTTTTTTGTTACTTTCCCTTCCCTTTTTTTTTAAAGGAAATGTTATTAGGGGACTGTGAATGCTTGGTACATGTTTATTTTTAAATTCTACATGTCATCTTATCAGTGTTTTTTGTCATTTTTGTAAAGAAAAAACAATTTTATTTATTTTTTGTTTAATATTTTGTGAATGTTTTCATGCGTTTTATATTTGTTCAACTCTGCATTGTTTCTTACTGTTAATAAAACAGAGCCATTCACTTGTTTCTCTATTTTTATTTGACCGGGCATTAAGAAAGATTGATTTCACTTAATTAATACTATGGGATTCTGTTTTACATTAGTTTTTAAACTGTGTCTATACACAGACAGCTAATGTCAACACCACTTCTGATAAGAAACCAATATTCATAGTTTCAAAAACTGGATTGTATAAAAGACTCAACAGGTACTTTTAAATCAAAGAAAAAATATGCTTACTGATTAAATGACCTGTGATGCCGGAACTCTGGTAAACATTTGCATGATAAGGGTTTGACTGTAACATAGAAATGTCCACCATAGACTGGACTATTAATGTGGTATTACTCCACTAAGTGACGTGCTTAATACAAAGTACCAAACTATTGTACTAGAGCTGGGTAGAACATGGTAACAGAGGACCGAGTGCATCTCACTAATGGGAAACTATAACGTGAGACCTGCAGCAGCAGCAGCAGACAACACTCTGCACACAATGAATAGCAGGCCAGTCCTGTTGTTCACTTGGATGCTTGCAAAAGACACCAGGGAACGTGAGGAGCCGTGTAGTACTAACAAAAATAACATGAACACGGTTAAAGTTTTCATCATATTAAAAAGAAAAAGAATAAAATTTAAGATGAAGACAAACTCAATTCAAACTCAAATTCAATGTTGTGAATTGCATTTTATTATCCTTGCTGAATTTCCAGGTTTTTGTTTTGACTCTTTATTTCCAACGACAAACCGGTTTGGTGGACGGTGAAGACACTGGTGTGAGCTGGGAGACGGGGTTTAACCGGGGGGCCACTTCATTACGCGTCCCCCCAGGACGTGGATGTGGATGTGGTAGACGGACTGGCCTCCGTCCGGCCCGTCGTTGACTACGATCCTGTAGCCGCTCGACAATCCCGCATCCTGAGCGCACTTCTTTGCAACTATCATCATGTGGCCCAGCAGCTAAGGGACAGAGGTAGAATTAATGAGTGACGGTTATGTGTTTATAAGCATGTACCTGGATTACAATGTCTAGTGGTCTCATTGGTGACGGACAAATCAGCGAAAGTGGGGAGCAATAACTGTACGAGAGCTAGGACAAACAATCACCCTTACCTCGGCATCGCCATCCTCCGCTTTGGACAGTTGAATAATTGGCTTTTTTGGGACAACGAGGATGTGAGTGGGAGCTTGGGGAGAAATATCAGGGAAGGCCACACACTGAAATATAAATAAAACATGTTAGGAAGTATCTATGGCCTCATGAATTATGGGTAATCACATATTCAAAAAAGAAACATCTATTTTATGTGTCTCGATGGGATGTATTGACATTATGGACATTGCACCCAGTATTTGTGTATCGTTATGTTGAAATTGAGGTTATTCAGAGGGAAGCCAACTGCCTGCAGATGCCAAGTGGCAGCAAATGCAACATGAGAAATCATACTACTTATGCAGAACTATGGATATGGTTTTTGCTTTTTCTTAGCGCAAAAGTGCATTTTGTTTACGAAAACAGTTTGGGTTCTGGTGTTATTCTATGTATAACTACTAAAAGGTACAGACAACACACCGGTCCAAATTACAAAATGTAAAGTAAGGTAGTCAGTTTCTGCAAAGCTAGCGTTGAGCTAACGTTAGCTGGACGTCACCTGTAAATAGCAATGACTTCTTGCAGACAAATTGTGTGTCTGAGTGAAGGTTTTTCCTGCATACCTTGTCATCTTCGTAGAGGAATTGTACAGGGATCTCTTTGCGTATAATTTTACCAAATATTGTGTCTCCGCCCGGTTGGGCCACCTGCGCTTTTGCCATTTCATCAGCCATGTTGGCGCATATGAGCCGTCTACAGCGCCGTTGTTGGGTTCGTGACACTACAGCGAAAACCCATTGGCTGCCAAAACGCGTCATTTCAAGGCTCTGTACTGATTGGACGTTGTCAGTCCCAACCCGGAAGTGAGCTAAAGAAGTCAAGATGGGAACTCGTCTGAAGGTGAGCACGGGATACGATCATGCTTTATGAAAAATAACATCAGTAAAACAATGATTTATTTTACTGATTTGATTATATACATATTTTAAAAGGTCGATCGCTAAAACTGGCAGAGAACTGTCATAAATATCCTCAGTAACAATTAATATCCAAGTAACAGCTATCAAGGTCCAGATGTTGCTAAGAGACGGATGTTTGTGTGACTGCAGGTCCTCAACACGTTTAAAGCGCTGCACAGAACAAGGACAGCTGTGTTCAAAGACGATGCCAGAGCCCTGTCAGGTGAGTCATTGAGTCTGTAGGTCTTTGGTTAAATGGATGATGTTTACCAACCCTTTGCAAACGGAAGATGTAACATCTCGTTTGATTCCCCCCCCCCCCCAAAGCTGCAAGAATAAAGATCAACGAGGAGTTTAGGAAGAACAAAGATGAAACGTCAGAAGAAAACATTGTGAAGGTACAGTGAAAGTACAAAACAGTGTGTTTATGTAGATTGAATCTAATTAAATGGGTTTACCACATCAGATAAGCATTTCAGAAACTGTCTGCATATTCCATTGTAATATAATCTATTGATTTAATAACCCAAGAGTACTATGCACAGTAGACCTTTCACTCCTACTCCTGAGAGCTGTTTTTATATTCCGTCTCCGCTGTTTACCCTTCTGCTACTGTAGATGATTAAAATGGGCTCCGACGTGGAAGCTGTTCTTCGCGAGACAGTGATGCAGATGGAACATGTTGGAGAGAAGAAACTCTGTATGCTGTTCTATTTCTTCTCTAAAAAAAATGAATCTTTCTGAATGCTCACATTCTAATGATATTTCCTAATGTTTCTCCCTTTCTCTGTCTTAGTGCTTCGACCTAGGGAGAGTCTTCTACTAGAAAATGTACCCTATTGTGACCAGCCCAGGAGAAAGTCATGAGAGACCATCTCTTTGCATCTTTTTCGCTATGTAGTACCCATAAACAAGGAGCATTTTAAAGATCATCGCTGTATGGACAAATGGCCTGTTTTGATTCACTGAAGATCTCTGCTGTTCTGTTTTAAGAAGTCTCCGCTATAAACGTGATCTTGTCATTAGCAGTGCAGCATTTTGTCAAATGTAATTTAAATGTATTTTCCTTTTAATTTTGGAGTTTTGTGCCTGCTTGTGATTAAACTTAACTAGGAGGGGGAGGTGTAACTTTTAAAATATTTGATGGTGTTCTGATTAAAGAGCAGTGTTGACTATCTCCATTTGAGTTTATTGTACAACACAAAATGCATCACTGTGACAGCTGCACGGTTTTCTAGAATATATACAATTTTACAAAAACAAAATGTTATGATCTATCTGTGATAAAGGTGTGACAAAAGTTATATAAATATGTATATTTCTAATCTTAACTTTTATTTTTATATATTTATTTATGTATAAACGTTATCTCAACATATCTTTTAAAACGTTTTGGTAAACAAATATTAGTGGAACAAACACAGGTCGATGATTTTCCTATTGTTGATAAAAGTGAACGTTAAACACACGATGTTTTCCTCTCAGGAAAGGAACTACATTTCCCATCTCATTAAGGAGTAATAGTTATTACATCATCAAACTGCGCCGTTACTCTGGCAACGCTCGGCTGGGTTTCCTTTGGTGCTAGCTAACGTTAGCTGTTAGTTAGCTTATCGAGCTATCAAAGCTGATGCCAAAAATAAGGTGAGTATTAGTTTGTATGTCATTTTTAACATCACTATTAAAACAAGGGGCGTGTTTCTTTAGAACAACGTGTCGCTTTTGTCTCGTATTTGTCAGCTCAGACACGATATGGGAGCAGGCTGCCGCGGAGGTCCACAGCCGGGAGGCTGAAGGCGGCGAGGAGGACGCAGGAGAGACGCTGGGCGAGAGGACCGTGTTCCTAATGGGGAGCAAGTCCGGGGTAAAGACCCGACGTGCTCTAATCCTGCAATGGAAGCACTCTTGTCTTGTTAAAAGCCCACGTTGTATGCTTTGTTTCTAGGGTAAAACGTCCATTCTCCTCAGGTGCCTCGACAGGTGAGTGTCTTGTGTGTGTGTGTGTGTGTGTGTGTGTGTGTGTGTGTGTGTGTCTGTGGTCCGTCTCGAGATTAGCAGCTCGAGCATCATGGTGACTTTTTAAATATTCTCTATGCAGACGAATGTCTACGACACAGTTCATCCAAAGCACAATTAAACATGTCAGTTATTAACACTAATGCTTTGAGCTGCAGCAGGATGATTTATTCATTAATTCAGATCAGAGGTGGACTGAATAGCTGTCAAAGCTTTTGGCTGCATCTCACGTTCTTGGCATGACATGGCACAGAAATGACACCTGTGTTTGTTCATTTGAATAAAAATGTTATATATATATAATCCTTTGCTTTGATTGTTGACAACAATAAAACGTTTTTTTTTTTATCCACCAGGGATGAGCCATCCAAGCCTACTCTGGCGCTGGAGTACACTTTTGGCAGACGGGCCCGAGGACACAACATAGTAAGGACAGTCTTGTCTTTGGACACTAAAAACGAAGTATCCTGATCATTTATGACCTCTTTTTTATAATTCTATATTAAAAGCTTTAATATAGCAGTAAATAGTGTAGAAATGTTTCATATTTGTAAAATTTTACACACTGTCTGACTTGAACCTGGTTTTGTCTTTCAGCCCAAAGACATAGCCCACCTATGGGAGCTGGGAGGAGGGACCTCTTTGTCCGACCTGGTCCAGATCCCCATCACGGCTGCCAGCATCAGGTGGGTCACTTCCCCAAATCTTGTGTTGTCGGTAAAGAAAGGACGTTTTTGTATGTATCCTTCCTGTCTTTCTCCAGGTCTCTCTCTGTCATCCTCATTCTGGACCTCTCCAAACCCAACGCTCTGTGGGGAACCATGGAAAAGCTGCTGCAGGCAGCACAAGACCAGTTGGAGAAGGTCTCTTCCCAGGCTCAACAAGCACAGAAAGCCAAACACCAGCCGGCTGTTCATTTGGCAGCACGTCTGTTACCTAAAGACTATCCTGTGAGTCCTCAGCTCATTGCACCCAACACAAAGTGGCATATTTGAACTTCCTGTTGCAAGGATTGCATATTTTTTTGCGAAAAGACTAATGCTAACACATATTGGGAAAACCAGTTTTATAAAAGGAACGTTCACCAAATCTCACCTCACGCTGCAGGCAAAGTTGAAATAAGACGTGTAGGACTTTTGTTGTGTAGGTGAAAGGTGATTTATTCTGTCTGTGCGGTGCAGACCTAAGAAGGTAAATATATGCTGAGTTAACTGTGATCTTGTCGACAGGACAGAGAGCTGATCAGTCCCTTTCCTGTTCCATTGCTGATTATTGGCAGCAAATATGACATATTTCAGGTAAAACAGACAACTCGACCCGAGTGTTATTTATTCAGGTGGCCTCCTGATGACATAATGATACACATTTATGATATTTGAAGTGCTTGTTATCTGAACAACTTGGATATTTTTTATTTTCCATCCATATGTGTTGCAGGTATTCGACTCGGACAAGAAGAAAGTGGTTTGTAAAACACTGCGTTTTGTGGCCCACTACTACGCGGCTTCACTTATTGTAAGTGTGCTTTGATTATAGATGCAACATATTTAAACTTTTGGGTGAAAACATACTGTATTTTGTACCTTGTGATATTTTTTGGGCTTGTTCTTACCATTCAATTCACCTATTCAGTCAACTATTGCTTATCCGACTATCTTTTATTCCATTGTTTTTTCTGTGCCTGTGTCTGATACTTTCACCAGTTCACAAGCATCAAGTCGGAGAGCTTAATATCAAAAACCAAGAGCTTCTTCTCCCACCTGGCTTTTGGTCTGGACAGAGGGTGAGCAGGATGCTGATTGTACTCCAACAAGTTGAGATGTTTAATGCTTTGGTTTAAGTGGATTTCCATTTTCCATTTTTGAAACGTGATCAGGAAAACTGTGTCGTGTGACTCCAGTAAGCCTCTCGTCATTCCCGCAGGCTCCGACTCCTTCAGCCAAATCGGTGAGTAGAGCAGCACTCGCCGGCCAAAAGCAGGAATGCATTGAGATGTAATCAATCATTGCTGTGCGGTGTTGACAAATAAATATACAGGATTGAGATCCAGCTTCTGCCTTAATATTTGTTGACGTCACATAGTGCTTATTGCATGTACTGCTTTAGGGTCGCCGCATACTACTGATGTGGACATTACATCTCTGCATGCCAAGAACCCAAAGGACCTCTGGAAGAAGGTCTACGAACGCGTCTTTCCCCAAGAGGTACTTTGCTCGCTGGCGACAGCTGTGTCTTAATCACTATTCAGAGTATTGAGTGTAACTGATTTAGCGTCTGGTGTTTGAAGCTAGCGTGTGTGTGTGTGTGTGTGTGTGTGTGTGGCACAAAATCACCACTGGATGTCGCCAGATCATCTAGTGGCCAGATCCTAAATACGCATGTTGTTAAGTGTTCATTCATGACACTTTTCTGTCCATCTGACTGACTTTTTCTCAACAGAATACCGGTGAGCAGAGAGAATTAAAGGATCCAGCCAGAGACCCACAATACAGTGAGCCTCAGATTGATGCCATGAGAGCCCAGAAAGACCAGGTAGCACATCTTGACCACCCACATGCTGGCGTTGTATTACTTTACAGATGCACACATATGCTATACACACTTGTTCTATTGGTAAAACACATCATAAACTGCTGCAATCAATGTCATTACTGATGAGGTGGCTTTATGATGATCAATCCGTTTTACTTCACTTATCTGTGCTTTGTGGCCCTGACCTTTGACCTTACTCTGAAGAGGTCCACGGTCAGGGGATCGAGGAAGATTTTAAAAAGATTAAGAGGAAAGTGTCAATGTTGCAACGTGATTAATGGCTTAAATTGAATGACAAGTTTTAAGTGTTTATGATATTTAATAACGGTTATTTATAACATTTTATTTTATGTACATATAACTTGAGTACCTTATTTTGGTGAAAGGATTTAGCCCTGAGCTGATTTCAAAAGCAATCCAGATTTTATAAGAAGAGCAGATCTTAATCCGGGTGAATGTTCTGGAGTAACCTTCCGTCCGTCAGCAGCCCGAAGCGTATCTGTCATGGTGTCATCAGCAGGCTGTAATGTGTATAATAATCAGTACTGTTCTTGTTGGCCTGTCGCTGTGGCACTCGGTGAACTCTGTAACCTCACCATGCTGTTAATCGCTGACATGTATGGAGGAAAAGTACCAGCGTTTTGAAGGCACCTTTCGCAAAGCTGATTTTTCTTTGCATCCTGCGTACACGTTTACGAGACAGCAGCCCTTTTCTTTCCTGCCGTTGCTGCATATCTTTTACACACTGGCGTTACCACCTACCTTTCACTAGTATACAACTATCGCTATATAAAAAAGTAATGCAGAGTAAGCCTTTAATTTTAAGGCAAATATAAATGCAAAATCTAATAAACGGACTTATTCTAAGAGTTTTTCAACATTTCTGTCCTCCATTAAATGGAGGAAATGGCAAAGATCCACGTCTGAGGAGAAGGAAGCATTGCTTAGTTGAAAGAGTTTGCAGGCCTTTCTGCATTATAGTTTGTGTCTGCACTTCTTCATCGCACTTAATGGATGTAAGAAAGGTCTTTTGTGTTCTCTTGGTGTTTGCAGGAGTTGGACCAGTACAAAAGGAATGCAGCGAAGTCTTGGAAAGGACTGGAGCTGGAGACATGAGACAACCAGCTTTATGATCACACACACACATGAATGTAAATACAGTATGCAATTTGCTTTATTTATTTCATTTTGTGTCATTTGCTATTTTAAACAAAACAAAACAACTTCTATACTCATGAACAACATTTTTACCACATTGCAATAAGCATTACTATTACTTATTGACACATCACAATATTAAAAAAACGTAATATATAAGTGACATTTTTGTGCTTAAAATGGGGTAAGATGATTCACAGAGGAATCAAACTGGTGATTTTGTTTTGAAGCTTTAGCTTAAAAGTACTTTGTATCTATTGTTCAATAAAAAATGAACACATTCAACATAAACATAGTTTAATCTGTGCTGCACCTCTCAGACGTTGTCTGATTCGGTGATAAAGCAGCAGGTTCGATGGGGTCCGTCCCTGGACGCGTCCCACAGTAACCCGGTTGTACACTTTGCATCCTGCACTGCCGTTGTTTGCTAGTAAAAGCTCTCTGTACTTTAATCATTGCTCCAACCTAATAACACTTTTATTCTAATCAACGAACGTGTGTCTGTGGATTTAGTGGCGTACAAGCTTGTCTCTGATCTTGAAGCTGATCATGCCCAGCAGCAGGAGAGCAGGGAGGAAGGAGTAGAGGAGGACCAAGTCGAGCGTGAATCGCGACAGAGCTCCAGGATATCCTTCATCGATGATCTGATCGCCCTCAGTGATTATACAGGCTCCCGGCAAAGGACTGGAACTATCTGCAACAACACAACACACCGGAGGTGTGGGGGGTTAATTTGTGTGGTTTAAAAGAAGGTTGCAGTTCCCAAAAGAGCCAGTGAGCGTCCTTCAATCTGTCCCACCAAGTGTCCTCGAACAATGAACTCATTCATAACATGCAGAGCTCTTTAAAGCGTCGACATAAGAAGATTCAAGAGGATCGCTGTGATGCAGGACGTCATTGTCAGGCCAAACATACATTCACTGTGGTGTCGAGTCGGTGTAATATAAACTTTCACAACAGAAATCCCTGGCAAAAAAATGGGTTTAGATGTTTTTTTAAGGGGAGGATTTGTCACACGGTGGTAAAAACATCTCACTGCACGTGAAGTTGAGTCCGTGGAACTCGGTGACTATGAGCAGCTCGCAGCTGTACTTCTGGAAGGTGAGGTAGCTGAGCCACTGGAAGACCATCGGCATCTGCTGGGTGCCCCTGTTGAGAGGGAGAGGATGCTACTGCTACCATAGTAAATTCATCCACGTTGCAGCGCGAATGATCAGAGCTCCCGAGGACGACAGGCTTTCGGCTTTAAGATATCATTAAACTGCAAACATATTCGCCGTCTCACCTGAGGAAACCGGATCCCACTAAGATCCCTGCGATGTTGAGCAGAGCCACTCCCGTGTTGACCATGTTAGGGTCGTGGAACACTCCCAACAGCACCACAGTCAGCAACTCACCTGAGGGAAAACAATCCAGGCAACTTAAAGCCCTTCTACGGGATGTGAAACACGGAGGAGACTATAAATAAGGACACCAGCGTGTCCCGATAATCCTTTGCTTTGGAGAAATAGAAGAGGACAGTAAACGTGAAGCGTGACTCTTGTCTCACCTATGATATGTGGCACCAGGACGACGGCAGAATAACACAGGAAGCGCAAGCTGTCAGGGTTCATCCCCACCGTCCTGACAGGACGCACACAATAGTTCTTCTCAAATTCTTATTAAAGCCTTTTAATTGAAAGGCAAAGGCAATTGAAAGGTTGGACGTAGAGAATAAGAGATTGTGCGCTCTATAATACAGAGTGCCCACCAGTAAAGGAAGGAGGTGAAGATGAAAACGCTCAGGATGCTGAAGGGAAGGATGTGGAAGATGTAGGCTAAGAACATTTGCCATTTACTGTACAGGCCGTCCTGACTCTCCTGGTCGCCGATGGCTCGCAACGCCGGGACTGTTGGACGTAAGCAGAGAGCAGAGAAGGCGATGAGCGGAAAGATCTTAAAATGCTTTGACAAATGACTCTCACGAGTCGGGTCTACTGGTGTAGATTGGCAGATGTCCTTGGCTTTAATCAGGGAACTCGCTAAACACGTTCCTGTCTTTATCTACCCAATGCAAGGTCAGGATGCCATTCCCAACCACTACCCCGGGCCCTCTGGGGGCTTATGGAGTGCTTTAAATCTCATTTTAACTCTGGTTTGACTACCTCTCAGTCAGAGGTGTTTTATCACATCGCTCATCCTCAGTATCTGTGGCAGCCGGAGCCCTAAAGCTAAAGATTCTACACTGACAGCCGAATAAGACAGAGAAGAGATAATCACCCCATGTAGCCAATATTGTGTAGTGATAATATACTAGTGATAATATACTCCTTACAGACACACTAAATGACTCAAACTCAACTCAAAAGCTTTATTAGCTGTTGCCAACCCCTTTAAACATCCATTTAGCCCCTTTAACCTTCATTTTACTTTAAAACCTGTGACTAAGATATAATAAAGGGAAGTTCATGAAACCCTTCCTCTTCTCCCGTAGCTGTCATGGTTTTTCTACATACTAGAAGGTTCCATCTGTATCTGAGGTTACCTTAAGTCACAGCAGCCGCTATAAATACTAACCATAAAGACAGCGAGACTAATACCGTAGAAACAGATAATACAGATGATATGAGTCTAGGTCTAAAAGGCACTTGGGTTCAGTGATCTCTAAAGTGGAGGAAAGTTCATTCTGCCGCTGAAGGTAAACTGCAAGTCCTCTGTGGCGATGACCAGTCTGAATCACTGGCAATACACTTACAGCTCATCACTTGATATTTGACCTACGAGAGCCTCTAAAAGCACACAAAGTCTCTCTGGGCATTTCTGCAGAAGGGCAGCAGAAACGAGAGATAAGCGAGCCTACGAAGATAAACACGCTTCAAACACACCAACTTCTAATCGGTTGCTGGAGCTCACGCGCGTCATCCACTTCAGAACTTAAAGTCGTCCTATCCGTCTGGTGGAGATGTTTCCTCGGTGATGTTATCAGACACCTGCAGTTAAAAGGCCTCGGACGTTCCGGTCTTTGTTTCCGAGGAGAGGTCTCACAGAAACACACGAAAAGCAGCAGCTGTCTGCCGTGGAACTCACAGAGAGCGACAGCGTTCAGCATGCCGGTGTACGGCGAAGCCCCGATGCTCTGATAGATGATGCCGATGCGGTCCTGCACGGCGCCCTTGTTGACGTCTTTGTCTAAATGCATCACGAAGAAGGCCACGAAGAGGCCGTAGATCAGGTTCTGCGACAAGCGCATCAGGACACCCATCCTGTCTCGGGACAGGTTCCTCGCCGTCCGCCTGCACACACAGACACACACCGGGGGGGAAATGCGGACAGACACACACAACAGAGAGTCTTCCCCCCCTCAGGCCACCCCTGTGTGTACGAGAAGGTACGAGATGGATGGATCTACTGGCCAGCGATGCATTTTGGCCTTTTCTACGCGACGTGGCCACGTCAGCTGACCTGAGCAGAACCTCCAGCTTGGTGGCCCCGCAGGGGGACTCTTTGCTCTTGAAGGGGATGGCCGGCTTGTCCGCCCGCTGCAGGCTCCGCTCCACTTTTCCCAGCATGCTGTCGTAGATGGCCGACTTCTGATAGGACGCCGTGATCTCGTGCATGCGACTGAAGGTGGCCGCCTCCCTCTCACTGCTGCGCGTGTCCACCGAGGTGAAGTCGACTGTTTGACATCACAGCGGTTTGAAGGTTTTAACACTTGCTTCTTTTATGTGTTGCACGTGGTGAAGACGAACGTTACCATAGATGTCAAAGGGGTTGCAGTACTCCGGACACTCGTATCCCCGCTGGCTGAAGAAGTCCACCATCTCCTGTGGCTGCCCGCAGAACACCAGCTCCCCACGACTCATTATGGCGATCCTGCTAAACACCTGCCAGGACACACACACACGCACACACACACACACACACACACACACACACACTAATAGTTTAATATCATCATCGTGTCCATCAACAAATATCCAACACGTCATCTTCTGCCTCGGTAGAAAATGGTGATATTTTACCAAAGTCACGAGCCCACATGTACGAATGTTTTATTTATTGTTATCACAGACTCAATGTGAATACATTGTGTAGTGAGTCCATCTGTAAACTCACCCTGAAGAGCTCGGAGCGCGGTTGGTGGATGGTTACTATGACGACACGATTCCTCCTGGCCAGCTCGGCCAGCAGCACCACAATCTGATTGGCGGTCATGCTGTCCAGGCCAGTGGTCGGCTCGTCCAATAGGATCACCCCTGCAATGACGTCACACCAATGACGCAGCTTTGTCACAGAAAGGCAGGACGGTAAACTTGTTTACTTTCTACTAAGTTGAAAACTTTTAAATGTACTTTTTATTAAGTGGCACACGCACGACCCTCAACGGGTCCAACTTCCCTGGTGGAGATAAGTGAGTCTTTTTGTTAATTACTCTAATTAGGACAATTAAAAGATTGCCTCTTTGCATTATGAAAGCACACAGGAATTAGCAGTTAGCTTTTAATTGTGAGATTAATTCATTTCCTGGTTGATTGAAGAGGCAGCGAATGGGAACTCCTCATTACTCTGTGTGTGACTCTGTGTGTGTGTGTGTGTGTGTGTGTGTGTGTGTGACTCTGTGTGTGTGTGTGTGTGTGTGTGTGTGTGTGTGTGTGTGTGTGTGTGTGTGTGTGCGTGTGTTTCCATGGCCAGTCTAATCCTATATGAGCGACTGAGACCTTTCAATCTCCCTGGAGCCATATAGACCTGATAAACTACACCTGGGATAAGCACACACACACACACACACACACACACACACACACACACACACACACTCAGAGGTGGGTCTGTGCTCATTCCCTTGGAGGTGTGATAACCCAGTCTTTCATTATGCTTCTCCATCTCTGCCTCAGTCCCCTTCTCTGTCCTTTCCTTAGTCCTCTCCTACTTCTCTACTGAGAAACTAGATCCCTTTGTTTCTCAGCGTGGACTTTGGGGAGAGACGCGTTTTGTAGTGAACTTTCTTCTGTTCTCCGGGTAGCTCCGTCCCGCCTCCGGTCCCGTTGCTTCCAACAGTGTGTGTATGAAGTAGCGAGTGTTGTATCCGATAATCTGCAGCAGTAGCGGCCTCTGTTCATATAAAACTCACTCGGGTCCTGAAGCAGCTGGCTGGCGATGGAGACCCTCCTCCTCTCGCCCCCCGAGATCCCCGGGAAAACGCGACCCCCGATGACACTGTGAGCCACATGACCCAGACTCAGCTCGGCCATCACCGCCAACACCTGCACAGCAGTGAGAGGTCAAGGGTCAGCTGACGAGATCGTTACTAATAATAATACAAATGATCTGCTGATCGTGAACAAGGTTCTTGTTCTAGAAATATCTTCTGTGCATTACTCAGTGTTGTATCTCAGTGAAGACAAGGATGTTTTCATTTGAATCAGATCAAAACGTTATAATGAAATAGGAGGAAGTTAAAACATTTCAATTTTTAATATGAAAACCATCAACAATTGCTTGAAGTGAAGAACACAATGGTACCACATTCAGAAGGTTGCATTACACGCAGGAGCTACACGGAATATCCAACTTCTTTGACCTTTGAAGAAATATTTATATCTATTTCATATTCTCACTTATTCTGAAATTGGATGTAACTGTAATTCCTTCGAAATAACTGTGAGCATTTGGCACAGTGCAGATAATTTCTGCGGCCGGGAGAAACGGTTCAGCTGAAGAAATCAGATTGCAGAGGAGAATCTCAAAAACGTCACCTTCTTCTTTATAGCTTTGGCTGAGTGTTTCCGCAGGGCCAGCTGAGCTGTGTAGGTCAGAGTCTCCTCCACGGTCAGATAACTCAACAAGTTATCGCTCTGTAAAAAAAAGAGAGTAAGAAAAGGAGAAGATGCCGTGTGGCAGACAATATTTATTGTGGACATGAAAATAGCTTCCTCGATTGGAGACGTCTAACGGGACTAAATGGGGTAAACACAAAGAAGAGGACAAACAATGCTGCTCATAATTGATCTCCACCAACAGGCATGTGTACACATTATTGAATCTGTTCATCAGTATTCAAATTACAGTATAAAGTGTCTCCGGAATGAACTGTACCATAAAGTCGGTGGAAGAACGTGTGGGTTATACGGACAGCATCATTCCCTGCACACCAATTATCATCCGTGCACGGCACATATGCAGCACTCTGAATACCTGTATGTTCATGTACTAGATATAGCTCTGCCGCAGACGCACACACACACACACACACACACTTAATCGTTGAACCTGCTGCCTCCCTCAATTAACACACGGCGCCTCCCAATCCCACTTCTCCTCAGCCTCTCATCTGAATGACTTTAATATCAGGAGCTCATATCACCTCCTCATCTACAGCTTAGCGGGGGAAGTTAATGACGAGGCTTAGAGAGCGGAGGAGGGGTTTGCTATCAGCTAGAAGAGGGAGATGATTTGAAAGGAAGCAAGGCCAGTTTTAAGCCAGTGTTTTTAATTCAAGCTTTGGATACACTTGAGCACCTCTCATTGAGAGATTACGTGTATGAGGAGGCCAGCAAGGGCCTTCAGTTAATTTCATCCAGAGGCCACGGCAACCTTTTCAGGAGCGTTTGCAAAATGCTGCGTGTTCCTGGAGTTTGGTCTTAATGGAGGAACCCCAGGCAACCTGAATACACCCAAACTATCTGCATACAGCCACCAAATGTCATCGTATGGGGCAAAGTTTCGCCTGATGAGAACTAGGGCAAAGGGAAATGTGCATTGGGTGCTAACTGCTTATAAACCACCGTTCCAAGCTGCTGATTTTGCAGATGCATTTCTCAAAATATGTGACACTACAATGTGTTTTTCTCTGTTTGAGGTGTGTTGAAGGTCCAGTTTGAGTTTGTAATAAATAAGAAATGACCGATCGCCTGTGTTTATTGCGTCTGTGCGTTACCTGCAGCACATAGGAGAAGCAGTCCTGATACTCATCTCTCTTCAGTTTCCTGCCGTTAACGAAGACCTCACCCGACAGTTTGCCACAGTTTCCAATCCTCCCCGAGATGGCGTCCAACAGTGTGGTCTTTCCTGAGCCTTCGCGAGGCAAGAAGCACACACACATGGATCATTAAAAAAGATATCTGGTGATTTATCATTTTACATTAGTGATCAAATGGTTCTCCATACACCGTCTGCAGGGGGACATTTCCCTATTACTCCAAAAGGTGTGAAATGTATCTGAAAGACTTATTTAGTCGTTTTGTTGCTCTTTGGACTGATCTAAGAGCAAACCTGAATTGCCCAGTATGCCCATGATCTGCCCGCTGTCCACGTGGAAGGAGACATCATTGAGGATCTGACGAGTCCATCGCTTCCTGAAGGAGGGTAAGTCCCACCACGGACCCACACGCTCACTAGAAAACACACACGTGCACACACAGACACAAGTAATTCGATGTAAAAAAGTACCCATCAGCAGAATATGTGTCTTCTCAAGCGAAACATGCCTCCTTCTGTCATCATTAGGGTTCATTTCCCTGCAGATGACTTGATCCAAACCTGCCTGTGTGTGAGCACAATGATTGCTTGTGTTGTTGTCTCTTTACCTGACTGTGTAGTAGATCTTCTTCACACTGAGGCAACAGGAGGGCTGCGATGGCTCCTCTCCAGCGGCCGCCCGTTCATCCCTCTTCCCCTCCGACACGAACTTGAAGGATTCTTTGGCTTTGCTCCCGTTCTCCGGCTGCACCGGCTGCACCGAATAGAATTTGTTCATGTCTGCGGGCCGGTCTGCTGCTCCCGAAGAGAACAAGTCCCCTTTCAGATCACGATCTCCATATCCACTGCCGACTCGTGTTCTCGAAGCTCTAAATTTGTGTTGTCTTAGAGAGCCAGACTGTGTTTCTCTGCAGCCCGTGTCTCTCAGGGACCATAAACACACAGTGAACCCTGCGTTATCTCAGGGAACTTTGATCAGGAGTTCTATAAAGAAGTGCAACAAAAAAAAAAAAAGAGAGAAAAAAAGCTTGACTGGGCTGGCTGTCTCACTTCAGTCCTCAAGTTGTGCGTTGGTGTAGAAAAGCTATAAGTAAGAGGACACAGCAGATGGAGAGGTGACGGGACATGCATTTGGGACGAGCGGAGACCTTCAGCCGGACTGGAGTCCAACGAGCGGAGAGTCCCACAGAGAGAAAGAGAGGAGCCGGACAGAAGAAAGGGGGGGGGGCGTTGACCTCTTCCCCCTGCAAGCGTCAAGCAGCAACGCCGCATCGCCATGGACGCAGACACGGGCCACAACCACACGTACGGCTCCTCGGAGGTCAGTTTGATACATGCGGAGGCTGCGGTTCGTATGATACGATGATCCACTTCCTTTCCTCTCCACACCCGGCGAGCTCCCCTTGGAACACATCAATACACATACAATGTCAAAAAACACAATACACAATTTCATGTATCCATGAATGCTTGAAATGTGTATTTGTATTCGTCAGGCCTTTGATATTTTGGACTGCCCATAATTTCTATGTTTCAATTGAATGTGCAATTGAAGGTAATTATATTCTCGTTTATTTATGATTCAACATCTCCCACAATGCAAAGGATTCTCAATGAGTGTCACCGTCACCGCGTTCTACTCGGCCGGGGTTTTGTCACCGCTGCAATTGTTTTTATTTTGATCTTAAGTACGCTCTAAAAGCATCGGAGACGTTTGCTCTTCACAGAAATATTTCAACTACCACGTGTGAGTACGACCGACTAGAAGAGCTGCACAAACAAAGGCAACAAAAAAAATGCAATAAAGAAAAGGAACCATACGGATTTGTCAAGCAACATAAAATGACATCTAGTTATTGCATTGTAACACTGTGTAACGTAGATGGCGTGTGCTGCATTCAGATGGGTACTTTTTTTGGGGGGGGGAACATCTGGTCATTTTAGTGTCATCGTCGAATGGACTCTGGACCCACAAAAGGACTCCGGCGACTATTTGCACACACAAAACCTCAAACGTGCTCCGGCATTCACGTGGTGACGATTACATTAATGATTCATTAAACAAATCTCTCTAGAACTCCTCGACCTTCTCTGCTCCTCTCTGACAGCATCGGGACACCGAGTTGTTCTCCCCTGAAGAAGAAGACAGCAGTCTGTACTTCACCTACAGCGGGGAGTGCAATGAGCTGGAAGTCAACAACCTGCACTATGAGGTAACCGATGCACGGTTATCTTCAGCTGTTAACTGTTGCATGTTTTATTGCATGTTGCTGTATCAGTGCGCGCGCGTGTGTGTGTGTGTGTGTGTGTGCGTGCGCTCCCAGGTGGACACGGCGGCTCAGATCCCGTGGTACGAGAGGTTATCGGAGTTCAAGCTGCCCTGGGAGATAAAAGGGAACAAGCAGACAGCCATCAACAGGCTCAGCCTCCGGGTCCGCAGCGGGCAAATGCTGGCAGTCATTGGCAGCTCAGGTGATTCACACAGAAACGCACACAGCTTTTAAATCGAACCAGGGTCATGCGTTTAGATGGGATTTGTTCCCATCGACGCCTCATGTCAGCGGCGCGTTGATTTCATGACACCCGTTGAACAACGGAGACACAATAAAAGCGTTATCTTTCCTTTGAAACCAAGCATTGAAACATCAGCCATGTTTCGGGTCTCTCGCCTTCCTTCACCGCTCGCTGCTCTGACTTTCAACCCCGGCGTCAGTTTGCCGCTTCATCTCATCTTCATCTCGTCCCAGGTTGTGGTAAAACCTCTTTGCTGGACATACTAACGTGCCGCGACGAGGGCGGCGCCAGGACCTCCGGCCACGTTCTGATCAACGGGAAGCCCAACACGCCGCAGCTGGTGAAGAAGAACATCGCTCACGTCCGCCAAGACGACCGGCTTCTTCCTCACCTCACGGTGCGGGAGACTCTGGCCTTTGTGGCCCGACTGAGGCTCCCCACCCACTTCTCACAGGCCCAGAGGGACCAACGGGTGAGAACCCACCGAGACAGACACGCACACCCAAAACAAAGGCCTCATACTCTCCATCCGATGCGATAAGCTGCGTGTGGCGGTTTTTCTGTCCCAGGTGGATGATGTCATCGCGGAGCTGCGGCTGCGGCAGTGTGCTCACACCCGGGTGGGAAACGACCACGTGAGGGGTGTTTCCGGAGGGGAGAGGAGGAGAGTCAGCATAGCTGTCCAGCTGCTCTGGAACCCCGGTGAGGGAAAACAAACAAACAAACAAACAAACAAGTCTCGTTTCCCACTTTGAAACACAGTTTAGGCCTTTAGGAGGCAGTGAGAATGATGGCTGCAACAACTATGTACTCACACTTTACCACGACACGTGATGGATTATTGGACTGGTGCTTTTTGCGTTTCAGGTATCCTGATCCTGGACGAGCCCACGTCCGGTTTGGACAGCTTCACGGCCCACAACCTGGTGATCACGCTGTCCCGCCTGGCTCGGGGGAACCGCCTGGTCCTGCTGTCGGTCCACCAGCCTCGCTCCGACATCTTCCAGCTCTTCGACCTCGTGGTCCTGCTGTCGTCGGGGTCGGCCGTGTACTGCGGCCCCGCCCGCGACATGGTGCATTACTTCACCGCCCTCGGGTACCCCTGCCCGCGATACTGCAACCCTTCTGACTTCTACGGTTAGTGTGTGTGTGGAGATCTGTCACAGCATCGACGAAGGAACCAGTGCAGAAAAGCAGCTCTCAGTGTGTGGACAGTGTGATCAGATTAATGATAAAGAGTGTAAATCTTGACGCCTCCTGGGGGTCCAATGTGATGTTTTTTGATCCGCTTTCGTGTGTGTGTGTGTGTGTGTGTGTGTGTGTGTGCAGTGGATCTCATCAGCATAGACCGGCGGAGTCCAGAGCGAGAGGCCGAGTGTTTGGAGCGGTCCGCGGTGCTGGCCGAGAGGTTCATGGAAAGCGTCCGAGACACGGACGATCACATGTGGAAACCAGCGGGGACCGACACGGGCCCAACACCAGCAGAGAGGTAGCAGGCAGTTAAAGTTCGCCTTCTTTCCTCCGCCTTTTTCTTTGCCTAAACGTTCCCGTTTTCCCGCCCGCAGCCCTCAGCAGACGGGCCAAGAGAAAGGAGAGAAAGTAATCACCATTTCCAAGCAAAGTAACCGACTGCCTGGCCGACTTCACCAGTTCACCATCCTCATCAGGTAGGAACGAGCATCATAATACGTACGTCTGTTTACAGAGCGGCAGATACACTGATGCAGGAAATCTTTCTTTTGCATTTGTACGTTTGCTCTCTACTTTTGAATCATTTTCTCCATCCATCGTCATCTCTCTGCAGCAGAAGCGACTCCCGTTGGTGGTGAACTGTGGCGTCACCTCGTCATTTGTCTCTTTCTTCTCCCCCCTCAGGCGTCACATGCACAACGACTACAGGGACCTGGTCACCTTACTGGTCCACGGCTTCGAGGCCCTTCTCATGTCGCTGCTGGTCGGCTGCCTGTACTACGGGGCGGGAGAAGAGCGTCTGTCCATTCAGGACACGGTCGCCCTCCTCTACATGATCGGAGCGCTCACGCCGTTCGCTGTGGTGCTGGACGTCATAGCCAAATGTGAGAGACCACGGCTTCAGCCGGCGGAGCCGCTGACCGAGTTCACTTTCGCGTTTGGTTCTATTCAAGCACACATCCTGTGAGGCCCCCAGATACCGGAGGTACCAACGCTGAAACCCCCCCCGACTGCCTCTGTGTTCTCTGCAGGTCACACGGAGAGAGCCATGCTCTACCACGAGCTGGAGGACGGCATGTACTCCGTCACCTCCTACTTCTTTGCCAAGGTGATTCACATTGACCACCAGCAGGGGTCAGTCTCCCTCCACCCTTGAGTCCTCCCCCCGGTGCCTCTGTACAGTACTGTAATGTGCTGTACACACGCAGACACGACATCCCCCGAATCAAGGGTCCGGAATGTGTTTTCTGTAGATGTGAGCGTGTGCGTCCTCCGCCCCTCAGGTGCTGGGGGAGCTACCTGAGCACTGCGTGTTCACGCTGGTGTACGGCCTGCCCATCTACTGGCTGGCCGGCCTCAACGGGGCCCCCGACCGCTTCCTGCTCAACTTCCTGCTGGTGTGGCTGATGGTGTACTGCAGCCGAGCCATGGCCCTGTTTGTGGCCGCGGCGCTGCCCACCCTGCAGACCTCGGCCTTCATGGGCAACGCCCTTTTCACCGTCTTCTACCTGACCGGAGGCTTCGTCATCAACATGGAGAACATGTGGCTCGGTGAGAAGATTCAGCGTTCGTTTTTTTTCCTCTCAAACAACGCGTGCGTGGGGGGGCGTGAATGCGTGTGTGAGGATCCGTGGCGTTCATACCTGCGTGCGTGTTGCTGACCTTTCAGTGGCCTCGTGGCTCTCTCACGCCTCCTTCATGCGTTGGGGCTTTGAGGGCATGCTGCAGGTGCAGTTCAGAGGCAACAAGTACCCCGTCACCATCCACAACATCACCATCGATGTCGACGGCATACACGTGAGTTGCCAACGCACGCACGCTGACAGTTTGCACTTTCTTTTTTGAGTAAGGATTTATAATGTATAAGTGAACCCCTCTCACCCTGTTACCCTCTCTGTTTGACTTTGAGATGGTGGAGGCCATGCACATGAACCAGTATCCTCTCTACTCGTGCTACCTGGTCCTCGTGGCAGTCTGTGTGGTCTTCATGGCGCTCTACTACGTCTGCCTGAAGTTCATCAAACAGAAGTCCAGCCAGGACTGGTGAACACATCTGGAAACGGATTCCACCAATCAGACGCTGGCTGTAATCAGACAAATTACATCAGTCAGGGTTTTACTTTTGGGAGGAAGTAATTTGGGCTCTAGTTCGACTGGTTCGACACTGAGCCAAAGCTTTCCCTTATAATTGTACTGTTCCTGTTAAAATGTTGTATTGTGACTCAAGAGGTGAATAGGGGGAGAAACGTAAAATACATGTTTTTAATTTACCCTTGCACAGTAGTTGCAACATCAGAGTCCTGGACTTGTTTGAGTAATGGAAACACATGAAATGAAGCTTCTGCAACCCCAGCAGTGCTTTTAAAGTAAACCTTCCGAATGTACAAAACACTTTCGTAGAGTGCACTTTTTCTTTGTCTTGGGTCTTAACATATACTCAGCATTAACATTATTATTAGAATTATTAGGATCTGAGTGACCTAGTTTAAGGGAAGCACGTGTTGCAGTACCGCTGCCCGCTGCTGGGTGGCAGCAGAGCACTGCACCAGCATCAGATGTGAATGGTGAATGTCTTTTTATTCTCTCCTCCTCTCCTCAAATTATTAGAGCGCCACTTTGGCGGATATCCATCTGCAGCTTTCGCTTGTTCCATTTTCAATCTCCTGTTTTTCTAAAGCTTTATCTTTTTTTGTATATGTAAGGTTATTAAGCTTAACAATGTGCAGCCAGTATAGTAACCACTGGACAAAAAGCCTTCTGGAGATTCAGCAAGTCACACTTGAAAAAAAAAAAAACTTGTTTACTTGTGTCCTCGTAGATTGACGATTACGTAAAACTGTGTGTTTGTTTTTACTGTTGCAAAAGCCTGATAAAGATTTTAAAGACACGGTCCAATTGAGTAAAGCGTTAAATGAAATCGCTCTATTTGAGCGTGTTTATTTGCGTCCTGATTCCCTCCTTGGACGGCGTCCTCCAGGGACGCGCTGCAGTCACTTGTAGCTGTGCAATTTCATAACACTGAATGATATTGACGACGTGGTTATTTTCAACGATTATCTTTCACCTTCTGTTATACATACACATAATCCCTTAGCAATGTTCTTCTTTAATCAAAAAGGGAATACCGAGTGCATGCAACAGTAATAAAGAGAAATGTCCTCTTGTAATGCCTGCAAAAACAAGCCGTGGTTCATAACAAACAAACCCTTCCGATGTCTCTTCTTCTTTGGTTTTAATTTGTGTCCCGAATAAGCTCTGGTGGCCGAGGTGACCCTCAGATGTCAACTGGCCCCCGATGGTCTTGTGAAACCAACCGCTGTGTTATCGAAGGCCGGCCTCGCTCGGGGTCAAGAGCAGCTCGCGTTACGTGAAACAGAAATATCCGAGGCTGGGATTTAAAAACATGAAGGGTTCAAAGAGTTGGACTGCATGAGGAAAAAAGTATCTTTCCCATGATCCTTTACTTGAAAATATACAATGCGACATGTAGATACTATTTCTATTCTTTAGATGGGCTGGAACAAATCAACGCATGTATTCGGTGTTCATCGGTTTTGTGTGTTTTTAATATGTAAATGGCAGAGGAGCCATAACAGTTCAGCTCAGACAACTTATATAAAAAAGAAAGCGAGAAGGGAGGAAAACATTTGGATTTGGAGGGAGGTCGGATTAGAGGAGGATGAGTATTTGTGCCTCAGCTGTCGTCTGGTGCTTTCTCGCTTTCCGCTCGTCTGCGAGAAACTTGAAGGACTCAAAAACACATTTAGAATCAAACGCATACAGCGACAGATTATCCTACGCCACATAGCGAGGCTACCGAGTGTGTGTGTGTGTGTGTTTCTCCCCTCTTTGCAAAGGTGAACTGCAGTGGAGCCCCCCCGGGTCCGTCTAATGGTCTCCGCTCTCCGACCAGGTTGTCTCGTTTCATCTTTAAATCCCCGTTAATACATAAATTAGGGATTTGTAGCCGGCTCCCCACACAAACACTCTGTTCCTGACTAATTAATCGGTGTTTTGATCCAGACAAAGTGTTGAGTGGGTGTTTTTGTTGGGGGGGGGGAGGTGAGAGCCTTTCTGCATGTTACACCGGCTTCTTACATTTTGTTTATGTGCTAATTAACGCTGTTAAATATCGACGTTCACTATATACTGCATTTACGTTTTTATTTTTCTATGACGTCATATTTAACTTATTTATGATGTACTATTTTATTACTTCCATGTTATACGAGTGCAGTATTTTTATGTAAATTGGAGTCTCCCTGTTGATGTTATGGCCCACTTTACTAGGACTATAGTAATACTACTGACTTTTGATCAGTTACATGGGATTTTTTTAATTATATATAGTAGATACACAAGTTTAGATACTGTGGTCTGACTATTGAATATCTTGTACTGAGGCTTTTTTTACTTACACATATAACTTTATTTGACTCACTTCTATGAGATGCTTTGACTTTGTTACACGCTGACTTTTATTTTCACCTCAATATCACTTAAACTACACAGAGATTCGGGCTCAGAATGTGACATTTATTAGCATAAATACTTCTGTACATTCTCAACAACATCATAATCAATAACGTCATCGAGAGCACAGGGGACAGAGTTTAAGAACTAACAGTTTCAACACGATATTTCAGCTCAGACACATTATAAAACAAAAAAGGAAAAGGACGAAGGAAGTAGTTGGGGAGGAGACGAGGAAAGGTCTTCATGCATCAGCGGTCGTCTGGACTTTGGCTGCTCGCTCTTTCAGTTTCTCTGCATAAAACTTAAAGGACTCCTGGAAAGACAAAGAAAGCCAATTAAGTATCGAAGATACGCCAAACAAGTACAAACGATAAATAACAAGACTAAAAGGTGTGTGTGTGTGTGTTTATATCGCCAGTGACGCAGCGTTCCATGAATTATTTTAAATGACACTTTTATGACCGTACTTTATTAACTTTTGTATGAAATATTTCACTTTTTAATTACTATCAACTATGAAATCAAATGACATCCTAAGCTATGAGGTTTTTTTTATTTCATAATATAACTCGTTTTGAAAATACTTGGGAGTGTTTAATGTTATACAATACTATTACAATGACACTAAGAATTTAAAATGACTATCATACTATACTGGGACAGTTTGTATTTTATTAATCATTACTTTGTTCTGACTGTTTTTTACAACATGCTGTACTACTACGACAACATTTGGGGCTTTTAATGACTTTCTATACATGCTATAACTTTGACTATGTAACATTTATATCACAGTTGTCAAAGCTGCCATGGCACGGCCGTATGGTGAAACCATGACCGATGACCTCTCCCTCTCCTTGCAGCTCCTCCGGCTCTCTCATGCTCATAAAACCAAGCATCACTCAACTATCCGGACATGCAGTGAATAATGCAGCAGCTCCTCTGCCTCCTCCCGTCTCTGCACTGCAGGTGAGTGAAGGGAAGGTAAGAGGTGGGCTTCGTCCTACACCTGCCTCAAGGGGACAGCGCATTAAAGTGCTGGAGCTGAGAGGGCTGTGTGTGTGTGTCCTCTGCCAAAAATAGAGCTACATCAAGTTACACAATGTGCTGAAATGCTCAAAAACAGTAAGCGCCACAAACAGAGAGCGGCTATTGCAGTGACACCATCTCGGTTACACAATATAGGTACTCTGACCCGCACACCCAAAGCAACAAACACAGGCTGCAGTGCTGCTCACACACACACACACACACACACACACACACACACACACACACACACACACACACACACACACACACACACACACACACACACAGGTGTGCGTTCAGACGCCAGCCGGACAACTGCCAGCAGCACCAGTTTAGGACGTGCGATGGGTGCTGTGTTGGTATTTGAGCACAGATCTGTTAATAATACGTTGTTCATGTCTGCATAGTTGTATCAATATGGTGTGTGTGTGTGTGTGTGTGTGTATACACTCACAGGTGGCTCAGTGAAAGGGGCGGTCTCGCCTGCATCACGGTAAAGCCCAGCAAGTCTTTTGAGTGACAGCTCGTCTGTGACAATCCCCTCCTCCTGCATCTGCTCATGCAGCGCTTTGGCCGATGACAAGTCTTTATCCAGAACTGCCAGACGAAGGGAAGCGGGGAGAAAGGTGACGTCAGCAAATGAAACAAAAACCTCATTATGTCAAAAAACTTTTTTTCTCAAGTGGACATTACTGAAAAAAATATTCCAGCATCGCATTTCATCAAGGAATTGGTGCAAAGAACTGAAATGCATGTGGTTTTATGAACGGCTACTTTTAGCAGAATAATTAACGACAGGCTCCCACGTGTCTTATGCAAGAAGAGCTCGTGTGGACCATTTTACAGTACGAGTACCTATTCTACTTAAAGTACCAGTCAAAACCTCTTGACTAGTACTGTAAGTAAAATAGAAAAAAAAAACATTAATTTAAAAGTGTTTTGAAAGAGCATGATCTTAATTGAGAAAAAATAAAGCAATGTAAGACATTGTGGAATCAGTAACTGATAAAACTTTATTTCCTTAAATGATGTTCTGTTAAAGTAAACCCTCCTGAATGTGGGAGGTTGTGAATATCAAAGAAACAAAAGTGGAAAGTAAAGTCAGGTCTAAGACGAGAAAAAAAAAAAACACAGAACGCCTCAAAGACAAAAAAGTGCAGAACATCGCTAAACGCGTCCCTGATGGCTGCCTCCACCGACCAGCTAGCTGATGCTAATTAAATAGTCATGTCCGCTCATCTCCGGTGTGATGAGGCACGAAAGAGGGGAGACGGGAGGGTGAGAAGGTGAAATGAGGAGAGGATGGAGGCAAAAGAAATGATGTAAGGGACAAAAAAAAAAGTAAGAGGTCAAGAGAACGATGGGGAGAGGAGGGGAAAAAAGAAAAAAGGTTGAGTGGTGGTCTGTGTTGCAATTAGCACGCTAGGCTAGCCAGGACAGCTAACTCATTAGAGGACATGTGTTCTCATAACCCCTGAATGTCTGCGCACACCCACACGCTGACCTGATGCATTGTTAATGTGTCCGCCTGCTGCACCAGACAAAAGTTGTGTGTGTGTGTGTGTGTGTGTGTGTGTGTGTCCTACCGTGGCATTTCATGAGGTACGGGTACAGCACCTCCTTCTCAGTGAAGTCTGGAATCAGGCTCAGCAGGGCCTTGATCTTTCCCACCTGTGCACGCAAACAATAATATACAAAAAACCCACAAAAATGGCCGTCGATTAACTTCAAATTGGTCAGTTTAATGTTATCAATACTTTCAGAAATCGCACAAAAAATTGGTACAAATGATGCTGTGAAAAAGTAGATCTTAAAGATGGGATTTTACCTGCCCAGGAGTTTGAGCCTTCTGAGACAAGAAGGACACCAGGACGCTCTTCTGCTCAGCCACGCCGTGACAGCGCTGCAGCCAGAGCAGAGGGACAAAGGAGACGTGAGACACGTCGTCGCCTGGGCGATATTGAGACGCTCCAACCGGAGCTCTTCATACGAACGCCCCCCCAAACACACCCACGTATTCACAGAAACGCCTGCACACCTGCGCTGAGGTTAAAGGTCGATTGTGGATTTAACAACGCCTGGTCCCTTAGTGAATTTAAATGTCACGTCAATGACATCTCCAGCATAATTATGCTCCTGTAGTCAGATTGAAGGTCACGGCCGGACATCCTCCCGGAATGAGGGATTGTTATTCATATCACCCTTCATCTGAAGCTGGCTCTCAGGCCAGTGTGTTGTGATTTGTGTTATTTGGCTACATGGATAAAACTGGCACGACATTTCCAGTACTTAGTGGAGATGTAATATAAGTGCAGCTTGAGCTGTCCACTGCCTGTAGAGCTTTGAGACCTTTAGCAATTACTGAAAGACGGGAAGTAAAAGAGATGATAGTCAATCGGCAAAAGACGGAGAAAGATTTAAACTGACATTAAATTTTCGTTACACAACATAAACATATTGAAATAGAATCTCTGAAGTTTGCGTTCACAAGAATATGTACGGTTTGGTTTATTTACATTTATTGTGCTTATATATATATTCATATTTAAATAAATATATATTTTTTGGTAGACCAATTATGTTATACAATGTATCAATATACGGGGAGTGCTGTACGACTGTATGGGCAGTGATGCCGATTAACAAAAATAGATAAGTACATTTATAATAAGTAAAGTCATTTTTCGGCACAACACTTTAATTATACGATGTATATTAAAAAGAATATGAGAAAATCCTTCTCGACTTCTGGAGGTTTAACCTGTGCACCTGCTTATGATGAGGACACGCCATGCAAGCGTACGTTTAATAAAGTGTGTGTGTGTGTGTGTGTGTGTGTGTAGGAGGTGAGTTTTTTCTCCTGGCTGAGCGGCGATGAAGTCCAATTACTAGCCAGTCGTAAACTAACGCGCTTCACTCTGCACCTCGTACAGAATTTAAGGCAAGTGGCCTGCGAGGCTTTTAACCGGATGACACACACGCGGCTAGTTTCCTTCCTTCGGAGTCACCAAGCGGCAGAAAGGCTCGAGCACAATCAGACAATCAGACCACCACGGTGCCACTTCACTCCACTTCACTCCCCCCTCCCGTTATTTTCCCCTCTCCCAAAAGGTGACCTCACAACCGACCGGGCTTCCCGTCTGCTGCTCACACACACTGCCTAAAAGCTCCGGGTGCCCAGGGGAGGCCTCCTTCTCCTCCATAACCCGCCGCCGTCCCAACACACGAGCCTGTAAGGCGTTATAGAGGCCACTATGCGTCATCCCTCTCGCTCCTCCTCCTCCCGCCTCAGAGGGGTCCGAACTTACACACACAACACAATTGACGGGGCAGTTTGGAGCGAGTCTTTGCAGGAAAATGCGTTTAACTCTCAGACTCCATGAGCATCGATTGAGGAGCTTTGTTTTCTTGTCACACGTTTTGTCCATCATCCGATGAACTCGCAGGTTCCAATTTTCTGCTGACTTTTAATGCGTTTTCTTTGGTATGGACTCCAGATTTCTATACTTGTTTACACTTTTTTAAAGTTCTGCTGCTCACAGCTACAGTTAAGTTGATCTGCCAAGCCGCTACGTTACGGACATCAACTTAAAATGCTAAAAAACATCCCACGGCCACCATCTGTCTCTCCTTGGTTTCTAACATGAAACAGAAACAGATACTCTGAAATAGTTCTTTCATCCTGAGCTCCCATCTCGCAGTGGGCGGGGAAACAAGCAAAGATGCATGTCATATATTACATATTATAGCTTTAAGATAATGTAATCCATGATTTGTGTTTAAATAGTGATGACAAACAAATGTACGAGCAGAGTGAAAATGTGAGCAGCGAAGGTTGTGTGACAAGAACGCAGGTTCTAGAAGTAATATGTCGCAGTTCGTTAGTGTCACACATGCTTGTGAACTACAGGGAAGTTCTTGATCGGCATCCTTCCTCTTGTCCCTGGCCCACCTAGCTTCATCATATTTGTGTCCCCAGGCTCGATGCAAAGTCATTGAGCTGTGATGTATGAACTGAGCTAAATAAGTGAAGTGGTAGGAGGCCCATTTCAGACCACCAGACTCAGTGGAATGTGGGGGGGGGGAAGCACTTCCTGGTATAAATGTGAGGCGGGATGAATAAGTCAACGCCTCCACTGGGGTCTGACAACTGGACGGACGCATCATCAGATCCCTTGATGGTTTTCTTTTTTTCCAGATTTTAATTACTTTGATGTAGTAATTTAAATGTAGTCACGGGTGCGACACTCAAACTGAGAAGTACGCATCGGCACCGAATGCCCCTGATGATTTAAAATATAGTTTAAGTGGCCACAGAAACTGACTAACTAACTTTTTACTCACCGTGTGCAGATTCAACCTAAATAAAGTGGCGAACCGGCACTCGGCGGTTTGATACTAGAAACAACCCCCAAATACATGTTTCAGACAGTTATATGTTGGCAACAACTACAACTTATCATTCAGAGGCAACACTGATATTCTCCTCTCTTTACACAAACACCTAAACAGGGAGGAATAAATGCAAGTGTGATGAAGAACAGTCCAACCTGTAAAACACTTCATGTATAAATAATGATGCAGGGAAGTGAGCGTAGCAGCGAGTAATGCATCTTCATGCATTTGCATGAATGCCGGTCCAGTTCCCTGCAGTATTAACTAAAGTGTATCTCAACTCGGCCTCTGTGGGCCGCAAGCAAATACGTATGAAAACACACGCAGTCATACTCACGGCCAACATGAACTTGGCGTCCTCAACTTTGTCCATGTCCAGCAGCCGGAGGAAGAGGTCTGAAGCCGGTCTGTAGCAGGCAAAATGGTTGGCCAGCCGCTCTGCCATCGCACTCACTGAAACACAGCGTCCACGTTCCAGCTCAGTCGTGTTCTTACAGGGGTGTTTACGCCTGGATTGCATTTTTCTTAGTGTCATTTTGCTCATGGTTTTTATATATAATGTTCCCATTTCTTTCTGTCCACATGTAAGCACCGATCGCGTGTGTGTGTGTCTTACACTTGTCTAAAGCTTTGTCATTGTCATCTTCCAAGACCTTCCTGAAGACGAACGAAATACTGGGGTTTGTGCTGTCTGGACTAGTGAAGACTGCCTCCAGCACCTCCACCGCCGAATCCACGTCACCACTGAGGGGTGAGAGGGAGAAGTAAAGGTTCAGTTCATTAGAGGAGATCAAAAACAACACATCAGGTCATGTTTAATCTTAAGAATAGAAGAGAACGAACTCTGTCTAACGCGTAGGGAGGATCAAGCAATAAAACATTTTTGTTGTATAACTATTTAGATCTCACGTTGTTACCCAGAAGGAACACTTCTTTCTACATTGGATGTAAATTGGGATAGATAACAATGTTCCATTTAGCCTTAAATGGATTAAATCAGCCCTTTGGATGCAAAATAGATGCTCAAGATATATTAGATATAGAACGTAAAGAATAATTAATAGGAATCACTCCATTTTTAGACTTTTATAATTCAGCACTAAAATTAGATTGGTTGCATTTTTATCCTCCCACTAAGAGCAAAGCAACTCTTTCTTCCACACACACACACACACACACACACACACACACACACACACACACACACACACACACACACACACTTTTCTGCTGAGTTTGCCTCAACGAAACAAAGCATGCACACCAAAGCGCTACAAATCTAAAACAACTCAATCTGGCACCTCCACCTCGCTACTAACACTTTACGCTCCCTGCTCCCTCCCCACTGTCAGCAGTCGTAATGAATATTTAACATACAGGGTGTGTGTGTGTGTGTGTGTGTGTGTGTGTGTGTGTGTGTGTGTGTGTGTGTGTGTGTGTGTTTATACATGCGAGCGCGTCCAGCGTTGGGGGAACACATCTACACTGATTGTTGCGACTGGGACCGTCTGAATAATTCAGCGGGGGGCCCCTCTAAATGTGCCGCGTCGTTTTCTTCCGGTCCCGGTCGCCGTCCCGCCCCGGCTCTTAACCAGTCAGCTCGACTCAGATACAGCGGGGGCGCAGGTGTCAGGGCCGCTCAGAGCGCGCCTCCTGGAGGTCAGGGTTCAAGCCGACAGGCCCGCGCCGCCGTGGCCAATCGGGCGTGACACTGTCTTGCCGCCCTTCGCCTCCTGCTGTCCCTCCGAGGTTGCCGCGGCGACGGCGCTAATGCAGCGAGTGGCGCAATGAAAGTTTGATGCCCGGTTGCGCGTTTGTGTATTTGTTCCTTGCCGTTTGAGAAGCGACAGAGCAGCCGCGGATGATGGCCGCTTTTGTGACATTAAAAAGGAAGCCATGAATAATCCTATTACGCCGGTGTTTCCTATTTGTACTTTGACGCCCCGCTCGCCCTGCGAGCTTCTACTTTAAGAGTGCGTCAACACGGGTCTTGTCACACTCATGCGATTGCATTTAACTGTTTGAGTTACAAATAAGAATAAAAGACTTCACACTAGATCTCAAATTACGTCAGAAAGTTAAATTATCCTGCTCACACATGACGTAAATCACGAGAGGAAAACCCTTTGTGTAGATCCGTGTGTCATCTTCAAAATTACTTTAAAGTGGAAAAAACAGTGAACACAAGTTCAGTGATGAAATGCCCACGCTTACTTCTTGATGTGGGCCAGGGCCGTGTTGTTGACAAACACCATGCTGGACAGGTTGAGTGAGCCGCCGAGGCTGTGCACCAGTGATTCCACTTCCTGGACCCCGGCCACGTCGCCATGGTTACCCAGGGCCTGAACCAGTCTGGTGATGGCGAGCTGCGAGGGCACGTAGTTCTTCTGCATCATAGACTTCAGTTTCTCCAGAGCCTCTGTGGAGGAGTGCTAGAGGTGAGTGTGTGTGTGTGTGTGTGTGTGTGTGTGTAGGTGTGTGCGTGGTCTGTTTGTCACCTTTAGACTGGTCTTTCTTGCTGTGTGAGACGATGAGCAGATTGGTGGCGATTTCACTCAGACTGAAGTTTGGCAGGTGAGACGCAGCACTGAAAGAGACGCATAAGTTCTTTGTTAAACGTTTTGTTTTTATCTTTTTAAGCTTCCGGTTGACAAAACAACCTCCACTCGATTGAACGGAGGCCAACATGACAACAGCGACTTAAGTTAGGACAACAGATGCGAACTGGCTGAAAGCTAAAATCTGGTACTGTGCATCAAATGGTGACATTTATGTTTTGAACTGTACACGTTCACTTTTAAATAACTAACGACACTGCATTCAGTTTAGGACTGGGCGAGGATTTTATGTAATAATCAGCACACGATAACCTGATTTTTGCAGAAACACCGACTATTTGCGATGTATTGTACTATTGTGATGTATTTAATTCACACATTTAATGTAATTATTGACAAAAACTTATTCATGTTTGCTCAAAGCTCCATACAAAAGGTATTATTGTGTGTAATGTAATCCCATGTTAAATGGATCCTTTAAATAGTCTGATGCAAAAATGCATTCAAGACAGACAGACACGCTACTAGAAGGTCTTCTAACATTAGAGTTGATTTCGTACTCCACCATGAATCTCTCTGTGGCATCTTAGTCTTCAGCAATGAGGCTATTATAAGGCATCACATTCAAAAACTCATTAGAATTTACACAGATCGAGCGGATAAACACATGAGCTGAGAAACAGAACAATGGGAACAAATGTGATTGACAGCCAGTCTGAGCCTCTTGTAAAGCGCTTGTTGTAATAATACAGACATCAAACAGTTGATTACTTCCTGCTGAGCCGCTGCACACGTGCGTTTGTATATCTGTGCGTGGATTTTTTTTATGCTGCAGTATTGAGGCCTCCAACCCCCCCCCCCCTCCTCGCGGACCCTTTCAGCCCTCCTCCTTTTCATTTCTTTGGGACTGAAACCTCAATCAAGCTAGCCTTTCGTCTCCCCCCCCCCTTTTAAATTGTTATTATATCCCTGAAACTAGATTAATCCGTCCGCTCAATTGAGCATCAGGGCGGCAATCCTTATCACCACGGCGACACCAGGCCAAGCAGCACCCGCCGGCCGCTGTGACAGGTCCTCGGCGGTAACGGGGTCGCCGACGGATCGCCGTGGAGACCAAGAAGTGGGGTCCAAATTATTCTTATCGGGTGGAAGAAAGCCTCTAGAGGCCGTCTTGCCTCTCGAGCCAACGAACCCAACATCCACTCCTTCCTCTGTCTCACTCTCTGCCAATCCCTTAATCTTACCATAAGCGCCCTGCTGCTCAATTCTGTACAGATTACCCCAAAATAAACACACACACACACACACACAGAATTAATGCCTATAGCGTCTTCATTAACCTCGTACCTGATTAAATCTAGCCCTCCTCGCCTCATGCACTCCTCCTTCCCGCGTTCTTTTTATCTCCTTCCACCCTTCCCATTTCCATCTTCCACTCTCCTCATTTCTCTTCTCATTTAGAGTGCAGATAAACGAAGCTTTTATCCAGGCAGGGATGCCGTGAACCAATTCAAACAGAGGCTGGAGATGGGTTATTGCTTGTATTGCCTGCCGCTTGTTGAAACAGGGGTCTCAAATTGATACGATTATTCCTCATAACATAAGAGAGCGAACCATGTAGAGAGCAGAAAACAGGGTAGAGACCGATAGTGTAATGGATGTTTTCCCCTCATTTTTCTACAAATGAGTAACTATCGGTTCTTTCAGTGGATCATATTATCTCCTTTTTTTTGTTCTTAACACTTCATCTGTGCAGCGAGAGAAAGTGATATAAAGAAAGGGACAAAAGGAGATAAAGAAAAGGGAGGAGATTACCTAAAAGGACAAACCGAGAGGATCAGCGCGGCACTAAGCTTCGATCTCTAATACCTCCTTCTACCCATTCGCCTCCAGACTCGACCCCCTGATGCGCCCCCGCAACACAACACATGATACATTACTAATTGGAAGAAGATTGATGTTTATGCTCCAAGTCACCCGCTTCCCAGAAAACAAAAACTAATCGGCACACCCGAGCGTTTGTGCGTGTGCGTTTTTGGGCTTAGAAAGAGCTCCTGTTCATATCCAGCAGGGCTGAGTGCGATCGCACACAATCACTTTTTAATCCTCACGTCTATCTAAGAGATAGAGTTCGAACCGGAGGTGACCCGGTGCCACAGGCTGAAGAGACGGCTGAAAAAGCAGAGCAATAACCAGACAAAGAGAAATGTCAGGCAGGAAGTGAGGGTGCCTTTGTATTCAGATGCTGTTTACCGATAGGTGTCATTTCTCGGTGTGGAATAGATTAAATGAAGGCACTCACATGTCCTTGACTTCCATGGCGTCTTCGATGGATCCCTTGGCCAACAGGGCGCGGATCACCTGGTCGTAAGTGCCGGGGTCCAATGCCACGCCCTTATTATTGACCTCCTTCAGCATCTTATAGGCTTCTGTTTAACGAGAGAACAAAAGAAAGAAAAAGAAAAAGGAGTCAGACGTGGATCAAGAAGAGCAAGCTTCGCACAGAATCTTTATATTATGGGATTAATTAGTAATCCAACAAAGATGACTGCAAAGGTGAAGTACAGTGTATTTATTAACCTCCGACAGGTTCAACCAGTCACCAGGGATGAAACCACTGGGACCACCTGCTGCTTACCAGTGGCCTTGCCCCTTTTACACATGGCCATCAGACGGGTCTGGAATTCGGTCCCACCCTCGGCTGCGGACGGGGTCGGTGCCGTCTTCACCTGCTGCGTGGTGGCAGCTTGCGTGTACCACGTCTGGAAAGGAACCACAAAGAGAAAGCAGTGATGAATCTCAAAGTCACGGCTTCATCCAGCATGCAAACATTCACGCACACACATGTACACACACACACATTCAGCTGTGTTCTAGCAATGAGCTGGTGTGTGTACCACTGCATTAAAGCCGGGCAGGCAGGGCAGAGTCCCCCGATGCTCAGTCACCCGTGTGGCAGTGAGGAGAGGGGGTTAAGCTGTATTGGCTAGGGGCAAATTAGGTCTGGCACCCCAGGGGCAAAATGAAAGCTTGTGCGCGCATGAGTGTGTGTGGTGTGTGTGTGTGTGTGTCGAAGCGGCGGAGTCAACTCAAGAGTCCCCGGGGGTCACCAAGTTCATCGCTTCAGGCCACGGCAATCACTTCCTGTCTCATCATGATTCGGGCTCTCGCTCGCATGCAAAACAAAGCTGAGGGGGGAAAAAACGCAGCAATGCGACGCAGAAATATTGTATTGTTTAAAAAAAAGACTCTCCTCGTGTGTTGAATTTTTCCAACACGTTTTCACATCATCTCCACTTTGTCCCTCTTGGGCCGAATGCAGACGAGGTTTAACTAAGAATCCAGCGGCAGCCATATGGTGGCATTTAGCTGCTGGCGAAATTAGTCTGGCATTACAGATTTACAGACAGATCAAGCTGTAATGCCTTTCACCAGCCGGCTGGTCTGATTGACCACACTTCAGATCAGAGCCTCAATCCTGTTTCCTCTGCATGTAATGAACAGAGGCTTAAAGTGGAGCAGGGTGAGGGGGGGGGCTGCGGGTAGTCTTTTTGGGGGTTAGCTCCTATGATCGGAGGTCAGGGCTTGCTGGTAAATGCATGCCGTATGATTATAATTGGGAACGAGGCTCCTGCGTTTCAAATGATGGAGATAAAGTGCCCTGTTATATCAATACAGGACATAATAGAGTTTATACTTGACCTACATTAACTGTGCAGAATACTACATTCTACTACAGCTTTAAACTAGATTTAAGTTATTTTTTTATATAATTTATTAGTTTTTGTGTCCTTTTCTTGTCAATGGTAAGAATCATATGGTTTGGCTGCAGTGCAACCTCCCCTGTTGGGATGTGATGAAGTACTCAATACAGAAAATAGTATGACCATCAAAAGTTGCCACGGTTTGAATATCAAATCTCCCCATTGGAGAAGCTTCTGGTCATCATTCATCAGAGCAAGATCAGATCTGTCTGCGTCACTGGGACGTACGTATTACGTAGGCAGGGTTTTACCTCGGGCACTTCGAAGGGAACCTCCTTGCCATTATTTTTCAGGATGTCTGCCAGCATTTGCAGGGTCCTCTCCCTGGGAATGACGTTGTTCTCCTGCATCTTCGTCCACACTGCTTCTGCCTTCTCCCAGTTGTTCTGAACCTCTGCAAACAGCAGAAAAACAGCGAGAATGGATGAAAGGTGCGTTCTCTGTGTTTGTCACCATGTCTCACGCACACACACACACACACACACACACACACACACACACACACACACACACACACACACACACACACACACACACACACACACACACACACACACACACACACACACACACACACACACACACCATGTGGTTGCAGTCATTTCAGACAATGTGTTCCGTGCTGAGAGGGCAATCAAAGCAGTAATCTGATCAACTGACTGACCCTCAACTATGGTGTGATTTAGAAAACACTAACTAGGTGTGTGTGTGTAGGGAGGTTGTGGTATTGGGTTGACAATCAGCTTTAACACTCCAATCACAACGGTCATCTGCTCTGCTCTCCACTCCAGCAATCACACCAATGTCTTGTTCTCTTCCTTCTGACTGATCCTCTCTCAAACACTCAAACAGAGCCTGAGGGCCTCCGTCACACCCAGAGGGGGGAGGTCACGGCATCAAAGGATTCTTAGGGTAAGATGCAAACCGAGAATAAAAAGAACGCACAAACATACGAACGGAAGAGAGAAAGAGACTCACTGCAAAGCCGAAGGACGTAACTGTACATCTCGTCTCTGTCGCACTCAAACAGCTTGTCCGTCATGTCCGCCATCTGCTCCAAGGCTTCCATCTATACACACACGCAAACTTTAAAATTGGATTTCTTGGGGGAATGTCTAGGTGTGTGTGTGTTTGCATGAGTTACCTGATTGGAAGAAATGCATTTCTCTGCATACCAGTTCAGGCGTCCGGGTCGTGCCCTCAGCCCGGGGGTCTATGGAGAAGAGAAAAAACAAACGATAAGGATTTCTACGGGAGGAATCAAGAGAACAGATGAGTGACACCATCAGAAACTGGAGCTGCACTGAACATCCTTCGGGTGCAGACGCATGTGACCCACCGGGCGTCATGGCCACGTGCTGCCCCAGAGCTCAAGCAATTCACTTTTTATTATCAAGGACAGAAATGACGTTCGGGTTAATTAAAATTTGGTTATACACGTCCTGGAGCATTTAAAAAGTTTCGGATCAATAGATGGATACATTATTGGATGACTGATTTCACTTCAATGTAAGGGCAGATCATCTTTAACTGTTTGTTAGGCCTTAAGTTATGTACGCTTACAGCATATATTACGTATCATCTACAACGTGATGACAACAATTGTATGAGAAAAGTAGTCCATTCATAAATAAACACACTAACCAGCAAATATGTCGGCATTTTGCCTTGAACAACAATGAAACGTTTATCGAAATGATCAAATATCAACTTAATATTTTATCCAGACACTAATATATACAAGCCTATCTTACTACAAGAAACACAACTGGAAGAAAATGTACCTAACTACAAAACGGAGACATTGGATGGAACGATATATGAATCAGGACTTTATCAGCGATGAGAATATTTTGGTATTGGGTTTCCCAAACAATCATTTATTACTGTTATTATGAAAATCTCTTGCTGGTAAAGCTTTGAGTGGATACTTATTTTTTCTGAGCGAGGCAGCTCACAGGAGATAACAGAAAATAATAGTTTGGGCGCAACATTATGAGTTTGAAAGAGAATACCGGTTTAAAATATTCAAGTATATGATGACTTATAAAGTCTCAACGGTCCTGGATGTGTTTTTGTAGAACATTTAGGACAATGATATGCAGATAGACAGAGTGAGGGATGTGAAATAAGCGCTGACATCACTGATCTGCAGGCTTTAGCCTGATATGAGGAGGCACTAGATGATTATCATCGTGGAAGAACAGTGATCAGGATTTCATCAGTCTCTTGGGGCTTTGATACAATCTGAATAAGACTAGGATTGAGAAATCTTGCTCTCTGGTAATCCAGGCAAAAAAAAAAAGGAGTGAGAGCAACAGCTCTGCCGGGGAGTTAATCTGAACGGGGATCAACGGCGCTCAATCCCCGCTGGCCTCTTTGATGGGAGCCCATCGCGCTGCGAGAGGAGAGTCGAGAAAAGACGGGCTTCATCCCTTCCACTGACCATCGCTCCCGCTCCCAATCCGCTCTACGCCTCCCTGTTGCTCCAAAGCTTCCCGGCTCCTACTCAGTCTCTTCCCGCTGCCTCCGCATCCCTCCATCCCGCCCAGGCAAAGGCATTATGTTCTTACCCGGCCAAAAGGGACAAATTAAAATGTGTTGCACTCGGTCTCTCTCTCAGCCCGTATAATCTTCTTAGAGACTAAGGCCTGGAGTGAGAGTGCTCCATCCTTTTTGCCTCCCATTCTCCTTTACTTGGTAAAGTCTTGTGGGCTCAAAGCAGCCCCCTGCACATCTACTCACGCAAGCGCGCACACACACACACACACACACACACACACACACACACACACACACACACACACACACACACACACACACACACACACACACACACACACACACACACACACACACACACCATGTTTAGGATTTTGAATCCGTCAGGACTAATCTGCCTAATCTGGGCAGAAAACAAAATCCTCAGAAATAAGAAAGCCCATAATTTACACACGCACGTGTGGATAAAAAGAATACAAAGCCAAAAAAAAACAAAAAAAGAACAGCACACACCTTCTGAAAAGAGACAATGGAAAAGCAGGTGGGATTATGGGGATAAACCTCAGGTAGGGACACACACAGCCGAGTGTGTTAGTCCGTCTTGTGTCACCTTTAGATGCTTCCCTCTCTCATCCTTACGTACGCGCACACGAAAAGAAAGAGATAGAGGCGACCTCGTCTCACCTCCACTTATCACACCCTCTCCATCTCAATTCCTAATGTTCTAATTCCACTAATCACCTCGGCCACTTAGTCCACAGGCGCGCACGGCCGAAACCCTCTCCCTAACACAAAAACACATAATGGCTCCCCACTCTTTGGCAATGCTACCTAACCTTGACCAACACACGCGTGCGCCCGCCGCGATAATAGGCCCGGCCACCTGACAAGCCTCTACCTAACCTTGACCGTTTAGCGCAAAATTGGCCACCTTTCTCGATCATTACATTTAATTAGCTGTGATTAATCAGCTGCCAATTATACCAAACACAACCCGAGGAGAGACACCACTGGACCGCTACTTGACGCTCTCTGAAGGGGGAAAAAACAAAAGTATTTGTGTGTTTTGAGTGTCCCTGTATGCATATTTGAGAGATGATATGATTCTATTGCATTATTTTAGTCATATAATGAGTTAGAGTTCAGAAGGGAACTTTTAACAGTACTCAGAAAGACAGCGGAACAGGAAACTGATAACTCGGAATCTCGGGGACTAACTTAAAAGTTGATCTACAAGGAATACCGAAGACTCACACTTCTACTTTAAATCTGAACCACTAAATAATAGTATATTAGCACTCGGCTCACACGTCTCCTCCGCTCTAAAGAAATAACAATACAAGCAAATTTCAGCTTTTTTTTTTTCTCTCGTTACTTTACAGTTTTGCTTCCTTCTCGCCACTCGCATTCATCTCGTTTTCAGCCACAGTTGTTTTTTTTAGACAAGAAAGTTCCATTAAACTAAATGTACTCTTACACTCTCTTTAGCTTTAAGTGGTAATGTTCCAATGCAGCCAGCTCCAAAACAAGTTTACAGAAAACTACGACATCGTAAAGACGATTAATCATTTTCAAAATAAAAGATTCAGTCCTTTCACAACAACAGGAGGCCGTCACAGGTAAAAGGCGGTCATGTGTTGTCTGTTATTGAGGGTGAAATGACCCAACAGATGGGGGCTGAACAGCTGAGCTTTTGTCTCTCTAACCCACATATTTCATTGTAAATGCTCCGCAGATGTACATGTTGTCCTCGATTTCACGGCATCCTCAATCTCGCACAACACCGGCATGTAGCGGACTCCGTTATAAGAAGGATAACGGCAATACAATCTAGCAGAGGGGGGAATGAGAGACACGATAACAACATGTCAATAATATTTAAGAGGGTTTGGAAATCCTCAAGAGGGATAAATCCCTCTTTTAGAGCACACCAGTACACGAGAGGAAGCAGAGGCAGAGTGAGGGAGTTAAGGTATTTTTTGTTCTCATCCTGATCAGACAACATAATGGCCTTGTTTCCCTTTCATCTGATGTCAGGCTCATCCTTCTACTCGTTTATTCATCAATCTCGCCGTCCCGCTATCCAGTCCCCGATCGCCTATGTGGCTTTTATCCATGTGAAAATCGCTTCTTATCTGCCCATTTGGCCCTCTCTTTTTCCTCACACTAATCTACAAAGCTTCTAGCAGGACTTAAGATGAAAAAGATATAAATATTCATAGCTACAATAACAATAAAGACTATGGCTTTTATATAATTCCCAACCACTGTGGTTCAAGGCAATTTTGCAGATGTTATCCTGTTTTTGTTCAAGGTCGCTCCTCCAAGTTTGAGAATCTAATCTAATATTTACATGATATATTTTAATGTTGTTGTCTGTACAAGTTTCCATATAAATCGGGCCCTTTTATTGTTCATTATTTACCAGGCACATTATTATTTTATCAGTCTACCATCCATCCATTAATGAAAATATATCAAAAGACATTGAATCCGGTTTATTATTAATGTAAAACACGTCTCCATGTGGTTACAAAATAAAAACACAGGTCATCAAATGTGGTTTCAAAATGTAATAATTTTCTATCTGTTATCTCAGATAACGGGAATAATCAACCTCATGTTTTGAGAAATCTCATCTGGTTGTATGTGCGTGTGCGTGCGTGCATGTGTGTACCTCAACGATCTTACGAGCCTCGCGGTAGCGGCCCGTCTGCAGGAACCCGAAGAACAGATCATACAGCATGGTCATCTCTCCTCGCTCCTGACTCACAAAGTCCATGGCTGAACAGAAAGAGGGAAATCGAGCGGAGAAAGGTCAACACCACAATAGCCTGCAAGGTGAGCAAACCCAGCGCACACTTCATCTTTTCCTCCTGATTCCATTATTTGCCACATTGTCCTCAGACCAACACGCAGGTCCCCAATGAAAGCCTAAGCTCTCACGGCAAACTTGCTAAAGCGCTCTGCTCAGCGTTACGTGCTATCTCTGTCCAACAGCTTCAGGACAGGTGCCACACACACACAAAATGCATCCAAGTCATCCAAATGGACCTGCTTATTCAGCTAGGCAGGGGAAGAGAGAAGCATCTCTCTTGCTTTATTCGCTGTCAACTTTGTTCATAATGGTCTGAATCTAATGTAGGGATGTCTGCAGACTAGTTTCAGACCAGCTGGACTGAACTGGAGTTGCCTTTTCTTGCGTGTGAATTCAGATTTGAGGCTTAAAGAGCCTTTAAACATTTGATAGCGCTTTTCCTCCTCCACATCCCAGGTTCCTGTAGACCATGACAGAAACCTCGAGGTTAAAAGCATGTATTGTACAATGACCCTTTCTTGTGTTGCAGAGTAGTTGAGCAGTTGCCATGGTTGCCAGAAAATCCCCCCCCCCCCAAAAAAACCTTCATTTTATTTTTCTGTTGATGCTTGAACTCAGAGCAAGGTCAGACATGACAAGGCATCATGTTTTTAAAGGCCACTCCTCTCCTGTAGGTCTGCACGTTTTGATGGCTTCGGTGCATTTCTGCAATTATTTCTGACGGCCTATTTTAACGGGCACTTAACATGTACTCACAGCGCCGGCAGGTCGAGTGTGCTTTAAGGTTTATGTTAAACGTCTCCCACTTTTTTGTGAAAGTGGGAGACGGAATCATTTGTTATTTCAAGATCCAGTTGTGGAGAGTTGGCCCTGGTTTACTTGCAACTGTCACAAAATCATCTGAAAAGTCATTTTAGAAAAGGGGGTTGCGGGGGGAGGGGGGGGGGGGGTTGTTGAGAGGTGCTCCGCTGCACGGTTTCAACCTTTATGCACTCCAGAGCCTCTTTCGCCCCGCGGCACGTTGAATTCGACCTTTTCACGGCGCCGCATTCCACCCACGGGGCGACCGCTCAGAACGTGTTGCTTGGACGCGCTTCGCCGGTCTGAACCGCTCGCACTCTGCGGCCCTCTTACAACACACTTGGAATTGGTTTGGCGCTTGTTGCGAGCGCGGCGGATGCAAACACAGCATAAGCACTTTTGATCAGGACAAATGTTAAGAGTCGAGAGTAAACGGCAAGGCTTGTGTGGTAAACTACTAAAGTTAATGCGCGTAAAAACATTTTCTTAAGATGTAATAATTCTAATAATCATTTCAGGTCACCTCTCTGCAGCAGCTCGGTGTCCCCTTTCTCCATCAGGGCAACGATGATGTCGTGGATACGAGGCAGGTGGCTGTAGAGCTTCTGACACTCCAGTGCTGCTTCTAGAGCTCCGGACAGGTCCTTACTGCGGACACGTGACCACACACGCACACAAACATACAAAACAAACACACACACAGAGAGACAGACAGCAGAGGGAGCGTTAGGTGCCAGGTCCGTCCAGTCAGTCATGTACGGGATTGTGTCGGTAGAGAACAGGGAGTATCATGGGTAGTTAACCCCGTGACCTTCTATTCAAGCGCCGGGACCCTGGGGAACAATGCAGGCCTTTGAAATCATGACAGCACAACTGTGTGCGATGGAGCCTTTTGGCCTCAATACGTCATTCTCACACAATACAGCGCGCTCTCACACACCTGTCGACCCGCTGCTAATGATAATAATACAACGGACAAAAGGGCTCAAGTGATCTCTGGCCTCTCTGCTCAGCTCCTATATCAAATTTTTCAATTTCTTTCTCGGTTATTTGTCTCCGCGAGACTTCTTGCCCCCCCCCCCCCCCTCATTTCTTCGTCTTAAATCCCATGTTCTCTCCATTCTCCCGTACCCCTCACCGCGTTCCTTTCTGATTTCATCCTGTCAGCTCTCACTCTCCATCGGATGACCTCGGCCTCCCCCCCCCCAGCTGAGCAATTTAGCAGAAATACAGCAACAACATTAGAGCCCGCCCCCCTTCGCTCCCTGCGTCTCATGTCATCCTTATCTTGCTCAATCCGTCCTCCTGAGCGGACGAACAAGCAGAGGAGCGTGTGGAGGGGAGGATGAGCGCGCCTGATGGAGTGATAACAAGAAAAGTAGGGAGACAGAAATAACGAACGGAAGCGAGAGAACGAGAAGCTGAGAGACAGGCGAGGGAGAGAGAGACCACTTCAATCCCCTCTATTGTGACAGCGCTGCCATCAATCTGTTGATTGGGTAATTACCATGTCAATCACACAGAGGTCAAAGCAGATAGGGCACCTGCGGGGGGGAGGAAGGGGGCAGAGCAAGTGAATGAGAAACAGACGGCTGGACAGCGCGGGAGAGAGATTGAGAGTGAACAGGCATAATTTCTGAAGTGTTTTCTCCTCGAATCAATTAGACGAGTGGATGTGGGAAATATGCCCAAAAAAAACCCAACAACCCGGAAAAGACCAAACAGGAAACGGTGCGACCTTGAGTTCGGCTTCTGTGAGTCAGTAACAGAAGAGAGAGGGAGAGATGGAGGGAGGAAGACTTGAGTGATTAGGGTCGGGAAGCAAAGAGGTGCGCTAATTGAAATGAAGAGGGACAACATTATTCAGCAGCGCCGGTCAAGAGGCTGTTCAACCGCACAGCAGCCCGGTTGAACAACACAGGAGAGACCAAGAGAGAACGAGTGCGGACACGCTCACACAGCTACTTATAATCCCTCCATTCTAATGACACATCCTAAAAAAAAAAAAAAGGGAGGAAACCCCCCCCATCCCATCACTCTGCCTGGTGTGGCAATTAAACCCATCTGCCTTCCTCCCCTGTCCCCCTCTAACCGCCCACCAATCCAGCCCAAAAAAGAGCTAAGGATGTCGAAAGACGGATAATTTCCCCTAGGTACAATTTAACTGTCACTTTGCGTTGCCATTTACTGCGGCGCACGTCCCTGTTAATGTCCTCAACTTTGCATGTCAGCCACTTTCCAGCCAATTAAGCCCTGAAAAAAAAAGAAGAAACGGAGCGCTTCGCTCGGTGGAAACCTGAAGGATTAGACAAGGAAGCTAATTTTGCCTTCGTTCTTTTTTTTTTTCTCCCTCCATCTCCGTCCCCATCTTTTGTTCGGAGGAGATCGGCTGTCCCTGCGCGGGGGAGGACGAGGTGTCGGTGTCCTGGAGCACCAATGAGACGGCGATCACAACACCTCTAGCGCCCCCCCCCCCCCACTTGTTTAAGGAAGGCCCGTACCAGCATCTACGTCAGCACGCTTCAATGATGCACTGAAACGCTTCACAATGCCAGCTTTCTATGCTGGTGGGCACGGCAGCATTTCCCGCCGCTAATCACCCGATGAGGAGTTAGCGGGGTGGGCAGGCGCAGTCTCGGGTTTGCCCGTACGCCACGGAGCGGACGGGCTTGAAGGCGGACGGGGCGGCGCGTATGATGGGCTGTCAAGGGCTAATCTGCCAGAGGGGTGTTCATTAAGTCATTAGCACTGACGCAGCAATGAGACGGGTGCAGGCGGGAGTGGCGGCGGCTTTGTCCTCTTTTATCGCTTCCCTCTGTCCCTCCTCCTCCCAACTGTCTGTCTGTCCCCTGACTGACGGAATGAAGAGGTGGGGATGAACAAACGAGGAAAAAATTATTTTTTTTTTAAAGAGAAGAGAGCGAGGAGATTGATTAAACTGGAGCGCCAAAGTCAAGTGTTGTGGTACTCAAATCTGCCCCGAGGCTTGGATGAATCACTGCGGGAAGCACACGTTTAATCCACTTTACATTCCTTTACACGCCACATGTTATAGAGGAGACCCCTTCGTAGAGTGTTTTTATCTTTAAACAAAGTAAACACTACCCTGACAGAAAGCTTCATTTAGGAACTTGTTATCAACCTGACCGCTTTGAGGGCTATTTAGGGCCTGGAACCGATGTTATACCAACAGTCAGCTTGCTCACTTGTGTTCATTAGTGTGTTTGCACCGCGGCATCATTTGGAGGACGCACAACTGGCACTTGATTTGTGAACACGGCTCCGGTAAGCTTTAACGTGTGTGTGTGTGTGTGTGTGTGTTTGTATTTGGTCGGCTGCTGATGACCCAGGAGTAAATTAGCCTGCTAATCTCACAGAGGCAGTGATTGACGAGTGAACCTGGAAACTCTGTTGGTGCCAGAGACCAGACCTACAGCAAAACAAACATCGGCAGGGGAGAACCTGTGTGTGTGCGCGCGCGTGTGTTTGTGTACCCACGAGCTTAGTATGCAAAAGGTCTCTGCCTCTCCCGCAGCGTGCACACTAGAGGTAAACGGTGTGTATGAAAGCACGTGCGTGGCGGAGGGCCCCTAAACGGCGCACTGCGCGACTGTAGTAAATCCAGCAATTAGCGCGCTGTACATAATTAACATGCTAATGAGTTGATCTACTTAAAAGCTGCTCCGACAAATAGAACACACACATGCTGAATGGAGTTGAGGGGTGGGGCAATACCAGTGACCCCGCAGCCAGTGTTTGGTAACGCACATTTGCATTATGGGAGGGAGCATTGATGGCCATCGCTCAACACACACACACACACACACACACACACGCACACACGCACACACCTTGGAGTAGCGCAGTGGGTGTTGCAGGAGATCAGGGGTGGGGGCTCATGAGAGAGGTTGCAGCTGGCGAATCCTCTAACAAACAAAATCTGTCTCCAACACCGCTCAGATAGGCACGCACACACACACACACACACACACACAGACGCACATAAATGAGCAATTTCCACATCCTCTCTCTGTCTGATTCGCTGACCCAGAATGTAGCCTCAGCTATGATCACAGGGAGGGATGAGTGACTCATTGAGACACACACACACACACACACACACACACACACACACACACACACACACCTGGCAACTGGATTTGGCAGACACAAATCAAACAGTGTGAGCTGGTTGTCTGGTTAGTAGAGAACTTTCTTTTGTATCTGTGTCTCTTTGTTTTACCTCTCCAGGTAGGCAGTAATCAGGGGCGAGCAGAGATTGGAGGTGGGCTTGGCCAGTCCCAGGGTGAAGATGGTGTCCTGCAGGAGTCGGACGGAGGGGATGTCGCCTTTGGGACGCCACGGCGCTGAGCGTGAAAAACAGCATGGTGAGGTGAGAGTCATTCAACGCCACCTCCTTCTCTTTCATCTCCTTCAGGATGTCCACGGCCTCTGTGACGGACAGGAGGAGACAGAGTGTGTTTCACATCAGTCACAACTCAAAGGACAGATGTGGTTGAGGTGAGGGGGATTGAGAGGTGAAGACGAGGGGAGGAACGAAAAGGCGAGGACAATGGGGGCGGGGACGCGTAGCAAGATGGCGGGCTATGGGCCGCGCTCTGCTGAGGGAATAGTAGGGTGTGTGAGCACGATAAAAGGCCACTTTAGCTAATTCCATGTGGGGAAAACAAACCCATATTAAAACAGCATTTTGCGCCCAGCGGGGATGCAAATCCAACCCCGTATAATGCCAACTCTGCGCTAATTGCTGCTTGCGGTTTTCTAAACGAGACTACAATTACCGGACCCCTACAATGGAGGCCGGCTTTTTGCCGCTGGCGTGTGCAAAGCACTTGGGGGGCTAAATTATAGGTGTGCGCCGACAAGGGTCCGCTGTGGCCCCAGGGAGACCTCGGTATGCGGGCTGAGGGGGTGGAGCGGTTTGGTCAAGTCCAGCCGGTAATGGAGGGCTTTTTACCGGGCCACGCGCCCAGCTGGCCAACACTGGGGGCTAAGCGGGGAACGGGCAGAGTGCTCGTGTGTTTGTGTGGCGTATCAGCATAAGGTGATTATGGCGCGTTTACCATCTATTTAGACAGCTGCTAATGGGCTGACAGCGATACAGCCGCTCTCCACCACGGATACTAATCTGTACGCCACGACCAAGGTGGAGATGTGCAGAGACGCAGAGAAGATTTGGGGGGGAAAAAACGTTTATTGAGCCGGCCCTCCGTCTGCGATGTTGCACGTTGCTTAAAATTCACTCCACCAAAATATGGAAAAGAAAACTTGAACACGTGTGGGTCTAATAATGTAACAAAACCCCGCAGTAACAGGATTGTTACTCACACGCACACACGTGTGGGCTGAGGGACGGGGCCACTGGTGAGTGCTTTGGCATCCTACATTCAGTCCGTCTCTCTCCATCTCTCTGCGCCAGTTTTTTTGGCGGTGGCAACGAAAAGCCGTCACATATTTAATGGCACGGGGGAAAATGGAGAGAGCACACAGGTGGAGAGGGGGGAGGGGGTTAAAGTGAGGACAAAAGGGCCCCGTTCCCGGATATGAGCGTGGTGATTCCCATTGGATTCACCGGCACGTTCATTTCTGCTCTGACCGTCTCGAGTCCACGATGGGCAACAAAGCTTTCCGATGAAAAACTTTTATCGTGGAGAAAAGGGTGAAGCTGCTGTGAGAAGCAAAAAACCTCAACTGGTGGGAGTGATGACGTACGTGCCTTTCACCCAGAAGCCTCCCAGTACTCATGAACCCCATCACCATCTGCACTGCTGTGACCAGAGACTGATTAGGAGACAACAGGGGATTCTGGGCACAGACACGCAAAAGAGTCTAGCACTCATAGACTTTGTGCTCTTTATAATTAAATAGAATTGATTGGCTTCTTTTTGTTGGTTTTGGGTCTATTCGTAGTTGTTTTGCGTCACTTGGAGAAGTTCCTTTGGCCTTAGTTCAAACATCGTCAGAAGAGTGTGCGAGTATGTGACTAGAAAACAGATTCAGGTGCCATTACACAATGCTCGTCATTTAATTGAGGTCCACTTATCTTTCGGCCAATGGTGTAAACAGAGACGAGAGCCTGACAAACTAAAGTATGTCTAGGAACTCAAACTAAAGCATGGCCAACTTTTAAAAATACTCAAATGCATGGGGGAAAAAAATCAATGGGATCAGGAGCTGGCATCAAGAATAAACAATGGCCCTATAATTAACTGACCTGAACCCTCTAATGTCTACCGCTTCATATGAAACTCATTTTCACTCGGCACGTCTCCCTCCCTTCCTCCACCAACACCTCTCTCCATCACTCTGTGGCAGACGGCTAATCACTGAGACCAATGGCTCGGAGATGATCCGCCCAAATGGAGCTACGCTAGCTAACATCCCTGCGTCCTGCATCCAAACCCCCATCGCTCCGGTTATCCGTCCGTTTAGCCAGTATGCATATCCATCAGCTCAGCCGAGCATCCCGGCCAGAACAGCGAGCCAGAACAGACGCACACACAGACACATCAAGCGATGGGGAGGCAGACAGGCCAGGTAAACAAACATCACACAGCCCAATGGTTCATCTAATGCTGCATGGCTTGACGGCTGGAGACACACACCAACAACAAGTCACGTTGCAGGTCCATGTCTGTTCAAAATGTTCCTCCATCGTTTGATCCCATAAAGCTTTTCCTGAGATCACGTTCACGAGAACCGACGTACGTACCAGATGTGCGTATCAGCTCACAGTAAAACGGAAACAAGCTTTTAAGTGTCTTGATTATCTTTGTAATCGATGGCAGCGATGCCTCAGAGAGGTCGTCTTCATCTAAAACAGGATTGAAGAGTTTAAGTGGGCAAAATGTGATATGTTGATGGCAACAATTAATAAAATGCGATCATTTTTAGAGGAATCTTTTACTGTGCCCTGTTTTGTGTCGCGTTTTCTTTTGTTTTGAGATAACGGTAAGCTTAACAGAAATGTCAAAACATGCATGCTTGCAAGCAGAAAGTTCAATATATCTTTGGTAAATTAATGGATAACCGTGTTGTTATGGCGCAGAAATAAGCTGCAAAGAGGAAGGACGGACCAAGGTGAAGATTAAAAAAAAGACCACGATGGAGATGAGGAGACGAAGGCGGCATAAGGATGAAGTGAGTTCCAAACAAAAGTTGCCTGGCGAGCCGGGACGGGAGGCCTTGCACCAAGGGCAAAAAACAACAAAGCCATTAGAGCTCAGAGGGGTGAGAAATACAGCAAGATGCCAGGAGACATGATCTTCAGCCGGGCCTGCTGTGCGCTAGGAGCCAGGGGGACCGGCGTCTGGGCGGGGACGGGCTAACGTCAAGGTTAGCCATGTGTGCTAATGTGCCTGACAAGCGTCCTCTCCATATGCACACTCTGGCTAATGGCAAATGCGTTAGCGCTGCCTTTACACACACCGACACACACACACACACACACACACACACACACACTCGGGCCCACCAAATCCCTTTTGCTTGAATTCACATGCAAATTTGCATGTCCCTGTGTGTGTGTCTGAAATGCTCAAGCACTTCGACGGACATGATCTGCCATTAGCATCAAGGCGGATTTCAATAATTTTGGAAAAATACACAGTCCTGTAATTTCCCCCCAGTTTCATTTCTCACTGATGCAAATGTGTGTGTGTGTGAGGGGGGGGGGTGAGAGAATGACACGCTTCGAGAAAGAGCGGGGGAGAGAGGGTCAGATAGAGAGACAGAGGAGGAGGAGGGGGAGGAGAGGGGCGGGGAGGAGAGACGGCGACAGACAAGGGAAACATTTCGCCTGTCAGTGTGTGCAAAAAGCAAAGCGGTAAAACTGATGGTAATTGGGTCTTCCATGGGCTGAAGGAAACCCACCGTAGCATTCTGAAAATGGCCGGCTAATGTTGTATGAGGGAGCGGGGGGGGGGGCAGATGGACTGTGACAAGCCGGTGGCACACACACAGCTTAACAACACATTCACATCGGTGAGCCTTTTTGGAGTTCAAGCGTGATCTACTTCGAGAAGTAGCGCGGAAAACGCTGGTGGAATTTGCAAACTAGCCGAGGAGTCAACCGACGCAAAGTTAAGAACTTATTTGGTAATCAGAACGCTTTGAAGAAGTTCCTTTTGGCCCGGAGAGGTTTTGGTGTGCATTGACTGACACCTTATGGGATCAACTTACCGTCCACTCTGCCGTTCTTCGAGAGGGTCTTGACCAGTACGATGTATTTGCTGGCATCCAGCGTAACGGACGAGTCCTTGCGGCTCCTAGAGAAAGAAACAGAGGTGGAGGGACGAGATTAATGTAGGGCCGGAAGAGAAGAGCTTCCTCGGTTTTTAGCAAGTCAACAGAGTTGAACTTGAATGGCCCCGATGCCGGTCACGGCCTTTGTGCTTCACTCACATTTCCCTCTTCAGGTTGAGCGCCTCCTCCACGTTGTCGTGGCGGCAGCACAGGTTGATGAGGTTGGCGTAGCCGCCGGCCGTCATCTCCTCCTCGTGCTCCTGCTTCAGTTCAAGGGCGCGCTGCAGGTTCTGACGATCACGCAACAAAACTCTCAGAAAACTAAGCAAAAAACAGACAAAGCTCACGGCCGGAGCGAGTCGTTTCAAGAAAAAGACGAGGTTTCGTGAGAGCGAGGCGTCCGAGCACATCGTACCTCTTCAGCACAAAGAGCGTGGATGGCTTGTTTGAGGGTCGCGCCTAAAGGTTTGTTCTCTGCTTTCAGTTCGGCCAGTCTCTTTTGTACAAACGCCGAATTCTCAGTTCCCTGATGGAGAAAGAGAGGTTTAAAACACAGAATATACATACGTACATTCATACATACAGGACCTCATGTGCACATGGGGCTTGTCATAATAAACACAACAGAAATCAGTTGATTGCTCGGTCTGAAATTCAAATGTGTACACACATTTTCCTAAAGGGGAAAAGATTAAAAATGAATTATGCTGCATTTCACAGCAGTTTTCACGCTACTTTCCTCGCTGTCCTACTTACAGTGACACGGGGAGAAGCTGAAGGAAAGCCGTTGGACACTCTGTCTTGGGGGTCCACCAGAGCAACCACATCCTGGAACAGATTTTAATACAGAATAACTATGACAACTAGATAAAATTGGTTCTTTAATGATACGTTTTTTTTAAGTGACTCAATGGTAAGAGTCATCCTTCTTTTGGACTTTGGGATTGACTTTGGGATCTATGTCTCAGTACCTTGATGAGCTCTGGGACGTTGTAGGTGTCCAGAAGGTTCTTGATGCCCCTGTAGATGTTTCGTGAAATGATGATGTTCTGAAAGAGATTCAACATCATCAAACCATTGATCAGCTCACAAAAAGACTCAATAGGACCGTTTTTCTTTGCAGTTAGATAGATATTAGACACAATTTAGCCTACATGCATTTCTTTTGTTTAAAGTCTGTCTGACTTTCCAGCTGCAGGTATAACATATAGCCAAAGTTGTGACTCCAGGTTTTACAATGATAAATTACTATGGTGTAATTCTACTTCCTGGTAAATACACTGTACTTTAATAACTGATAACTTAAATGAAAAGGATTGCTGATGAAAGACTCCCTACAAAAATAAAACAGGTGTGCTTCTTGATAACAGAGTTATCTGTTTTCCACAGATGCGTATCTGTGTGTGTTTACCTGAGCTTGTAGTTGATTGAAGTATTTCCGCAGTTTGTCTTCCTGTGCTTGCACTTCTCCCTCTGACATGCTGTTGATCAAATTGTACAGGAAGAAATCTGCTGCTTCTGCAGGGGACAGAAACACGCGCACAGTGAGCAGCTGTCTTGGGAATAAATCTCACTGCATCCATTTGTGCATTTATACTATTTTCTGTAACCTCTGCAGACTGCAGTGTGTTTGTGTTTCTTTTCTGCTGACTGAGGCTGCGTTTGGGCCAGAGTGTGAGTGAATGTGCGATGGCTGGCAGTGACAGCTTCTCGCACACACACACACGTAGATGTCGTCTAATGGGATGTGACATGGATAACAGTCTCCATCGCTCCCACCAGCACAAACACCAGTTCCAGTGCGGGGAACTCTCTGTGACACACACGCTGACACGGAGCGACATTAACGCTACACACACACACAAAAACAAACACTTTTAACCACTCAGCGCCCTGTCAGCAGGCTCTATTTCCTCAGATGGAGAGAGAAGGTTTTTTTCTACACACAAACGCAAACCTGGACATCGACTCACGAGGCTTCATGACGGGAAGAGAGTCGGTCAGCAGTACTTTGTGACTGAGACTGAACATGCACACTCAACATCGATACACACACACACACACAGGACATCTTTCTGTCTTTTGAAATGTAGTTAGAAGCTGACTTGGACAGAGACTGCAAGTTTGAATTCTGATAACTGACACACACACACACACACACACACACACACACACAGTGTGTTTTCTTACCAGAAGCCGTGGAGTTTCCTGCGGAGAAGCGCTCATCTTTGTATAAGAGCTCAGTAATCTGAGACAATAGAAAAATAAAAACATGAATAAATACAAACATACAGCGGTTATTTACTAATAATTTTACCTTAAAACACACACAAGAGGAAAAAGTAAAAATGGTGCAAATACCACCACAGAAAGGGTTGGGGTAAATTGGGTGACATAACATAACCGCATATGGTTGACCTAGTATAACCGAATATAAAAAATAACCCATATATTACTAAATTATTTTTAAATATTATCAAGCATTAAAACACTACATTTTGTACCCTTTGACCCTTGAGGGTGAATAAAGTGTAAATCAACTAAACACTATTTTTATGTTCAGTGTACAACAGGGATATTTGGATTACAGGAATCGTATAGTATTTTAATATTTTATATATCGATCCTAAATTTAGCACTTTTGTTGTGCGGATAAGCCATTATACTGTTTACAGGTCAAGTAATAGTTTATTGTACACTTTAAATTATTACTTTCATTAAGGCTTCCCTCCCACGTAGACTCTTTTTATGGATAATTTTAAGCTACTGTTATTTTTTGTCGGTTGCTCCAGACGTTCAAACAATGTGAACCAATCGACTCTTACCTTCACCATGCTTTCCACATCAGCCGACCTGCAGGGGGCAGTAGAGGGCAAGACATGAGAAGCCGCTCCACGGCCTTCAACGGGTAAATGTGCAACTTGTCTATAAGTGAGCTTACGTCTTGCTTTAAGGTCACAAAACATCGAGAACATCCACTTTTCTCTTTTCGAGGAACCACCACAGAAACTTCCAAATCTTTCTCCACATCTCTTTCAAGCCATGCAAACGCTGTTCCTGCCATATTTACCCAATAAACCATCACACTCAAGTCATTACATGTTGGTTGCTTGTAGGGTGAGTGAAGTTTGTACTGTTGGTGAACTATGGATTTAAATGTCATGGGAGGTTGTAGAGAATATAGAATAATCATTCTAATCAGTGAGAATGTAATGGATGGATGTTTTTTTAAAACATATATTTATTTCTCTATATATGCAAGTTAATAAATATTTAAAATACATAATTTTACTTTGACAGTTAATGGGTTTTGATTCCGGGACCCTTAATGCTGACTCTCATGCTGCCATAGCTACTGAATTGACAGTGTAGCACAATACAGCCAGAAGGAGCGACAGATTTTTCACCTTGACAATCACAAGCAAACAGAACAAGAGAAGAGCGACGACATTACAAGAGCCTGGGAAGCCACAAAAGACAGACTCACACTTTCTCTCTCTTACCCCCCCCCCCACACACACACACCCAGCAGCTAAATGATGACAAAGTGTGACATTTTTGGCGTTGTCAGCTAGTTAGTGGAGAGACGAGGTGAGGAGGAGAGCGAAGAGGTCTTTAATGATTAAATTATCTCCTGACCTTGTCTTTGACAGGGCCAGGCCCTGCATTGCAATGACACGGCGCTCAAACGAAAGCATCCCCCCCTCCCCAAATGACAAGCCCAATTATGCCGCTGTCAGGCAACCCAACAGTCTGCGGTGTATGTGTGTGTAAATGCAAAGAGAGTGGATCGAATTGAAGAGAAGGAGCCGATTCAGACGCAAGTGAGCACACGCAGAAGAAATGCCAATTTTAGCACAAAAAAATGGTAATCTACATTTATTCTGTGTTCGTAATTAAGCTAAAAACTGTCTTTAATGATGGGTTTTCCTTCAAAAAAAATTAGGATTTATCCAACATAATGGATAAATCCTCAACAGCCACAGAGTTCGTTAGCAGATCAGTTACAACGAGGGATGTATTGGCTGAGTGAAAAGTTTTTGGAGCATTTGGACTTTTTAGAGGAACAAATAACTTGGTCCCTGCAGAGAACTCAAATGTTTTTCTCTTCGACTCACCTCCGGCCTCGCTCAGTGGCCGCAGGGTTTTCCTCTTGGTGTGTGGTGCTAAACTGTAAATATTCATAAACACCCCTTCACTAAAAGCCCACGGGTCAGGCACTGGTCCTAAGGCCGACTGTGTGCGTGTGCGTGTGTGTGTGTATGTGTTCTGTACGAGGTCCGTGTATCGGGGCCAGTGTTGGGCATCTGCTCATTTACATATCTCCCACGGTGCTTTGGGGGCGAGAGCTGAGCGACGACTGCCTCCATATGTATGAGGCAGCCGTGTAAACGCGTCAGTGTGTGTGCGCGATGGAGTGTTTTTCCCTGCAGCTGCCGACACACAAACACACACACACACACGCACACACGCACACACGCACGCACGCACGCGGTCAGGCGCTGGTAGATGGTGTGATAGGCTGCACATGTCATCGTCACAGCGTATGCTGCAGTGACCGTAACAGTGCTACAGGCCTCCCCGAAACACCAGTCAAGAGTTATTGGGTAAAATATGGAGAACTATGGAATATCAAATGATGGGGAACACATTAAGACGTAAATAGACGACGGGCTGATTGACTCACTTTCTGAAGCCCTGGATGAGGCTGCCGCGGAAAGTACTGAGGTCCATGGAGGGGCAGGAGGGGTCGGACACTGGAAAACAGGAGGGATTAGCGAACGGGAACGAAAGAGTCTTTAATATTGATGATTCTGCTGATAATCTTTTGGAAGGGAAGATGTAGAAAACAATCTGGAAATGTAACTTTTAATCCATAAAATGTCAAAATATTGTGGAAGGGAAAAAGGAAATAAATTAGAAAAATGACAGGAATTTGAGATGCCACAGAATTCTTTAGCTTCATAAAGTTGCAGGAGTTAACTCAGCGAACCCTGAACAAGCTACCAGCAATATCGCAGAGCGGGAAGAAATGTACGAAAACTAATACGTGGAAGGGAAAATCCATAGGGGACTGAAACAGAGCGATTAATGCGAAAACGACGCAAGGGTTTGAGACTAAAACAAGATGAAAGACACGTACGAGTCCTCCATTATTAAACAGCCTTCTCTACGCCGTCCCTCGGCCAGTCGCTCTTTACATATTCACACAGACTAATCTCTTAAAAGGCCTGATGAGCACACAGGAGTAAGTGGGCAAAACGTGAGGGGCAGAGAGGGAGCAGGTGTCTGTGTGTCTGTAACGCCGGCGCAATTAGCCGCAGGCAGAGCAGCGATTCTTAGGATGACGAGTGCTCAAGATGCAGTCAAACTTCTGTGTGTGTTTGTGTGTGTGAGCTTACATATGGTGTAGAGTTCGGCCAGGTTGGAAACAGCCACCGAGCGAACCTCTGAAGACAAGAAGCCCTCTGACTTCAGGGAAATTCCTGCATCCTAAAAAGAGAGAAAAAAAAAATTGTCACATTCCTGTCAGAAAATAACTTTTGAAATCTTATGAGCACACACAAACGGACTTGTGTTGTGTATCATGCGTCACCTGGAGGGTCTGTCGAGCTGCTTCCATGCTGGGGAAGACGGGGAGGACGTAGGTGGTTAAAGTCTCCACATCGGGAGACACCTCGAGCTCCTGCATGCCCTTCAACACCTCAACTACACCTACGACACACACAAATATCCAATGATGTCCTTGAAGACATGCGATTGATTGCATAGTGAAAAATGTACTGTGACGAAACAATAAAAGTATGACAATATGAGCTTGGATTGCAATTGACGGATTCCTTCCGTTGAGAAAATACCATAAAACCACAATGTCGAGTTGGTGTCTTCAAACTGGTACCACCAAACCAAAGAATACTCATTTTAATTTAACACAGCCGAGAGAAAACAGCCAATGCTCAAAACATGTTCTGGCATCAGTACTAAATTATTTTGATAATTACCTTTTTTTTTTTACTTTTTCATCCACATCATCTCCACGTCCATGATGATGCAAGTTAAATACATTTGTGATCAATTCTTGGCCAATAGTCAAAATATAACATTCACTCATTTCCTCACATGTCGTCCGGCAAACGACTATTCGGGCCGAGGAAACATTTTTGTTTGAAGGTTTTAATTCAATCACATGCTGCACTGCAACAGACACACAAATGCTTGCCTCCACTCGCTCATACGCACGGCCCGGAGTCATAGAAATGACCCCTTCAGTTGAATGGCCAGGCATTAAACACACACACACACACACACACAGCTAATGGCTGCTCCCCTCTCCTGCTTGGACTGGAGGATCAGTGTACATAAACACGCACTGGGCCTGAAGTGGACTCCTGCACCGTCACCCTGCTCTCCGGCGGAGCCCCGGGGTCCCGCCCGAGAACAGCCGCATGCATATGGAACAGCACGCAGACACGTGCGCGCTCAAAAAACACCCGCAAGTGTCTGTGTGTTGGCGAGCGTGCGCAGCACAGCAGCACTTTGCATATGTCTGTGAGCGTGCCCATGGAGGCGGCGCGGCTCAACGAGGACATAGGCGCGCCCCCCCACCATGTGTGTGTCCGTGTGCTTTGAGCTGCATCTACATGCTACACGGTGTTCTAATACACCCTGTTCAAAAGCCCCTGAAGTGCTTCCTTGAGTTGACGCAGCTCAAGATCCTGCGTGCATTCAACTCAGGTTTCAAAAAACGAACACACACGGAAACATATTTACAGCATATATGAATATATATAGGGCTGTTTTTCTGTGTTCACCTGGCAGTCTTTCTCTTTAGCTAAATAAAAGATGAGGCCGAGGCTTTTATATGCCATTAAAACCTGGCTCGAGCTGCATTATCCCAGGTAGGGGTACCTGAAGCACTCCATCCGTCCATTCATCCTTGCCCTCCATCCAGATCGCTCATTCATCCTCTCACTATCCATCTTCCATGCTTTCAAGACACCGATTTTCCTCTCTTCTCAATGGAGGATCCGTCCGTTCGGCGCTCCACCCGTCCATTCTTACCCCCTAATCGCTTTCATCCGAGCTTTATTTTTGTGAAAGAAGAGCAGGAGCTCCTGCTCTCCTGAATAATCCATAATCAATTTCACGGTGAGCCAGACAGACCGAAAAACAAGTGCATGGAGAACCGGAGGTATATGTGTGTGAGCCGGCCTTTTCTCCCCTTTTTCTGGCTTCTGAACTTTGCGCTTTTTACAAACATCAGCACTTTTCTGTTGTCTAAGCCTAACGAGCATGTTTGTGTGGGGCTTTTTTCCCCTATCAAGTCAAGTCTGTGACAAAGAGCTTTTAATTCTCAGAACAGCAAGCTCAGTTTTCACAGTCGCATGGCACCGTCTCGCAGCTCAGCAGTAATTTGAGCTACTAAGAGGAACCATCAGATTGGTATTATTCCCAATTCCAGGACAGCATTTAGGACAAATGACATACTACTCGTTATCTTACCACAAAGCCTGTGCAGAGCTGTCCGAAAGGAAGCAAAATTCATCTAAAGCTGAAAAATGAAGCGTAAGATCGCTGTGGTTTGACTGGAGTTATTTGTTGGACACTTGGACGCTGTGAAGACAAGATACGTCGAGAAAGAGCTAAGGAGGTTGCATTGAATTGCTTTGATCTGCTTCCTCTAAACCACCTCAGCTTCTTTTTTTTGACGCCGCCTGATTTCAGAATAAATGAGAAATACAGTGAAGACTCGCATGATGTAGTGAAGTGTCATTTATACCGTTCTTCCTTTAAGTCTGTTACCTTTCACTCCATATTCCTCACATTTGGGTCATACTTTTTGCCTTCTACCCCGTCCGCACAATTTGAATAAAGACTTTGCACGGAGCAGAAGCCATCCAGGCCGGTCAGCATAAAGCCTGACACACCATCCGGGCCCAGAAGTATCAGAGTAGTGAGTTAAGCATGGCAGCGGTCACAAGATATCATCATCAGATTCATGTCTCCAGGTTAACTGTCACAGACGAGGAGTGAGGACGGAGAAGAGGAGTGAACCGGTCGCTGTCGTCGTCTCCTCCCGTCCTCGGACATGAGCACCTGTCACTTCTCCTTTCCTCTCCAACACCATCTGTCTCGCCATCTACGACTCGCTGAAGGTAGACGTTGTTGGCTGCGAGGCACGACTGGGTTGTTGTTAGAAAACAAGAGTGCAGAGACCATTTCCGTTTTGCAGGAAAAAAAACAACAACCCTGTTTTGTTCTGAATCGTATTGGCTTTTTTTTCTTCTTTTAAAATCGAGCTTGGCTCTCATCCCACCAATTACCTCAGCTGAGGCTAAAACACATTTCGGGGGGGGCTGCAATGCAGATGGCAGTGGCGGCGCTGCTTCAACACTGCCAACTCTACATTCCTCCGCAAAGCTGCATTTAAGAAAGAGGGAAAGGACTGAAAACGAGGCGGCAGATATAAGGGTCAGGTGTGAGAGGAAGGAGAGCAGCCTCAACAAGGCACCCTTTACACCAGAAGAAACACACAAGACGACCAACACTGTGCGCCCCCGCTCCCCCTCCCTCCCTGTCAAAAGTGATAAGAGCGCGCTGCGTCGCCAGGACTGACAAGCGGTGGCTCGCTGGCGGCAGGTGGGAAGCATGGCCCAGCATATGCTTCCGCTAAACCCGCCAAATCCACACCTCATCAAAATGCAAAAGGGAATTCTCCCCCCCATCCACCCACCCCTCCCCCGCTGCTCTCCACCGATTCTACGGATCCGGCCCCTCTGCCCGCTAGTGACACCTGTGGACAAAAAGTGACACGGCGCTTAATATTTCATGGGCCGTGCACAGCGGGGCGCGTAATCCAAAGTGAATTCCCTCAGAGCGCTCACATTTACATGAAATCAAGTCACTCCTCATCAGTCACATCACCTGCACTGCACCCCGAAAGCCCCCCACCCCCCAACACACACACACACACACACACACACCTCCTGGAGCCAATGAGTGAGGGAGAGAGCAGGGAGGAAAGAGAGGAAGGAGGCAGGGGGGGGAGAAGCTGCATCTTTCATGAGGGTTAAGGCTAACACCATTGGAAACAAGCCGCTGTGTTAGAAAAAGAGAACTTTCCCCACTTCCCTCACTTCCCTCCCTCCCTCCCTCCCTCCCTCCTTCCGTCTCGTCTCTGATAACTAAATGGATGCAGTCTGATGTGTTTGTGGCTTTGACACTGTGCGGTTGGGGTTGTGCATGTGTCTAGTCCTCTTCTTCACGCTGCCGAGCGAGTCGCTGAAGCATCTCACCATTCAAACGGAGAATGTGTCCGGACCGCACACAGATGTCAATCTGCACCGACGCCACACTGGTCTAACCAGCGTCTCCTCCCTGCCAGCTCAAATGCCGTCAATTAGCTGACAGCGGAAAAGGACATCATTTATTAATGGTTTTAAAAAAAAAAAACCAAAGAGAGAGCCACAGCTCAGCATAAATAAAGCACTTAAAACCCAAGGCGCTGTTGAACACGTTTGACAAGGTACATTTATAATGAGCTGTGAATTCGGACAAGTCTGCTAATGCCGGCTATCTGTCACTGAGACCATTTCTTCCACAAAAGCTGGGAGAAAGAAAAAAACAAGACGTTCCTTTCAGCCGGAGAAATTCCACTAAACTGTACTTGCTGGAGAAGACACATTTTAAGACATCAAATCATCAGACATCAGTTTTACACCAGGATTTGTGTAAAAAGGCGGTATACCAGTGTACACTCACTGTGATGCTCTGAACACTGTCACAAGAGTGGAAAACTAAATCGTCCCTCCATCATTTTCAGAACATAATTTGCTCTTTCAAAATGAAAAACACACTCCATTATTTCCACTTGTAACAGGGGCCATTTTTATAGAAACTAAACAAATTGTCTTGTTACGTCCCTTCAGCTCGAGTGATATTTTGCCCATGCCACTGATGCTTCCTTTTAAAAAAAACGAGACTTTTTTACTACCTAATTTTTTCGTAGAGAAAAAGGAAACCAAGGCCAAAGATTTGGATGAAGAATTGTGCTGAGAGACAAGTTTGGTTTGATAAAAGGTTTTGAGGACGGCCACTTGAGCAGAATGACCTCCGACCTCTCAGCCCTGCATGTGCATCCATGCATGTGTGCGTTTGCCTGTGCTTTGGGCTACTCAGCCCCTCGGTGTCCCCAACAAGGAACCCTAGGGGCCCCCCCGGCTCGGGGCAAAGGTTGACAGATCAACCGCTAATTTATTCTCTCAGCAGCTTCTGAAGGGTTGATACGGCGTCTACTTTAACTGAAGAATCGGGAAGTGGAATTAAAAACTACGACTTTGATGTGCGAGCGCACTGTGAAGGTCAGGGTGTGTTTTGGGCTGGTCCGTCCAAAGTGTCTGGCATGGGGAGCTCTAAACTTTGTCTATTTCTAGAGCCCTCCGGTGAGATCTGAATGTGTGTGTGTGTGTGTGTGTGTGTGTCTGTCAGTGTGCATGTGTTGTTCCATCCCTTCCTGCTCCAACTCTCTCACGCAGGGATCAGACCTCTTTGCCCTTGACTGCCCCAGCACAGTGAAATCTGTCCCAGTTGGACCACTCCGTAGGGCATGAATATTTGAGGGGCAGCGCTCTTTTAAAAGCCCTTTCTGGCACGGAGGACGTTATAATCCCCTGTACACCACAAAAATAACACACATGCTCACCTAAACTGCAAATATCACCAAAACAAAAGTGAGATTTCAGCACAAACAGCTGATGGGTTGATTTCTGCTTCCCTACTTTGGAGTTCAATGGCGCCCGTTACGTTCTCACATACACAAGAGTTTTGGGGTCAAACTATGAGCTTCTCACAACAACTATGACCCTTCAAAGTTTACTGGTCTCTCTAAAGAGAGGCTGAGGCGGTTTTCCTTTCAATCGACGGCTTAATTCATCACAAAAATAATTTAAAACCTCAATGGTAAAGAGAGTTTTACAGTTTTGTTTCTCTTAAATGCTACACTGTATATAGACAGAGGACAGAGGGACATTTTACACAAAACAGGCAAAGTGGTGTGCATGTGTGCGTGTACCTGCTGTGTTGCCGTCTTTCACGTGTTGAGTGAGAAGGGGCCAAAAGTAGTGCGGCCTTATGGGTAAGTCCTGCTCCTTTATCAGCTTCATCAGCTTTAAAGACAAAGCTGCAAAAAATAAAACATACCATTACTGCAGTTACTAACATGAATACATATTCATAACACGCCCATTGCACATAGCTAGTTGTGTGTATAGAAGTAGTGAATGAAGGCCCAAAAGCAGGCAACTGGATATAAAGGGTTCTCTAGATGCAACTTAATGAAAGTATGTGTCACACCGGTCTTTTTGGCCTCCAGAGCGCAGGAAAGAGTGAAAGTGAGTGCCGAAGTGTGCAGGTTTGACTCCTGCAGCTCCTTGCAAAATTCGCCGATCTTCTCCAGCGACTGTAATGCCCACACACACACACACAATCAGTAATGACATTTAAAACATCAAAATGAACATTCAGGATACTGAAAAATGCTGTAATAAGTCTGTTTTACCGTGTCCATGTCGACACAGTGTCTGAGGAAGAAGTTGCCCAGGTTAGCAGCGTCTGTGTTGAAGCTTTCTGACTGCAGTGTGGGGAAAGTCTTGAGGATGTTAAAAGCCGTGTCCTCCAGGCCCTGAGTGATGAGGCTCAGGCACAAGTTCATGGCATCTACAGGGGAAAAAGAAACGCATACCAATACTTTTCAGCTTCCCATAACGGTTGAGATTATCGCAGGAGAGTTAAGGTTAACCGCTGGAGACAACAGAGTGCGTGTGTGTGTGTGTGTGTGCGTGCGCTCGCCCACCTGGAACGTAGCCCCTCTCGTGTCTCAGGCGCTCCACCATATCTGGGATGTGCTGCTGGTGTCCGGCTTTGGCCAGCGTGAAGATGACCTGCATGACGTCTCTGTCCATCAGACTGGCGTCTGCACTCTCTGCTGCCTCCATGGTCTGACACACAGAGAGACGGTAGGGGAGTGGAGGGCAGAAAGGAGGGAGAGAACAAGGAAAGAGTGAGTTTGGGAAGCAGGGTGGGGTATGGAGGGGAATAGAGACGGAAAAGCGCACACACACACACACACACACCTTTTTCAGACTGTCCAGGTCTCCCTTCTCAGCGTGGGCGTTAAGCAGTGAGATGTAGGTGTCAGGGCCCGGTTCAATTCCTGCTCCCCGCATCACAGGCAGGATGTTCTCAGCACTCTTGATGTCCCTGCAAAGTGACGGCGGACAGCTGGTTTAGAACCAAATTATTCCAACACCAACACTGTTGTGGGCCATTAAGCACAGAATGCTGGGAGCGAAAGCCGGGAGGCTTACCCTGCACGGGCGTGGCCGGTCACCAGGGAGTTGAAAACCGCCTCGGTGATGGGTAAATCTTTGCTCTTCATGAAACCCAATATGGTGCTGAGGAAGACCACAAACAACAATGATACATTTCACTTTAATAATGGATATTGTAGCATTAATCATCATGTAGGAAGAAAAAATGATTTAGCTGTATGTCTCATAAAATGTCAGTTTGATTGGAGGTCAGCTTTTGAGAAGGCAGCGGTTTAGCAACCTTCTGTCTAGTTGCAGATAAAAGAGCATGAACTCTGAACGATGGTGGGTTCATGAGCAGAACAAAGTTTCCTCACCTGGCTCCCTCGATATCTCCGTTTTGGCAGTACGCCGCTATGAGTCTCTGGTAGGTCACCTGAGCACAATTATAAAAAAAATCAAACAGGGAAAAGAATCACTTGCCGTATAGGAGCAGGTTAACAGGACAGTGAAGAAATCTGCATAATCAACTAAAACTCCACTGTAGTGCAAACAAAAGTCTTTGTAGGGATGTGCGTTTCTCTTCTGCGTTGCTGCGCTTGATGGGTTTAATCAGACAGAAGTTGGGTGTTTTCTGTCAGTATTGTACTTTGCAATGCAGTGCTTACTCTGTTGGGCTGGACGTTGGCTGCTTCCATCTTGGCCAGGAAGTCGTTGGGGGAGAACTTGAACTCATTCTGCAGGTAAACCTTCAGCAATGCGTTGTAGTGACTAACATCATACTGTGCACCTGTGGGAGGGGGGGGAAATGTGCAAATACTTAGTCTCAGCACATCTGTGACCAATTTGTGACCAAAAGCAAAAAAAATAATTCATAATTAATAAGATGGCAGGGTTGCCGTTGGTGCAATCTCTTACCCAACTCCTTCAGCTTCTCCCACACACGGTGTGCCAGCTCAGTGCGCTCCTCCAGGGGAACCTCTGGCAGCAGCAAGCCGCAGCTACGCAGCAGTAACAAGGCCTGGTTGCTGCTGGGATAACCTGCAGACGGACCCCAAAGAAGCAAAAAGGTGAGGGTGGATGTAGAAAATGACAAAAAGCGAAAGAGTCAGAAAGTCCAACAAGAGGAAACAAGGAGCACGCTCAGTTCAATACGCACTAAATTACAGCTCCTGCTTCTCACATCCACCCTGATCTCGGCTCAGGTGGCCTACCTGTCCTGCAGATATCATGGAAGATGCGGAGCAGGAAGGTCTTAGTGATGCGGCCGGTTCTCCTAACAGAGCTGTCCAGCTTGGCCAGAGCCCAGTCGAACTGCTGCGACTGCTTGGACCGCAACATGGCGCTGGACTCGTTCTTCTGCTCTGTAGCCGTAGCATAGCTGCGCGCACACCCCGCCGCACAAGGCCACACGCGACTGCAGAGGGAGACAAGGGAATGAGTGGGGGGGAGAAGAAAAGCAGCCGGTCACAGAATGAATAAAGTGGAAGAAGCACAAAGAGATGAAACACAGTTCTTCTGTGGGGGAATTTAATATTGGAAATGTTTGTCAGCACTGACCGAACAGCGCAGGGTGTGCAGAGTACACAACAGTACACGTGTTAAATTAACAATAGCATGAATAAATATGTATAAGCTGCTCTGCTTGTTTGAAGACAGCAGTCTTGTTCAGAGCTATGACCTTGAGAGAGAAAGAAGACACAGCAGAGTAACACACGTCTGTTATACATTTAACTCCTAATATCTGCATCATATAAGCTGCAGCATGACAACATGCATTAATGGTCTCCAATTATGGTTGTATTTAAAGCTACGATACAACGGTTAGCTAATAGATATATCGAATTCAGCAGTTACAGTATGAGAACGCAATTAGTGTCATCGGCTTCATTATGAGACTGTTGAGCTCGACCTGGTTACACAAGGTCTGATCATCACCTTGTGTAAACCGGGAGCCATGTTTACTGAACAGTTACCCACGCAACTATTTCACGTATTCTACCCCGATGCATTTAATACAGCAACTCAACGAAGCGTAGGAGTGGATCCGCGTGCTTGTGTCTCGATGTCATTGAGTCAATGACATCCCTGCTACCGGCTCACGCGTGGATCACGCAGCTAATAACAACGGCTAACTAGACGCTCGTGATACCTGGACACGTTTCCCGTGGCGGGGTCTTTCTGTCGGCCGCAAACTCCGGGCAGTCTGCCGCCGAGGGCTCCGCTGTACAGCCGACCGAGCGGGGGCCCGTTTCTTTTGGTCCCCGTGATGTGAAGCAAGCCCGAAGGCGAAAACCTGAGTAGCCGTGCTGATCTCAAGAGCGCCGCCATGTTTTCGGTCGCGCTGTGGAAGGGCATCCGCACCACGTGACCGGTTGAAGCCGGAAGCAGAGCAGAGCGTCAGAGGGTGCGCGCGGTGACGTGAGAAGTGTGTCGCAAAATCACCGCGTAAAAACACATAACTTTAATAAATATATTTTGAATGTTGTGATAACTAAAGCTGTCAAAAATTGCAGTGGATTGGAAGCAGCATAATCAGGGAGATGTTAAATGGTGCTTACATAATGTACTTTACACCATCAGTGTAATCAATATCTCTGCAAAAACGTTTGCCTTTGTAATATTGATATTTTCTTCAAATAAAGCCAGTAAAAATTAGATGTGAAATGTTTATTAAAACAAATTCTCGTATATGAATTTTCTAGAGATATTACCCAGGCAGCTGATTCAATTTACGTTATTCTTTTTACATCTCAAATAGGTAAAGGCAGGAGGCTGAGGTCCATCAGGACTACGACCTCCCGCCACACGAACAGTTTCTTCCCGTCGGCAGTCGGGCTCATCAACAGAGCCCGGTCCCCCACTGACTGACTATAACACTCCACCGGTCACTCCCCCTCATACTGCACATGCCACTTTAACTGCAATTCATCACTTTGTCTCTTGTCTGTTACTTGTTCGTTAGTGCACTTTATGCTTAATATTTTTCTTTTGAACTTTTTAATATTTAATTTTTTTTAACTTTATTCCCTTGTTTTATACTAACCCATAGCCTTAGCTTTATTCTACTAATCCATTGCATTAGCATTTCATTCCACTTTATTTTATTACTTGTGCACTGTTGTCTTGTCTGTCTACTGTCGCGCACTAACCGCCAAGACAAATTCCTTGTATGTTTGACATATTTTGGCTAATAAATGTTTCCTGATTCCTGATTCCTCCTAAAGGATACCACCCGACCTGCAAACACACTGGTTTTTGTCAATTCATTCTTGTACTACTCTTTTTATAATTCCAGAAGCTAGTGGTACACCTTCGTAAAAATAAAAAATAAAATGTATTTTATTATATATGTTTATTTTTTATTACATCATGAACGCTTACAAAAATCAATATGTTCGAGAAAGATTTCATTAGGTCAGTTGTTCAATTAAATGAGCTTTCCCTGGTCTCTTCCCTTTCTTCAAGCTCTCTTCAACAACAGCCCTGTCTCTCTCCATGCTGCTCCTGGCACTCTCTCTTTTGCTGTGTTCATTCCACATCTCAATGGCTAGTCCACGAATCCTGGGTTCATTGTCCAACACCCAGGCTTGAAAGAATTCACACTTCTTGCTTGCCAGGAAGTACTTTTGTCTCTTTGCTCCTTCTTCACCCTCTTTAGAAAGAGCTTTTCTGGCCTGGGAGAGAACTGAGCGAAGCTGACTCAAGGCTGCCAGGCAGTATCCAGCAGGATCCTCTCGGTCTCGGCCGGTTGCGATGTGAGCCACGGCTTCCAGAGCCCTGGATGGGGCAAGAAGATCCTCCTTGTCCAGGTACCCTCCACCTGATATCAGAGTTTCTCCGCAGTCCAAGGCCTCTTGCACAGAGTTGAACACCCTGCTTGAGCTCAGTGCCTCAGACAAAGCAAGAATCATGTCACAGAACTCAATTATCAGTGAATCAGTGTCATTGTTATACAGGCACAGGGTGAAGGTGTAGCCAAAAAGTGCATTGACCAAACCATAGCATACAAGTGGAGATGAATTTGCACATAAGGAAGTCAATTTGGGGATTTTAGCAGAAATTTGAGGGACAGCAGTAACTGCTGAACTTCCCTTTTCGTCGCCGGTTTCCAATTTGTTTCCTCTTTTAATCTTCCTCAACTTTGTAGCTGATTTCCTCTGATTCAGAACCACTTCTTGTGAGGTTTTGACCTCATTATCCTGTTCAGCCATAGTTGTTGAATTTTCACCTGCCCGCCTGCTCACTTCCTCCTCAAGCACCTCCACCAGTGCTCTGCCACCATCCTCATGCTCCTCCCACCAAGGCTTCCACAGGGGAATCAGTCCGCCAAGGGCTCCACCCTTCATGAGACCCATAAACGCTTCTTTCTCTTTACTATTAAGAACTTCCCACAGCTCCTCTTCTGAAAGTTTGTCAATGTCCAGCCCTGACAGCCGATCGGCCAAATCCAGCTCCGCCTCTGCACCTTCGGCGCCCTCCATCATGTCTCCAGAGTCCCTTTCCCCAATGTCTGCAAGTTGTCTCAAAATACCCTCGATCTCTGTTGCACTCCCCTCCCCTGACTGTTGCAGCTCCGCTAACCTGGACAGGAGTTCCACAACCTGCACTTTCTCTTTCGCCTCGCCTTCCCCTTCATCGGCGTCTTCCGACACAATACCGGCGTCCTTTAACAAACCTTCCATGCCCCCAGCTGCCGTCTCCGCCTTTTGCCTGAGTCCCACGAGAATCTCCTGCATTTTAAGCCTCCCTTCACTTTCCGTTTTCCCCATATCCTTCAGCTCCTGCAGAACGGACTCCTTGTAGAACTCCTCAGAGCACACGGAGTGTCGTGGGCTCTGGTAGCACGACAGGCCGCAGTACTGCAGGTTGCATCGGGGGCAGGTGTAACAGGAGGGCTGACGTTCACACAGCATGCAGACGGCCCCGCTTCTGGAGTCACTTGCATCCACCGCGGCCTCCGCTCGGGTCTTGGCCGGCGTGAGAAACTCCTCTTGTCCAGAAGCGGCTCCTCTCGACGGCAGGACAACCCCGTCTCTGGTCACGGTGTCGGGCTCTGTGTCGGTCCATTCCTCCTTTGGACCGATGTCCGTTAGCAGGCTCCTCACGGACGGAGGAAGTCTCTGTCTAATTATTGGATTCATTGGGAGCTGGAACGGGTTGGAGCACAATATTGAAGCAAAGGAAGGAGAGGGTTGAGTGGTCTCAAGTCCAAAAGAGGTAATCTGAGAATTGAAGGAATTAAAATCATAGTAGTTAACGTTAGTTATTTGGGATGTCTGTTGGTTGACGTCACCGTCCCAGTGTTGGTCTGGCAGTTTGAGGCGCTAACGTTAGCTACGAGCACAGCGTGCTGTGCGCATCGCTGCATCCGTAGAATACGTTAAAGAATCAGCAACAATGCTCAGAGTCAATAGAACACGCACGTCATCCGTGTTCATATCTTAAAGAACAACAGGTACTTACTTCCGAGCATTTGGAGAAACACCGACGATACACGTTTGTTGTCCAGCTCCAACCCCCACGTCGCTTATTGATGACGTCATTAGTTTAACAGCCGCGGTTTTTTTTCATTATTTTCTTCACTGCAACCGACATCTAAAAAGGAAGTAACATTAGAATCTTGAAAAAAGGTTTCATAAGAAAAATACTACTACTAATAATAATAAAATACGCATTTGGAAATGAAAAAAAAAATGAAATACCATTTAAAATATATAAAATAAAACTAATTTGTTATACATCTATATAAATGCATACTGTGTGGTCAAATATAACTAAAGGTTCATCAAGCTCCATCAGGCCAGCTCTTCTGGAGCTTTCAGTCGTGCTACCTGAGCTTCAACAGTAGATGGGACATCTTGCTCATGTTGACTTAAAGCAGAAGCATAAAACTTCTATTTCCAAGTTTAGGAATAAACGGAAAAGTCAATGAAACTCAAGAAATATTACACAATATTACAAGTTGCAAGTTGAAGAAGAATTTGGTGACCTTAGATAATATATTTAGCATAATGTTATTATTAAATATTAAAAGATCTTGTTAAATGTTATATTTATATTTTCTTCTACATAATGAAATCGCTTGTTGAAGTTGGAAATAACCATTTCGCCATTAATCTACAGACTACGTGGGTCTGGGTGAAATCCATCACATCTGGGTTCAGCCAATTATGATAGTTGATATGAGCTCATCCATACAAGCTGTTATTATGGTGAAAAGTTCTGATTTCAAACTTTCTGTCAATCTCTACATCATGTCTCTCTACACACCTCCTGACTGCGCTGTGTGTCTACATTTCCCGCGGGGCCATTTGCTATGAGGTGATCGCCTCCTGCGGGGGGGGGGTCAAGCATGGTAAAGGTCACGCAGGTGGGGAGTCGTCAAATGGCCGTCCACCCCTCACTGGGCCAAGGGGTTCCCGTGCCGCCTGTCGGAGCCCGTGGGGAAAGGGTGAGAAGGAGGGGGGGTGAGGTCGACGTGTGCCATGCTGTCTTGGCTCCGCCCCTGGCTGCCGTGCCAGCAGTCCTGGGTGGGCTGCTGCCTCCTCGTGTCTCCTTTGCCCTTCCGTGGCATGTCCTGTGACATGTTAGCACCCCCCCTCCCCCCAACACTGGATCCACAAGCTTACTCACTGACAGTTAGACTGATGATATGCGGTAAAGCAGAGTCTTGACCAGGTTTTGGTGCAGGTTTCACATTTTTGCTTTTAGTCTACAGTATAATATGAAGGGAAAAGATCGGTGTAGTAACTGGTAAGGATGGTGTGGATGATACAGCAGGAGTCCATATACAGTCTACATTTATAGTGTGTACTGTATTTTGCATGGATATGATCTAACACTACTCTGATTAATTGTATCATGGTGGCACGTCCTACAAAAATGTACACATACTGTTTCCCCTAAAACATGATGCACGCTGTACAGCCGCCATCATCCATCATACATGTGGCGACCCCTGCTCACACAAACACACATCCCCCACTGAGATCAGTTGAGATGATTAGTTGGATACGATAAAGTCCAACTCATGAAACATCTCTTCTGATATACAGTGTAGTCCATGCGAAGCTCAGCCCCCCCACTATTAAAGCCTCGCTACACTAATGCAGGGTTCATTTTTCAAAAGCGGCTTGTGGTGCAAGAACAGTGAATAAAAACAGAAAATGTCCAGAGTACTCACACACAAACACACACACACACACACCCCGCTGTCTGCCACCAGCTGATAGGTGACAGGGAACAGGCTCTGCCTTTTGGGCATGTCCAGCCCCGGCATGTCTATGGCTGTCTACTGTACACCAGCTGTGTGTGTGTGTGTGTGTGTGTGTGTGTGTGTGCGTGTAGTAAAGAGAGAAGACCTATGTTGATGTAGACTGTTCTGTCACCTGTCAGCCCAAAAGAATCTGGCATGGGGCACCCAAAAGGGAGACAATGTGTTTGTATGTGCGTGTGTGTGTGTGTGTGTGTGTGTGTGTGTGTGTGTGTGTGTGTGCGTGCGTGCGCGCATGGGAAGGTGTCTCGTAACCAGTTTCCATTTGAAAGCTGGAAGCCAGTTTTTTCTATTTGACTGACTGACTGTTGCACATAAAATCAAACCTAAAGACATGAGGAAATAAATATTTACTCTGTGACGATGTCAGGAAATCAAATGGCTGGAATCTCACCTGTAGTGTAACAGATAAAACAAGGAGACATGCATGCGACTCTATTTAATCATTATTTAGAAATCTTAACACAGATATGAACAAAATGGATCAAGATACAACAACACAAATTGATGCAAAATAGATTGAAATTGTGAATTAGATAAATCAAATTAAAATAATAACACAAATAATCTCAATATATAAAAGGGCACAGTCAGTAGGTGTGTTGTGGTGGCAGGTGACCTGAAACCCAGAGCAACAACACTCTCTCTCTCTCCCTCGCTCTCTTATCCGCCTTTCATCTCTCCTCCATCCACCTTTTTTTCATGAATGAACCCAGGAATGTAAACTCAGCTCCACAGCATGAAAGCATCAATGTACTTCCTCAATAATTAATCCCCCAGGATCTATTATTTACCTATTATTATAAGGCTCCGCTGTGCACACACACACACACACACACACACACACACACACACACACACACACACACACGCCTCCTCCTCGCCCTCTGTCTTCCTTCCTTTAATTGACAACCTTTGCCAGGTCACTCAATGCACACAAACAAATCCCTGTTTCCTGTGCAGCTCCCTGATCCCTCAACCAGTGGACCCTCCCTTTGAGTGTGTGTCTGTGTGTGTCTGTGTGCGTGTGTGTGCAGGGCGGCGTGTGATGTGTTAAAACACAGGTAGATGGAGCGGTAGCCTTTCGGTGACCTAAAGCGGCTGTTGGCAGCAGTGACAGAAACAAGCAGGAGGAAGGAAAAAGAAACCTCGCAGCACTCAAGGAGTCGACCATCTCTGTTTGTCTCACTCAGACCAAGCAGGAAATAGAGGGTCCGATGTATCACGGCGGCCCACACCAGTCATTTGGGTTACTTGCATTTGTTTCTACGCCAGCAATTTTTATTTGCAGATTCAGACTCGATTTTTGTTGTCAATCGTCTCATTGACTCTTTTTCTCATTGAATTTAATTTGATATGTTCAGAGATTTCTTGTTTTTAAGGTGCAACTATTTTTATGAAAATCTATTCAGGATTTTATTAATTAAACTAAGGCATATATATATATATATATCAAACATATATGTCAATATATACTGTATATGCCTATATATATATATATATATATTTACTTATACTGAACAATATTGGGTAAAAAAAGAAATACTAAGTAAGATATAGAAAAATAAGAGACATTTGCAATCATCATTGAGATTTGTAATATTTGTCAGTCTCTTTACCATCTATATCAATGCCAGTGGGAAAAGTCTTATTTTTCGATAGTGTGTGACACAAGGGGTGTTGTCCTTTCACACTGTACTGAGGCTTGCACGGTTTTACAGAAGCAGGTCATGTAACAAGAAAAAAGCAATAGGGAATAGTGCTTGCAACATGCCATGTCTTTGTCAGTGGAGTGACAGATGTGACAAAAACATCTGGAGGGATGACATTCAAACACCATAAGAAGCAGCAATCAGTCAATATAAACTCTGCTGTGCAAAAAAACATATTCCTAACGCACTAGATTTAATTTAGAATTCTAGTGTAGTTCCCAATGTTTCCAAAGTTACCAAATAAAGTTACCTAAAGTTGGTTTGTAAGATCAATATTATAAAAGCGGCAACAGTATTTTAGAGATAAATAATGTTCTTCCATTCTGTTTTGTCTGACCTCTCTTTGTCTTTTCATGACTGGTTGAAAAAAAGGAAGCAGAGTGAGACTTTTGTCTCACTCTGAGGAGATGTTTTCCCCTCTACTCCCGCCTTCTCCATCCCAGCATTCCCGCAGGAGCCAACCCGAGACTGGCTGTGTATCGGTGTATCACCCGCCTCCATCTGCCTAACCTCTGGCCCCGCCTTCCTCCATCCCCACGAGAGGGAGCAGCGGCTCCAGAAAAGAGGAGGAATGGAGGAGGATAGCGAGGGAGCGAAAGAGAGAAGTGTGTGTGTGTCCCAAAGGATTGGCGTCTGTCTGTCTATATCAGGAAGTGAGAATGTGATGGCAGGGGAGGCAGAGCAGAGACATCCCTTCAGTGTTTGTGTGTGTGTGTTCGGACCTTGTTGAGCCGAGGTGTCATATTTGTGAAGATCACAGTTTCGAGCTGGTGGCAACCAGGGATGAGGCTCTAAATCCCTGAAACGCCAGGGACAACTGTGCTTTGATATGTTGGGTGGGGATGTGTTTGTGCACATGTTGCTGTGTGTGTGTGTGCGTGTGTGTGTATTTGTGTCTTTTGGGACATTTGATGGACATTACAGTGGTACCACCTTTAGAGTCTGAAAGTGATAATGTTTCCAAGCATGTCACTGCAGAAAAAACGAGAAGGACATCTTCTCATCCCTGATGTGCACAAACAGACACACACACACACACACACGCACTGTCTGGAGCACTGTTTTTGTCAGCATCCTCAAACTACACATTTCACGTTCATTTAAATTGATTGTAAACTAGATTTTATTTTAAATTAACAAAAAAGACTTTCATATCGTTGTAGTAGTGTTGGAGTGGTGACCATTATCTTTAATTCACCTTTTTAGCTAAAATGATCAAGTCTTTTCCAAATGCTTTGTACCTCAAAGCAGCCCAGTACAGATACAACATCTGTCAGATGCAAAAGTATTTCAAAACATTCATTTGATACATTTAGTTCTAGCAATTCCTATAACTTTGGCTAACTTCAAACCAACTAATTTAGCTGTCCCTTTTGACATTTTCTTTCATTTCTTCCGACTAAATGTTTCAACCATTTATTCATTTTTCGCCGTTAAACAATTACTTCTCAGGCATGCAGGACTTTCTAAATACCTTTCAAACTAGTTCCCCACTTGAGGGTGCTTATTCCTATTCTATTCATGCTTATCTCTGCTACTCTTCATTGCTTCCTCACAGCTCGACCCCTGTGACTGAAATCTCCTCTCGGAGT